AGCAGGCTGGGATTGTGTTGACCCTCCCGCAAATGCTTCCGCACTGCCTCGTTGAGGCGGAACCGGGTTAAACCCCGTGATAACGCAACTCGGCCAAGATCTCGTATTTCGTCCGTTAGTGGTCTCGCTGCCCTCGCATCACCGACAGGCCGCGATTGTGTTCTCCTTCCTGTGGATCCGCCGAGGGAGTCACCAAAACCCCCCTTGATCAATCGTTTTTCCACAATAAGCGTAGGAGTCCTGAGGTCGACCGAATCATTTTCGGGCATTGGCGCCCCCAGAGCAGCGGACGGAAACATTCAGAAATAAGATCTTGCAGCACGCCCACAATTCACCCGAGAGACCGATAAGCAAGAAATGATCCTGACCCCCCTATCTAATGCTTAGTTCCAAACTCAGCCCGCCCAATGCACTATTTGTCCAAAAGCAAATTATCGGAGATTTCCCAACTCTCGTGAGGAAGGCAGATATGCAGGCGGCGGCACACCCGCAGTCACCCAGTGCAACACAGACACAAAGGGCCAGACCTTCTCCCCAGACAAGCCACGAATCAAAGTTCATGCATTTTCGACGTGCACCCACCATCACCGCTCTCCTTTCTCCGCGCTTCTATGCAACGCTCATTGATCACGCCTTGCCCCTCATGTCAGGGTAGAGGGTGTTTATACAAATATTTGCGGCTATCCCTTTATAGATAAACATAAGGGTGCCCAGTGGCAGACCTGCGTTGACGCTTAGTACATATTCTATCACACATAGCGCTCCGAACACATCGGAAGAAGGAGGTCCTCATCAGGCAGGCAAGGACCCTCGAGGGTTCAACAGACGCGATCCTGACTGAGATCAAAATGGCCTCCCTCCAAAAGTCGCCCACATAAATATCAGCTACTCATGCACAGGTGAGGACACGTAGGACACAGAAGCCCGGGTACAGATCGTTCCAAGGGTTTGTGTTGAGCCTCACCATTCACAATTTACATCTCAGTATTCATAGCGTACTCATGTGTTCGGCAATTTGAAGTATCGCAAAGTCATGTTCTACGCGCGGTTCTCTCACGACGAGAGCGCGTACACCGCGTTGTTGAGGACCACACTGCCGTACTCCTTAGCTCTACTCTGGAACATGAACTTATGCCCCTCCTTTCACATCTCCGCCACGACCATCTACCCGGAATGGGAATGATGTGGCAGCCAGACTGTTTTGTCTTCGAAAGGTGAAACGGGAAAGTTGGAGAAACAATCTGGCTCATTTCCTGAGAGGGGCTCCAGGAACAATTGGTACACCAACTAACTGCTCCAATGGCGCGTGAGCACCTGTTCCTCGGGATTTGCAGATTGAAATGTCAGCCTGCAGACGGACGAGTGTGGGGGCAGCGCATATGATATCTACAGTACGTTAGGCCTACGAGGAGCATCATGACCTGAGCGTGACCTGAGCATGACCTGAGCGTGTGATTAACACTCACGGGATCAATTTCAAGGCGGTATTGGAACGGGTACATCCGAGGCGCGGAGAGTGCACTGCGATGCCGTGCGCTTGCTCCTCGCAAAGAATTGACACGATGCCGTTCGCTTGCTCCTGAGCTTTTAGACCGAAGTTCTTGCAAGAAGAAAAAGACAGGTAGGTCAGAAACAAGCTGCATCATCATGACACTGACGACTGACTCGCCCAAAGCGATCGTATCCTGGACACATGCACAGAGGCCTTGAGACTAGGCTGAGGACGTTCTTTAGGTGGAAGCGTGATAGTAGAAGGCGAACATGTTTTGCAGGGAATGATACATCGGTTGATCTCCTGCCCGCGCTCGTGCCCTCCTGATGGTCTCTGTCAAAAAAGTGCAACTTGGACGGCGAAGGGCGTGTATAAGCTTGCAGCTTCGTTACAGATTGAGGAGACAAGCCGAGAGTCGGACCGGGAGGTTGTCTGGCTGGTTGTGGAACGCATGTGGCTCGAATCATTCAACCATCTACTATTATCATCCAGCGGGCACTTGGCACTATGCAGTGCGTTTATTAATGCGCGACTATTTGACATGTGCACGAATATGCTGCCACTCGCGGCGACACCCGTTAGCCCTGCTGCCGGTACCCTCCACTTCCGTTTGCATCCATTCCCTTGCCTCTTTAATCCGGACCCCAACCGTCAAGGCTCTCTATTGCTTCAAACGACGTACGTGTTGTACGATCTTCCGTCGATGTCTGGCAGCAAAATGACGCCTCGTTGGCTTTACAGCTGGCGGACCACTGGACAGGCGGGTGATCTTTCTTGTTGGGCAATATAGGCTTAAAGAGAACGTTGTCCTTGTCTTGGAATGTCCTGGGGGACATGGCCTCGGTGCTCTGCAACCCATAGTGGGCGGGCTGTTCTGGATGTCCCGTGAAGCTAGAGCCAGGGAGCGTGTCGGTTTGCAGCTGGTGGGTGTTCTTTCCTCCGGGGCCCTGTGGGAGCGGGTGAGGGGAAAGTGCATTTGTCAATGCTGATGAGCTTTTGATGGAACGTATGCACATGACATCCGAGATATAAGTAGGGCTCACACCCTCATGTAGCAGCTAATGAAGTTGCTAGTGCCTTGCTGCACGGGGACCTTGCTGTCTGGACTGATTGGCCCCACACCTTATGAGCGGCTGAGAATTGCGACATGCGTGGTTACTGTCAGTAAAAGAGCAAAAAAAGGACAGAGCACGGCAATCCGTGGTGGACGATGCATGGTTATAGATGATGACGCATGAAGTTGGTGGGACCCGCGTCATGGTCTATGCAAGGCATCGAAGTTTTGGAACAGCCTGGCTGGCATTTCAAAACTCAGAAATGGGAGCAGCAAATGCACTGGCGCACCAGGCGAGGGCGTAGTGCCACAACAGGAGAAATGCGCGCTTTTTCCTTGAGGCTTTGACTGACGGCACCTTGCAAAGACGGGTTTTGTGAACAGGCTGTGCCAGCCAGCAGCACCCGGACGGAAATCGGGGACGAGAGAGTGATGTGTGCAATGCAGAACAGACCGACCGGTGGCCGCTTCCGTGGGAGCAAGCTTCGATCAAAATGGATGTCGGGAAAGGGGTAAGAAATAAAGAAAATCTGGCTGACATCCTATGTTGTGCGCTTTCCGGTAGCACACTGGCTAACCTTCACCTTTCCAACAAACCATATGCGATTCACACAGAAAATGCCCCTGCGTCTAGAGAGCCGGTCGTTCGGGCCTGATGGCACCGGTGCTTCCTTGGGGACAGCGGACGATAAGGGCGATCATGCTAACTTTTGATCGCCAAGCATCCCATTAAGCGATGGCCTGGATGCTCGACAGAACGCCGGAAGAACAAACAGACACGGAAAGATGGTCCAATACCTATATACATAGACACGTGCGCAATAAGTATTAGCACGGCATGACGTATCAAACCCGTGTGCATGCATTTCTGCGGTGGGGAGCACCTCGCCGGCTCTCCCTTCAGAATCCAAACCCATTAGTCCCCAATCGGGCTTTAATTGGAGATGGGCTGATCGTGGAGATCCACGAATCGCGGTCTTCTTGAAGAGAAGGGAGAGTCTGTACTCGGCAATTGAACATCATTTGGATCTGCTGCACTGGGCAAGAGCCAAAGGTTATTGTGCATTGCACCGATACTGCACTTCGTAATCGCCAGCCACTCTGGGAAAAAGCAATGTTGCCGACTCGCCGTCCGCTACAACTCGTAGGGCTTCGACATAAGAAAGACTTACGAGTGAAGCATGACTTCATGCCCTCAAGGACAAGCATTGTCTTCGATTTTTGTAGGCGGTCAAAGCGCCGTCTACGGTTCAAGGTTCGCTGCACAATGCGACTTGGTGAATGGAAAGGTGCGGACATGACCCCTTGTAGGAGTCCCGATTCGCCGCATTGATGTTTCCTTTTTCGATCGGTCGGATGGGCAGGCAGTCACCATGAGCACTCGGAAATTGCTCAGGTCGGCAGTTTGCCAACAGCGGGCGTGTTGGAGATGCGAAACTGCGTTATCATTGACTCTCTTTATGAAAGTCCCTAAGCGTCCGCGGACGCTATTGCACTGGGAGGTCATTTCTCGCAATCGAGGTCCCGTAGGCACTTGGCCTAGCATCTCAAAGCATGCGGATCGGCGAGCCTTCACAGTTTCAGTGCCTGCTCAGACCAATCCGAAAAGCACAACAGGTCAGTCAATCGGCTACTCGCAGCTACCTACTTTGACGACGTGCATTCTCGCTCATATCGATCACGGAAAAAGCACGCTTGCGGATCGCCTTCTTGAGCTCACTGGAACGATTCCAAAGGTCAACGCTGCAGACCCCAAAGGTGTCAATAGACAAGTCCTGGATACTTTGCAAGTAGAAAGACAACGCGGAATCACAGTGAAAAGTCAGGCTGTTAGCATGATCTACGAAGCGCAATCTGGAAAGGAGAAGGGTAACAAGTGGCTTCTCAACTTGATCGATACACCAGGTCATGTTGACGTGAGCTTCGCTGTGAATGCTTCCTCGCCTCGCTCTCATTCTAATTCTCTGCTTCGTTGCAGTTCTCCTACGAAGTCTCCCGCTCACTTTCAGCTTGCCAATCTGCGCTGTTGCTCGTGGATGCGACGCAAGGCGTACAAGCACAGACAATTTCGGTCTTCCGGGTTGCGTCTGCACAGAAGCCGAAGTTATCCATCATTCCGGTAATCAACAAGATCGATTTGCCAAACTCAGACATTGATAAATGCATCGCGCAGATGCGTTCCATGCTTGGTCTGGAAGTACAACGTCCCGGAACATCAGAGGACAGCGGTATCGAGCCGATACTTATAAGCGCAAAGACGGGGCAAGGCGTCGAGCAGGTCCTCGAAGCACTTGTCGCCAGTGCACAGTCCCGACCAACCCTGCCGACGGTACGCTCCTCGCAACACCTCCAAGCCTTGGTATTCGACTCGTGGTATGACCAGTTTAAAGGAGTCGTCGCGCTCGTAGCTGTGCGTGAAGGCACTCTCTTAAAGGGTGAGCGGATCGCGTCCAAAATGACGGGGAAACTGTACGAAGTCTTGTCTCTTGGCATCAACCACCCCGGACCAACAGAGACTCCCTCACTCAGAAGCGGTCAGGTCGGATGGCTTATTTGCAACATGCGAAACATCAGTGATGCCAAGATTGGAGACATCTTCCAACACCCGGGGGAACCCAAGCGCAGTCGCCCACAGGATGAAGAAATGTCGGCCGCACTGCATGACGCTTCCCTTAAAGCACTGACTCCCATGGTCTATGCAGGTCTCTATCCTAGTGATTCCACAGAGTTTGGAAAGCTAGAAGAGAGCATTCAGAAGCTCGCGCTGAACGATCGCAGCGTGACGGTGACGCGCGAGAGCAGCGCAGCCTTGGGCCAGGGGTGTCGGATAGGGTTTCTCGGTACCCTGCATTTGGATGTGTTCCGTCAGCGCCTGCAAGACGAGTTCAAGCATGAAGTCCTCGTCACAGCGCCAACTGTCACGTACCGTGTGCGGTATGCACCTGACCGTGCACCGCAAGACGTTCTGCGGCAGAATCAGCTGAGTGAGGATGGAGGCGGTGTCTACAAGTTCTGCTCCAACCCCCTTGAATTTCCAGAGGAGCACGAGCGAAAGACGATCATCGAGGCAGTCGAAGAGCCGCTGGTTAAAGGTCGCCTGCGATGCCCTCAAGATTGCGTCGGCGACATGATGGCACTGTGTGCAGAGCATCGCGGCGTGCAGCTCGAGTACGACTTTGAACAGGTCGGTGTCGAGGCAAGTTCCTATGCTGGAGGTGGTGATCAGATTTCCGTCGAGCTCGTCTATCGCTTACCTCTGAGCGAGATTGTGACCGATTTCTACGACAAACTCAAGTCGCGGTCCTCCGGTTTTGCAACATTCGAGTACGAGCATGACGGGTACGAACCGAGCGACCTGGTCAGAGTCTCTTTTCTGGTCTCTGGTACACCTGTGGATCCACTCAGCACTATCTGCCACCGCAGCAAAGCGCAGCAGGTTGGGAAAGCGTGGGCTGGCAAGTTAAAAGAGGCCATCCCTCGCCAATTGCACGAGGTTGCGATTCAGGCAATGGCGAACGGCAAAGTCATTGCAAGAGAAACGATCAAGGCTTATCGCAAGGATGGTTAGTACTCGTCGAGGACCAGATACCTGCGCCGAATACAAGACTCACCCTTTCTGATTTTGATACTCCACAGTGACTGGATATCTCTATGGCGGTGACGTGACGCGCAAGATGAAGCTCTTGGCTAAGCAAAAGAAAGGGAAGAAGAAAACAGCCGCCCGGGCCTTTGGCAATGTTCACATCCCACAAGAGGCTTTTGCGCAGGTCCTGGACAGGCGCTAGCTGTCCTGTAGGCCTCTATGGAAACTTCTGCACATCTGCCGGGCGACAACAGTCACCCAGTCGGATCACAGGCGTATTTGAGCGCACGCTAGCAGCCTCACTATTCCATCATCTTGCGTCGTGTTCCTTGTGTAGATGCAACGTGTCATCCCTAGCTGACTTGCTTCGATCGGGCCACTGAAATACGGCACCACCGTAATAAAATCCATTATCCCTGACTCCTGTCGCTGTCCGATGGGCGATGCCCCCACCCCCTTGACCTTGATGGACATACTGTTCCCGCCTGCTTCCTCGTCAATGGCTTGCAGAAAACTTGTCCATCTGTTAGGAAATGCTTCTTGATGAAACGAATAGTGGCCAGCATTTGGTGCGCATGGATGGCCAGACCTATGCGAATCAGTACCGGCAGTACCTTTTTAACTTCATTCAACAATTCGACCTGTTGCTGTACCCGCTCCATCAGGTCGTAAGGTTGTGGTCTTGACGGACCTCGCGTACCTCGATCTTTATAAGCTGCTTGACCGGTAGCAGAAAATCAAAAATGACGCTTGCAACAAGCCTTTGGTTTCGGAGGCAGGGAATGTCATAAAGAGCATAAAGACTGGGAATACGGTTGCAACAGCAGGTATCGGCCTGGCTTCGAAGGGGAGAAGACATAATTTAAGAAAAGCGCCTTTCGTGACAGGATCATCGGTGATGCAATGATGTATCACATAGTACGAAAAGAACAGAATGACGGACCTGCACACCTCGCACGTTCTTGCCCCATTCGTCCTGGCAAGAGCATACAGGTGAGGAGGGTATGTCATGAGCCAGAAGAAAGTGTGTAACATGGATTGTGTACTTGTAATAAAGGACGTTTGCACACAGACTCAACAGGATCGCAAGGGTATTCCCTTGACAATGCAATATTCCGGGGAATATGGCATGCCGACATGACATCCTTGCGATATTTCAAGTATGACGTAGGCTAATTGTGAACACCGCACATTCAGTTCGTGTGAAGCTTTCGAAAGGATGATCAATGTGTTGACAGACAAGACTTGCATGTTCTAATACGATCGTACAAAAATCTCACAACGTCCTTTGTTGGTGGCACTGAGGGCACTTGCTCTTGTAGCGTTCGACAAGCATGTCCTGATGCGAAAGCATGGACGAGCCTGTGCCTCTGGCCTACCTTTTCGTCTTCTGCTTGAAAGATCGGCAGCATGCCGTCGCATTCGCACAACTCTGGTTCCATACGAGGCACATCCGGCTGGGGGGCACAGACAAGATCCTCCCAGTCGAATAGCAGCAGAGGCAACGTAGGCGATGCCTTGATTCAGGAAGGGAGTAAACTTTTTGATCACTGGGCGCCATTGTGGGGCGACCGAAGCAGGGAATCACGAGATGCCGAGGACGAGCAGCCTCTACTGCCAATATTTACTGGAGAGCAGGGCGGCCAACAGCCATCAACAGCTTTTCCAGAAATGATTACGGATCTTGCTTTGACGAAGAAGGCACCGCTATTGGCTGGCGCTCTAAGACAATGCCATCGTCTGCGAAGCCATCCTGCAGCTGCGCTGCTGGCTTTTCTGTCATCACCCGTCACCCTCTTGCGACACTGCTCCGGCTACGTCTCTTCGAAGCGGGTATGGGGACGACCCTCTTCCCTTCAAACGCCCTGCCTCTTAGGTAGCGCACTATTACTGTTCCTTCTTCTAGTTTGGGCGTGGCTGTGGACCATCTTTCGCCCGCCAGAGTATGTGATGCTTCCGAGCTCAACTTACTTCAGGACGCTCGAAGCGTTTGCAAAGACTCAACTGTTCGCAGACAAGGACCTCACGGGCCGAGATCGATGGAAAGCAGACTTGCTCACGCAGCTGCAAGATGGAGAGCAACGCAGGCAGTCATTGCTGGCGATATTGACCACACCAGGACAAGGCAATTCGTCGACATTGGCATCAGATGCGAAATCACTGGTACCCGCGACCATCTTCTCTTCGGACCGCGTGCCTGCTCCAGCCGGCTGGTCAGAGCAATGGACATCTCTCGGATTCCATCCCGTTCAATTCTTGAATGACAGTGCTGCAAACACTTGGATGTCCGATCAATTCGCTGCCCCAACAGGCTCGACCGGCCTCAGCAAAACGCTGCAAGCTTGGCATGCACTGCCTCGCGGTGTAATGCGCGCAGACTTTCTGCGGTATCTTCTCCTACTGGTGGAAGGAGGTACGTGGTCCGATATGGATGCCGAGCCTCTGGCCGCAAAGGAGACATGGGCGGAAGGAGCGCTGATTTCGAAGAGCACAAGTTGGGCCACCAAAGATCAAAACATCAGGCTCGTTGTCGGTGTCGAGTGCGATCCAGTGTCTTACAAACGCGTCTCGTTTCGCGGCTTACCAGAATTTATTCGCATCTTACCAGTGAGTGTGACACGAGCGAATGACAGCTGCAAGTCCTTGTGTCTGAACGCTTGTCTTTTATAGATGAATCGTCACCGCGAGGTGCAGTTTGTTCAGTGGACACTTCACTCGGCCGCAGGCCACCCTGTTATGGCCGACGTCCTGCGCAGGATGCTAGACTCACACGACATTTTTACGGCGTACAAGCTCGACTTGCTCCGCGATGCATACGCTGATACAATGCGACGCACTCCATCCCATCCGTCTGAGGCGACTGCAGAAACGCAAGGCGTCACAGCCGACCCAAAAGCTGTCGGTTCTATAACTGATGCCGCACAGAAGCTCGTGTTGAACCAACGAGCACGGCATCCATGGACGAGCGCACGCATGGTCTGGCGGTGGATGCGCGGGGCCTGGCGGCTAACTTGGCACCCTCTCTCTGTCGAAGAATGGACAGGCCCCGCCGTCTTCACGGATTCCGTCATTTCCTACCTCAACGCCATTGCCGGAACTCGTGTCGATGATCTATTGGATCTGAAACAACCCATACAGATTGGCGATGTCATCGTCCTCCCCTACGATTACTTCAAGTATGTAGCTTCCCAAGGTGGCCATTGCCTGTGGCGAATGCGAAGCTGACAGAAAACATGCTGCTCTGCTGCCTTTCCTGCAGCCCTGGTGCTACCAAGAAGCCAAGGGCTAAAGTTATTCATCACTACCGCGGCTCCTGGAAGCATGGCGCCGACGTGCCCACTTAACATAAGCATATTTTCTCTGTTCTTTTATCACTGGAGGGTTTGTCGCGTTTCTTCCAGCATAACATGTAAAGGCTTTTCCATTATCCGAGGCAACGCTATGTCAAAATCGCTGCTTAGTCAATTTTGCACATTCACATTGCTAGTGATATGTACATTCTTTTTGCAGCAAGTAGTCCCATCTTTTGGACATGCGTGTGCCGCGAACATGGAGCCAGACGCGCACGGTGCAATTAAATGGAAGGCATCTGTGCCATTTCAACACCTCTCTACCGCCTGGAAAGGTCGAACAGCAATCGCACCCTCTCCACTTTCTCCCCTGGACGTCTTATGCTATATTGCAAAGTGCCTGTTCAGCGTCAAGTAGTTGCAGTACTCTGGCTCATTGGCTCTTGTAACACTTGAAGCCAGTCGCACAGTTGACAATGGCACCATCAAAGACGAACGGCGGCCCTGCAGGCCGAGTCATCCTGACTCTCGGCGTCATCACCTTCCTTCACGCGGCGTATTCGACCTATGAGTGTAAGTGGGGATCAACGGGCTATTCTTGATTGCTGAAAGCTGAGCAGCGACCGATTCGACTCCACATCTGCTCAGATTTTTCAATACGAAAGTCGCTTGGGCTACCTAACGATTCAGTCCCAGGAAACGTGAGCATGCACTTGCTGTCACTTGCATTCAGGTATTTCGGACTCATCGCGTCAGCATATTTACAGATCACAATCGAGATGCTATTCTCGCTTTTACTTCTTCTAGTGGGAATCAGCTTAACAGCCGCCCCACTAAAGCGAATCGCATGGAGCAGTGAGATGAGGACAAGGTAAGTCAGCACGCTGCATTCAACGTTCAACATAACCGCCCCGTAATGCGCCATTGCAAATTCCCTGGCTGACGGCATCTTTTCTTTCATGAACTACGTCCTAACTACAGGACAATTGATCAAGTAGATGCGCGCAGCTCCTTCGCCTCGCTGGATCATCGGGGGCCAATCCTCTTCAATAACGCAGCAACCTTGCTAGAGAAGAAATATCCTGGCCACTGACATCGATGTCGCATTCTGCACATTGGCTTAACGAGGGCCTATCAGGCTCCTTCAGCTGCCACTGGCTATGGAAGACCGTGCATGGGTCTTGTACAATGCTTCACGGTCAGGCAAAGCATGGGCCATACAATTCAAAGCGTGCATGGGCCGAAAACCATGCTATAAGTTCACAATCGGCTTCGACGCGTATACAAGCGATCAGTGAACTATAGTTTCCTTCGAATATCCCTGAGGAAAGCTTTGCATTGCCCAGCCGAATGCACGATGCAGTCGTCAGACCCTGGCGGTGCCTTGTGCACAGCCTGCTGGTAGTTTCACTTTAGCGCCGATTTCTTTTGAGTGGATACACCTAGTCACTACTCAAGCATTGAAAGATCCAACCTCTTTAGCATGCTCTAATATCTGTTCAAGCTCGTTCTCGTGGCAAGACCGAAACGTGCTAACAACGAAGATACAATGGCCCAAATTTGCACCTGTGCCCAGGCTCTTTCCATTGCGCACTCTGCCTGCAGGTTTTTTCCCAGCGCAAGACTAGACACTCAATCCAAATACTTGGGCGTAGCCAGACGATGGCACCCGTGGAGTCTCAGGATGACGATACTCATCCGGGACGACCTCGAGCGAGTTTTCAGGACAATCTCTGTCATCTTGGAGGACCACTGATTGTCGGACGCTTTTGGTGTTCTGACGACAGAGGAACTCTGGGAAGGAGATAGGTCAAGATACGGCTGTGGTAGGGTCGAATTTTTCGCACATGCGCCTCGTCGCCTGAAGTCAATCAGCCTTCCGCAAGAATCGGCTCGACTCTTTATGAGCACCTGAGCCTTTCAACAATTCAGACCTCGTATCTGAAGATCCGATTGAGAAGCGAGAATCGGACTGTGATACATTAGGCATTGCACCCGACACCGCTGCAATAGTTCCCATTCATGGCGGCTGCAACAGCCCGTCGCAGGGAGGTAACCCTGCGGATATCGGCACCCGCGACGCCACTTTTCTGTGCTGCAGACTCCAATGACTCTACATATATATTGTCCTTCGATTGCACGTCATTGCCTGTCTTTCAAGCATGGCCACATTCATATTATCCTACACACTGAGCCCTTGCCTCAGCGAAGTCCTGACTGCTCCTCAATGGACCTAAGTTTAAAAGCGTGCTCCTTCTGTGGCGCTTACGCCGCACGCGACGAGGCCAAAGACTCGTCCGACTTGGTTGGCGGACTGCGACACCTGTGCGCAGCAGCTATTATACCACAATAAACCGCACTGATTTGTTTCGGCACATAAAGATCCTCACAGCCATGCTCTAGTCAAATATGGTGGAGGAACCCTACTTTGTGGGATCACAGGACGAGCTCCTTTGGGAACCACCCTTCCCCCCCCCTTTGGAAATGCGCGCTGCTTGGAGAACGAGCAGCACCACACGTCTCACCATGACAACGCTTTTCTGGTGCCCCAATTCCAAAATGGATTGGGGTCATGGATTCATGGCCGTGGTGAAAATCCTCATTGTTGAGTCGCCGGGTCATATGCAGGGTTCAGGTGTGCACAACTGCAGAGGTCAGCGTATCGAGGGTTGTTTTATCCTGCCGGCGAGGCTTTTCTCCACCGAGCCACCCATTGGATCTGTGACGACCTCTCATCACTCTTGCCCCACAGCTTAGCGCAAGGCTGCTGCTACCGCTGCCACCCCGCCTTTGACCAGCGCCTTGCCAAGGCAGAGCTACTTTATCCACGATAAGCTTGTAGGGCAGCAATATGAGCAATCCAAGCGGTTCTGCGATGCAATCCCGCACACGGCCACGCGGTGCCAGTCGCTTTCTGACCCAAGGCAGGGGCTTGCGAGGGCGGATAGCCTTGAACGACGAAGAAGATGCGCCATTTGAACGCCCGTCCAGCTCGCGCGATGTATACAACGACGAAGTCGAGGATGATGATGACGAGAATGCTGGTCTACTGGTCAGCGCGGTACCAATGTCTGGAGCGCTTGCCGCCACACCTCGCACGCCTACAGAGTATCCTGATGCTCCAACTCGCGGTGAGATAGCTTTGCGAAAAATCAATGCAAAGCCATCGCAGCGCGAACGCAAAAGATCGTGGTGGTGGGGTGGTCGCAGCGACGATGCGCCTGGGCCCCCGAGAACGGTGACGCTCGGAGATTCGGGTGAGTGCTCGACCGAGAAAGGTTGGTGATCTCACATGAGGCTGATTCCAATGTGACGTTCTACCAATAAGATCGGCAAAGGTCCAAATATCCGAAGAACGTGGTGCGAAATCAAAAGTATAACGTCTTCACCTTTCTGCCTTTCGTGCTCTATGAGCAGTTCAAATTCTTCTTCAATCTCTACTTCCTTCTCGTTGCGTTATCGCAGTTCATCCCTGCTTTGAAGATCGGCTTCATTGCGACGTACGTCGCGCCCCTTGCTTTTGTTCTGGCTATCACAATCGGCAAGGAAGCGCTGGACGACCTTGAGCGTTACAGAAGGGACAACGAAAGCAACAGCCAACCTTATCGCACCCTTGTGCAAGCTGCTCGACTCAGCAAGAAATCGCGTCGGCGAGGTCGTATGCAGCTCGATGCCGAAAGCGAAGGCGACAAGGCAGTGTTCCTGAATGTGCCAAGCAGCCAGCTCAAGGCCGGGGATCTGATATTCTTGCAAAAGAACGACCGCGTTCCGGCAGACGTGATCCTTCTCAAGGCCATCGGAGGAGATCACAGCGCGAGTCCAACTGAAGACCAATCAGATGAGCCGCTCGGAAAAGAAGGTTTCAAGATTGTGCTGGGAGAGGAGCTCGATCAGCAGCACGGCCCAAGTGCAGTTGTGCGGAACACTGGTGATGGCATTGGCAATGGGGCTGACGCTGGAGCCAGTGAACTAAATGGGGAAGAAGCCGGAACATGCTTCATCCGAACAGACCAGCTCGATGGAGAGACCGACTGGAAGCTGCGAGTCGCAGTCGATCTCACACAGAACATGTCAAATGACGAATTGGTCCAACTCGGTGAACGCGCGAGCGTGTACGCCGGCCCGCCCATCAAAGACATCCACACCTTCTTTGGTAACTTTACGCTCCACCCAGACCCAAGCGACACTTGCTCGGCTGGAGCGCCCCTTGATCCAGAGCGAGGAGGTCCCGCCGTCGGAGACCTTCGGAACCGCGCCTCTCCAAGCCGTAAAGGGCTTACCGCATCCGAGCATCTAGATGGCACTTCCACCCCTATCGCAATGGGCCTACAGTCGCAAGTGTCGCCTCTGACCGCAGAGAATTTGCTGTGGGCCAACACAGTTCTCGCCGCAGGTAGTGCCGTCGGCCTCATCATCTACACTGGTCGCGAAACACGCGCAGTCATGAACACGAGCCACCCGGAGACCAAAGCTGGTCTTTTGGATCTGGAGATCAACCGCCTCTCGAAGATCTTGTGCGCCTTCACCTTTGCCCTTTCCGCCGGCCTCGTCGCTTTGAATGGATTCAGGGGAGAATGGTGGGTGTACGTGTTCCGCTTTCTCATTCTCTTTAGTTCTATCATCCCAATCTCGCTGCGCGTCAATCTGGATATGGGCAAGACAGTCTACGCAAAGCAAATACAAAACGACCCAGAGATCCCAGGGACCATAGTCCGAACGAGCACGTTGCCCGAGGAGCTCGGCAGAATTGAATACCTGCTCAGCGACAAGACGGGTACCCTCACCCAGAACGAGATGGAGCTCAAGAAGCTGCATATGGGCACGATGAGCTACGGATGGGACGCTATGGACGAAGTGGCTGCTCAATTGGCTAGCGGTCTGGCGCATATTCAATCGCACAAAGAAGATACAAGCAGGGAAACCACGAGCCCCAGCAAAGCTCTGGTGAATCCCTTCCTCGCTGCTGGCGCAGTGTTGGGTGGAAGGGGGAGGCGCGACATGAGCTCCAGGGTGAAAGATGTCGCGCTCGCACTCGCGCTCTGCCACAATGTCACCCCTGCCTTTGACGAAAGTGGAGCAGTGACATACCAAGCTTCGAGTCCCGACGAGGTCGCCATTGTTCGATGGACCGAATCAATCGGCCTCACGCTCATCGCGCGCGATCGGACTTCCATCAGCCTGCGTGCTTCCTCTAGCGACACGACCTTGTCTTTTTCCATCCTCGAGATTTTCCCATTTACCTCCGAAAGCAAGCGCATGGGCATCGTAATTCGCGATAATTCGACAAAGGAGATCGTCTTTTACCAAAAGGGCGCGGACGTCGTCATGTCCAAGATTGTTGCAGAAAATGACTGGCTAGACGAAGAGTGCGGTAACATGGCACGGGAAGGACTGAGAACGCTCGTGATCGCTCGTAAGCGATTAACCGAAGATGCGTGGCTCACATTCGAACGCCAGTACAAAGCTGCCCGCGTACGAATGGAAGATCGCAATGAGGCGATGGCACAAGTTGTGTCCCAACACCTGGAACTTAAGTTGGAGCTGCTTGGCCTTACAGGCGTCGAAGACAAGTTGCAGGATGGTGTGAAGACAACATTAGAGTTGCTGAGAAACGCTGGCATCAAGGTCTGGATGCTGACGGGGGACAAGATTGAGACGGCCACGTGCATTGCGATCTCTTCTAAATTGGTGGCGCGAAATCAATACGTCCACCAGGTTGCCAAGCTCAAATCACTCGAGGCTGCACGAGACACGGTTGATTTCTTGCGTTCAAAACTCGATTGTTGTCTCGTCATCGATGGCGAGTCGCTTCAGCTCTTGCTTGACAACTTCCGCCTCGAGTTCATTGAGCTCGCAACACAGCTCACCGCTGTTGTGGCCTGCAGATGCTCGCCGACGCAAAAGGCGGATGTCGCCCGCTTGATCCGCGAATATACAAAGAAACGTGTTTGCTGCATCGGAGACGGTGGCAACGATGTCTCCATGATTCAAGCCGCCGACGTTGGACTTGGCATCGTGGGGAAAGAGGGAAAGCAAGCGTCTCTGGCAGCCGATTTCTCGATTCTCCAGTTCAGCTACGTTACAAAGTTACTCGTATGGCACGGAAGAAACAGCTACAAGCGTTCAGCAAAGCTGGCTCAATTTGTCATCCACCGTGGCCTGATCATCTCAATCATCCAAGCCGTCTTTTCCGCCATTTTCTATTTTGCTCCCATTGCTCTGTACCAAGGCTGGTTGATGGTCGGGTATGCCACAATATACACCATGGCTCCGGTGTTCTCGCTCGTCCTTGACCGCGATGTTAGTGAGGATCTTGCTCTCCTGTATCCGGAGCTTTACAAAGTGAGTGTTGAGCGCAGTGCAGCACAGCATATGTCCGCTGATGACAAATACTACATTCAGGACCTGACAAAAGGGCGGAGTCTCTCGGCCAAGACCTTTACTGAGTGGCTCATCATCTCTGTCTACCAAGGGGGTGCGATCATGCTGTTGAGCCTGATCTTGTTCGAGAACGAGTTTCTCAACATCGTCAGCATCAGCTTTACAGCGTTGGTGGTGAACGAATTGATCATGATTGCGCTAGAGATCACGACTTGGTGAGTACTAGCTCTTGTGCTCAGAAGGACCCAACGCTAGAATCTCAATTTGGCAGGCATGTCTACATGGTTATCTCGGAGATCGTCACACTCTTTCTCTATTGCGTAAGCATCGTCTTTCTGCCCGAATTTTTTGGTAAGTTCCGCCTTGAAGTTTGCAATGATATCGGCGGGCTCAACAAGTTCGCGTTGCAGACCTCAAGTTCGTTCTGTCCCCACGCTTCCTGTGGAAAGTTGCTCTCATCATTGCTGTCAGCAGCTTTCCGCTATATGTCATCAAGATCGTGCGATCGAGGTTGGCTCCACCTAGCTACAGCAAGCTTGCGACATCGTAGAGGGGGGCCTCTGCTGCATACCCGCTCAACTGTATCCTACTTCGCAAATATACCAGTCCTGACTTGTGCAGACCAGCTTCAGATTGAGAACGCGCATACACAGGCATGAGAGCCAGTTTCACTCGCCACCATCGAGCAAGAATTTATCCAGGTGCTGACGCATCTCTGTCCGTTCTACCCTCCGCACGACCTGTTGATCGCCGCGTCGTTGGGTCGACGGCGAAAATCCGCTGCTGTTCAGTTGTAGCGCGGAATATTCGCTCGCGTTTCCATCCAAACCGATACGTTGCACGTCGACAAAAGAATGGTCGTATCCCACACTGGTCAAAGCCCACATGTGAAGCGCATGCGCAGGAAGGGGCAGAGTTAAATCCTTGTCGTGCCCATCCACTGGAGGTGTATCCAGCACAAGCGTGCATGCATAGCACAGACGCGCAGTGAGATCGAGTTCACCCGCTTCCTGCGCCACGGCAGGTTCCACGGCTTTCGGATGGGTATGCGATGATATCGCATCGGACGAACGAATGCTGATTTTGCTCCTCCACGACCTAGCGTCTTCCCGCTGAGCTGGCATGCAGCAAAGAGGACAGATCGGCGATTGAGCTCCTTCCTTTGTTCGCGAAAGCGGAAAGCAAGAAAAGTCACAAATGTCATGGACCATCTTAGCTTGCGATGCCGAAAGTAGACGCGTGTAGAGAGATTTGTCAAGGAAGTCTGGTCCTGTTGAAAAGGAACTCTCTGTGTTGGACCTGTTCTTCTGTTTCACAGAGGGGTCATGGACCTCAAACACGGGCTGTTGACCAGCCTCGTCTTCAGCAGGAGACGCATTATCGCTTGAGAGGACCAGCTTTGAGCCAATTTTACCAATTGTGCTGACAGTGCTCGAGACATTGGTCTCGAGCGACAGCACGAATGCTTCCGTGAGGCGTTCGAGGCTTGCCTTGCTGCCCATCAGCCCTGGATTCACATCCGCCGTAGGTGCTCTGGGGACATGCTCGCTCGCAAAGAGAGCAGATCCTGCAAGATCTCGCGGTTGGATGTATTCCAGGTGCTGGTTGTGGACAAGCCAACCTAGCTCTTTGGCGCTGCAGTCTGCTAAAGGTCGAAGCACGAGCACCCGGCGATCACCAGCAGTAGGAAGGCCAAACCATTGCGCAGCAGCGTTGTTGACCGCCAGCTTGGCACCCTCGCCTTTCGAAAGAGCATCCATGAGCCGCACAGCCGAACGAGTCGCGGACGTTCCAAGAAGAAGGGCTTGGTATGCTTGTGCTCTGGGCAAAGAAGCCTGATGAGGAAGGACCGCCACGCGGCGTATGAGTGTATCCATGAGGATACGGTGCAGATCCTCGATGCGGGTCAGGGCTGTGCGAGATGTGGCGCTAGCGTTGGCCGACGCAGTGCACTGGCTGGAGAGCGGAGATTTAGCAGCGATGCGTGAGAACAGGTCCAGGAGGAGATGTCGGTTTGACACATCCGTTGAAGAAATGTACGAAGGTGCAAATAGACTTGTGTTGGCTAATGGTGCAAAATGCTCTTTTTGAGTTGATGTCTGCCATTGCGACTGCAAAAATCACTCACGATCGTGCTTCACAGTGCAGAACCATGCCCTGCTCTCCTCATCTTGCAGCCCAAATGTGCCAAACACTTTTTGGGCTAGCTGTTCATCGCTACAAAAGATATCCTCCAGATTGAGCGTAACAAGTCGGTACCTGTTTCCGTAGTCCGCCTGAGTTGAGCAAAGCAGTGCGTTCTGATTGTCTATCATGCGTTGAAGTGTATCTCGCCTGGACTTGCGAGCATAGTCCACTTCCTCACTCGAGGAAAAGAATAAGGCAGAGTCGTCGACGTGTAGTGCATCGAGCACATCGATGTCCGCAGGTCGTTGAGTACCACGAGCTCTTCCGCGGCGCCCAGCGTCAGGTGATCTTTTTTCAGTGCTGATATCAGGAACTGCTGAAGATGTAAAAAAAGCCGACCCTGAGCCAACGGATTCGGTATCGTTCCCATCTAGGTTAGCGTCGACTGCTCTGTGCGTGAGCCGATTCGTTGATTGGACGGCAACATCAGCAACGATGCCCCTTGAACCCTTCTGTTGGATCTGTTGCCTCCTTTTCCCGCTGATGTACATGTCCACGCCAAAGATGTCTGCTGTCAGATGCAGGAGGGCACGGCTATTGGGGCCGCCACTCAGCGCGATGAGCACGCGGCTGGGGCTCGACACTTGTCCACATGCTTGCTGCTCGAATTGCTTTCGCATAATGCATGCCCCACGAGCATGTGTATATCCTCCTACGCTCCTGCTCGCCCGGTTGCGGATTAGGCGCAGCGCGCAGGTGGTACAAAATCGCTCTTCGCGAAGCTTGAGCACTGGGCGGTCATCTCCTTCATCCTCGACGGGAGCAGCTTTTTCAGCGTTCTCCCCGCGTAAGGCAGCCGTTGCGGCATAGCGAGGCGATTGGCAACGTGAACAAGCAAAGGGATTGCTAGCCGTCGCCCTCTGCTTCGCTGATCGAGCTGCATGCCGCTCTTGTGGCGATGGAGATACAGCCGACGATGGCGCCCGACCCGGCTCTCGACAGGCCGCTTGAGCTTGTTCGTCGTCAGGGTCTGGGCACGGCATTGAGGGTGACGTCGCAAAAGCTGCGTTATTCTGACCTCTGGAAGGTGCTTACCCTGCTACCCGAGCTAGGAAGAAGAACAAGCTTGTGCGTCAGTGCATGGGTCAATCCATCGAGCTAATACATCAGGGAGCTTCTGGTCTGTTCAATACCAAATACTTCAAAAAAATGCATTGGAAAGATGTGGGTTACATTGAATCTGTGATTATGTAATATGGCTGATGTATAGCCCTAGTTCATTGGCATCGCAAACGGTCCAATGGAATGTCTGTGGCACGCAGACAAGCACATGACAGAAAGCAGCATAACTCGGCCTTGGAGTGGGAGCCCAATCATTAAGCACTTCACGAACCGCAGGCGTTGCACTTCGGCCATCACCTGGTTGTCGTATCCCACTGCTTTTCAGCGGAAAGTCAAGCAGAGTGAGAACCGAGGAGCAGAACGGCAGCGGCGGCGACACTCGAGACTGTGGAAGCCTTGGACTAGCGTCTGGCGCGAAATATGTCGCTGCTGTCGTCCGCGCAGCCTAGCAACGAGGATGTGCTCAAGGCGGTGCACGAGTTGTACGAGCAAGGCGCTCAGAACGGAGATCAGAAGCCTGGCGCGAAAAAGTTGCTCAAGGAGATCAAGCTGCGCATGGTGACCTGGGAGCTGAGCGAACATAGGCTCAAGAAATTGCTCAAAGTTGCAGACCTCCAAGCTGGAGAGTCGACCTCTCCCGATGCAACCAATAGAAACGTAGATAAGGATGCGCAGAATGTTCATGCAAGTGGAGAGAAGGAAAACGGCAGTCAATGCGCCATTTTAAACAGCGGCAGCAAATCGAAAAAGAAGAAGAAGAAGTTGTCTGCAAAGCAGGGAGCGGACCCTTTCGTTCCCAGCTCATCGATCGACCCCACACTTCCGCTTCCTTCCAATGTCGAGTCGCACTACTTTGACGCAGTCAAAGGAAAGGGCCTGCTGGCAGCCAAGGACTTTGCAGAAGGCGAAGTGATCTTCACAGAAGATGCTTACATCCCAGGTCCCCCAGGACAGTACATCAGCAGCATGCTGCTGGGAGAGCTATGCGACTATTGTTTCTTGCCCGTTTCCACAGCGACTGGCAGCTTGAGCGTGGCATGTTCGCAAAAGAAAGACGGCTGCCATGCACGCTGGTGCAACAGGCTTTGTGCGAATAGGGCTATGGCGAGCCATCACCCACTCATGTGTGATGGAGGCAACTATCTCATCCGGGTGAGCGCTTACGAGGCTTGCTTTTTATGCGCACACCCAAATACTGACTGTGAAACTTCATTCCTAGCATTTTAACCATCTCGTCGCAAGCGCAAAGTGGGGTTCAGCACTTGTCGCTGCTCGATCGCTCTGCCGTATTCTTCTTACCCACTCTGCACGGCCCGTTGCTTCACTTGAGAGCGCAGTAACCACAGCAACATCAGCTGCCTCTGTCAATGTCACCGGCGCCTCTGTAGGGACGAGGAACGCAGAAACGGAGACCAAGCCTGCAAGCGCAGAGGAAGTGTTGAGGCACATCAACGCTTTCGCCACCGTCAACGACATCATTCGTCGAAGCCGCAACCCCGCATGGGCCCTCGAAATGCAGCAATTCACTAGTTCCGTCAGCATGGCATACCAGCTCCTCCTCGGTGCGATTCAGCCTGAGTCTGACGCAAGGAAGAAATTGCTTGAGCAAGCAGACTCTGGCAACCCGGATATCAAGCCGTCCCAGGTGAAGAAGGCGCGCGACTTCCCCATTAGAGGCACTTTCCCAAAGGCAATCTTGGACCAGATTTTTACCTTTGACTACTGGCAAGAGCTTCTCGGCCGGGCCAACATCAACATGGAGAACCATGGAAGTCTTTGTGAGCAGTCACGTATCTGTTGTATTGGGGAAGCTTTCACACTCTGACTTGGAAACCCTGCTTGTTCAGTCCTCGTGCATAGCCAGCTGAACCACGCATGCCGGCCGAATGTGTCTATCCGTCACATGGCTACCCGTGGAGGCGTGCGACCAGCAACGAAGATCACGGCGGTCGCAAATACTACCATCAAAAAGGGAGATGAGCTCGTGATCTCCTATCTCAACTTGTCTGAGGATGCCGGCGTGCGTCGTCGCCGCCTCGTCCTTTGGCGCGACTACATGTTCGGCCCGTGCGACTGCTTGCGTTGTTCCCGCGAGGTGGCGGACATGAGCGCAGAAGAAAGAGCGGCTCTCGAGACGGAGCTCAAGAGCGGCGATTGGAAACATGACCATAAGAAGGATGAGCTCAAGGAGCGAGTAAAACAGATGGAACTCATGCAACAGCAGCAGCAGGAACAACAGCAAAAGAAAAATGGCGACCCGCCCCAAATCGAAGATGCCAATGGGGATGAGAAGAGTGATCAGGCGAAAGACCGCGACCTCTCTGGGCTTGCGGACGAGGTCAAAGCGGCATTGGGTTATTGAACATCTCTAAATTACATCAGTGTATATTAGAAAAGCATGCGCAAATCAAAACATGGGCGTGCCGCTCGAAGTCTCCGGTACGGTGTGGAGCATGTAAGAGCATCTTCCCTCAAGATCATGAGCTGAACATAGGCAGAATGTTGCGCCTGACTTGTGGGTCTAACCTGTCCTACCACGGAAGCTTACTTGACGCCTCCACCCTGCAGATTCTGACTGCAAGACTGTCCTTGGCAAGGCTTTGTCCATCTCTATGACAGTCGTGGTTACCAGCGCTAGGGATGACCCGAAGCAGAGTGACGTAATGACAGTGGTCTTTGGAGAAGACTTGTAAGAGACAGCAAGAGGAGCGCAGAATTTGGCTCTGACACTAGGGTGCCTGATGTTGAGTTCGTTAAGGTGGCGTCCTTGTTGGTAGCGCCAAAGTCGTGTGCTTATGGATCTGTGAGAAAGTGCGCCTTTCCGATCCTTCGTGTGACCCTTGCTCATGGCCGATCTGTTGGCCTTCCATTGCGAGCGACAACGGTGTTGATTTGTGTGCCGCTGCCGCTTGCTGCCACCCCCGCAACACGGGGCAGGTGAACTGATGGTATGACGTTATACCATCTGTTCTTAACGGGATACTCTCCAGAAGGAGGCCATGCTGCGAAAACCGATGACCAGTACGACAGTGGCATGCAGAAACAGTATCAGTATCGCTTTCATTGCCGACCATTTGGTGCCGGGGATTCACTAGGTCCATGCAGGGCCAATGATCTCGAGCAGAGCAGACGCGCTGAAGTAGCCGACCGAGTCGTGAAGGTAGAGACGCGCAACTGTAGAGAGATTGGAGAGTCGCCTCCAATGGCATATCGACAGGAGCGGGCTGCATGAGCCCTCGTCACAGGCTCCCAGGGCTCTGGTGACGGTGAAAATTAGGACAATATACATCGAGAATGGTCACACTGTGGTTGAATGAAGATGCTGGACATCATGGAGTGGAAATGGACACCGATGCCCTGAAAAGTGCTTGCGATAGGTGGCCAGAGGTAGCACATGGTTGTATATTGACACTTTACAGATGAAGGCGGTACGCAGATCCGGTACAGGTACAGGCAGGCTGCGAGATGGAACGTTGTTCAGCATTGCATGGTGTGTGCGTGGTTGAATGACAAGAAAATGACAGTGACACCAGCAGCTTAGAATGTGCTAGCATGGCACCCTTCAAGCAACAGGACGCAGCCGTCCGTAACGCTCAACCACGGTGCGCATTGCCAAGAATATCGCTTGCCTCATGTTTAAGCACGAGATTTTGAATAGTGCGATAAGCTCTGGCATTGATGGAGACTTCGCATTGGCTAACTGAGAAAGCAATTTTGGTGGCGCGCAGACTAAATGGCTTCATTGTGAAATCAGGTTCCAAAGCTGGATGCACATATAGCGCAAGGTATTCTCCCGACTTGGGATGGTGGCCTGTATTGACATCGTGAGAAGTTCATGGCGCTGGCGCGATCGTTGTTAGACACTCTTGTTGGGCTCGGCACTGTCATCTCGCAAACCATCTTTCAGTTTCACTGTAGGGGTCATACTCTGCCTCAGCGTTCCAATCACCAATGAAACCACTCGCTTGGCTGAAGAAGCACCGGCCGCTTACACCGCAGCGTTAGCAAGCGCAGATGAGCAAGAGACATATTGTGCTTCAACAACGCTAGCGTCGTGGACTAGGATCGATATGAAGCACAGCCACGGAGACATTCGCACGCAGGCGCTTTATGCGAAGATGTTGGGTTGATGGGTTGTGCAGAGAAAGTAAAGGCGCTAATGTTCGAGGCAGGTCAATGGAGCCAATTATGCGATGTGTGCTGGGGTGAGGCTAAATGATAACGGCATGAACCGCGGCTGTCCATTGCTCTTTGTGCTGTACCGAATCGGACCGAACCTCACTTTGAGCTATGAAGTCGTAGGTAGGATGCATGAGGCACCGCTAAAGGCAAATTGGGGAACCTCATCTAGCCCTCGGCAACCATTGAGGGCGGTGCACAGTGATGGCGTTTCCGGCCACGCCACTAGTGACGCGTAAAAAATGTTTGGGAACTTGGTGATGTCCTTGAGTTCTTGGCATTCAATCGAACTAGAATCACCCTTGCGTCGGCCTCGGGCGACGCGAGTCAGGCTGCTAATGCTTCACGGTCTGTCAAGGTAGTGTCGAGCGAAGCAGACTATCCTTCGACAAGCCAAGTGCAACCTACGCTCCCTATCTGAGTGCACGAAAGCTGCGACGACTGCTGCATATCTCGCGTTGATAAGTGACGTTGGGCAAGCGGTCAAGAACTTTTGGTTCAAGTGTTTCGACAGCGCCGCGCAGAAAAGATTTACCTAGCGTTTTGTACGCTGGTCAGAAATTGTCCGAACTTTCGAGCGTGAATGAGACAGACGCTACTGAGTCTTAATGCCTTGGGAGATGCCAGGTCAAAGGAGTAGAATCGGCCCGTTACATCTAGCTGTCGCCAAAGGGGATGTCAGCCTGAGTGACGCCCTTGTCGCTTCGAAGGTGACAATGCGCTGTGGGCGGGATACCTGATCGAGCATCAGGAGGGCCCGGCCCATCTGGTCGCTTTCATTCTCATCGCGACCATCAAACCAGGGCAGCCTGTGTTCCTTTGCATACACTCACGGTCCACGGCTGATGCCGCAGGGGACGAAGGAGTAAAAGGTACCTCTGGTGAACGAGAGTGGACCGATGGAAGGCAAATCACATTTGGTGTCTTGGTGCTGAGCATGATTTGCACCGATTGTGGATTCCAGGATGCCACACTCCACTGTGGAGTCGCCAATTATCCTTCGACTGAGATCTCTAGCTTCCACCTCCCCTATCAGTTGTGCATGGCAGCGCCGAGTATTGCCCTACCATTCATCGTCCCACTTGGTGATTTAGGTCCCCCTTCAGCACACGAGCATACACTCAGCAAAGAAGCCCTCATACTATAGTGCAACTCCTACGCCCCGTCGCGTGACCATGGCCAGCCTGTTATCCGGCATCTACAAGGGCGGCGATAGCGAAGCCACCCCGCGAATCCCACCGCCACCTGGCGCGTGCAGCCCAAGCGGCGACGGCGGACGCGGAAGCGGAGGCGGCGTTGGTAACGCTTCTAGCACATCGACTGCCACTTTTAGCGCCGCCATGGAGAGCGGCGGCCCGCCGATTCCGACGCCGCTCAAAGCCGTGTCGTACGCCATGTCCAAGATCGCCCCTTTGTCGCTGGCCGACACAACATGGGACAATGTCGGCGTCCTTCTCGAGGCGCCCTTTCCGCGTAGGTCAAAGGGTGTGTTCCTCGCTATTGATCTCACTCCGGCCGTAGCGGACGAGCTTCTGAGCGACGCGAACAGCAGCATCAGCGTTGCCATCATTTACCACCCTTGCATTTTCAAACCGCTCAAGGCGCTCAGCTGGTCGGCATCATCTGACGGCGCCAACTCAATGCTCATTCATTCTCTTTTGCGCCTCTCCGCTGCTGGGATCAGCATCTACACGCCACACAGCGCGCTGGATAGCGCTCCGAACGGGATGAACGACTGGCTTGCATTTGTCGTTAGCTCCGACGTAGCCTTTCAAGCGGCCGGCCTTGCAGCACTAGGTGGTGGATGGGCACCGATTCAGAAGACCAAGGTATCGCAGTATATAGAGAAGGCGGGGCTTGGCCGCCTTGTCTCGCTCAAGGAGTCCCGGACGATAGAGCAGATCGTGAGCCGTATCAAGAAACATTTACGATTAAAATATGGTGCGTTGTCGCTTCATCTTCATGTTCATGTCTCGTATATTGACGAATCTGAGGTGACACATACAGTGCTAGTGGCGCAAGCACAACCACCGGATCATCAGATAGAGACAATCGCGGTACAAGTCGGATCAGGCGGATCGGTGCTGCAAGGTGTATACGCCGACCTTTGTAAGTGATGCGCACATGAGATTGGGCTCCGATTTTTTGTTAATGTAGCAGGTTTGACGGATGTGCTTTGGTTTTGCGGCGCTTCTCCAGATGTCACCGGGGAGATGTCACATGTGAGCCTCGCGTCGTTGCCTGTTACCCGACGGCTACCTGCAGCCGCTGACACTCGGACATGTTTTATGTGCAGCACGAGTTGCTCGCCGCCAACTCGCGAGGGATATCGGTGATCTTACTACATCACTCCAACAGCGAGCGGGGATATCTCCAAGACGTGCTTGTGCATTTGCTGCACATCTTCCTTGGCGAGGAATACGGCATTCGAGTTAGTGCGCGAGACCACGAGCCACTTTCTGTCATGTGACGGGAAGATAAAGATGGAATGGGCTCAGGCAAGGGCCGCAGTCATACCACCTGTACTTGTACTGCTTTTGTTCGTGCTGTTTTAACACAAACACAGCAGTTGCTTTATTTTGAGGTTGGCTCTTCTGCTACTGTACAACAATCACAATGTCCATCAAACACTGCAGGTGAAAGGTCTTCCGACGTTTCCTGTCGCATATTCGTCTCGGATGCCATACGCAGCCGCGACGATACCCGCGACGCAGAGGAAGGTTGTGGCAGCGAGTATACCAAGCGCGACCGCATACGCTAACGCTCGCCCCCCAAGTGCTGAAGGCAGGTACAGAGGGCGCCAAATCCCCTCCTTGTCGCGGCAGGTGGCCCCTTGCTTTTCCTCGATTAAAGATGGTGACGAGTCTCCGCTAGGTTGCTGCTGTGCTTCAATAGCATCCTCGCGGATTATGAAGAGGTGGAAGAGGGTGGCCATCCCGATGAACACCGACCAGAACAGACTGACAGCAACCAGAAGTGGCAGGGTATCACTTGTTAACGTCGGAAAATGCTCTAGTATCTGTGAAAGATATGCCTCAGACTCACCTTGACTCGACTGATAAGAAGGAAGAGAAGAACTGCATCGGCAAAGATGACGACCGTCAAAGTTAGTCGGTGCTGAACTGAGTAGCGACTCGATTTGGGCACTCACAGGGATCAGCTCCGCAAGAATAAATGCGCAAGTCCACGTGAAGATGTTGACTGCAATCCAGATGATCCAGACTCTTCCCTTTGATTCTGGGGCCGTCAGGCTTTTGGCACTGGCGCCGCGTCGGAATCGGCGCTCGACAAGCACGAGCAGCTGCTTGCCACTGACCTGCGCGCTGGCGCAGCCGGCGATGAGAATGACGGGCAAGCCGAGGCCGTAGCCGATCTTACTGAGCAGCGGCGTGAGACTGCTCAGGCTCGGCGACGTGGTGTACTGACCGAGCGCGTGGACGATGACCCCGCCGACGATAGTGTACAGGACGAGCTCCACAAGAATAAGGATGGCGAGGGAGCGCTTGAACTCGGCTGGCTTGCGCATCTCGGAGATGATAGGCATGTACGATGGGCAGGCACCGTACGAGACGAGCAGGTTGGTCACGCTGTTCATGGCGCTCAGGAAGGACGTGTCGCCGCCGGCTGCAGGTCCGAACGCAGCAATGCGGATCGGCGCGCTACCCGGCGGCGCGTTCTGCGGGCCAGAGATGTTGGCGGCTATCATGACAAAGACGACAACGACGGTGATGGAGGAGAACGAGATGAATGCGAGGACCGCAAAGAGCTTGTAGCTCCGCGGCAACGTGAAGACGAACGAGATGATCGAAAAGACCAGCGTGAGGACGATCGCACACGTGTTGCGCCACCCGAGCGTGTAGAAGGCGGTTGCGCCGAGCAAGCTGTGGTTACCTTGGAGGAAGATGGAGAAGAGCAGCTGAATGGCGCCGAAGATGAACCCGCCTGTTTCACCGTAAAGCAAGTGTCCGGCATCGGATAGGTTTTGCAGCCGAGGGTAGCGCAGCTTGAGCTGCCAGTACATCAAGCCAGTGTACCAGTGAAATGCGGCGAAGAGGAGGTTGAGCAGGACGAATGGTACCACGCCGATGTTTGCCACAACCTGAGGTCCGATGTGTGTTTTAGGGGGGATGAGATTATGAAATTCAGTCGAGGTCCATCAATGCAATCATCAGCCGATGCGCTTACAGCAGGGATGGAAAGAATGCCCAGAGCAATGGCGTAGCAAAGCATGTTGAATGCGGAAGCATACATGCCCACTTGGCTCTTGACGCCGATTTCTGAGTTCTCTCCGGTGTCGGTCGTCTTGGCCTCAGCGTCATCGCCCTCAACATCGTCACCATCGGCATTTACATGCCGGGAGAGTAAGCGCGCTGGCGAGCGATAAAATGCCTTGCGCGCCTCGAGCCCTGCGCCTTGACTGCCCACGAGACGGAAGAAGAAAGGATGAGGACGCTGGGATGCTACAGCCTGGACTGCGTCTGGCATGACGCCAGCGTGTGCGATGTTCCAATCGGAATGCGAGTCGGGTGTATTCAGCTGCACGGTAGCTTTAGCTTCCTCGTCGAGTTTAGGAGTCGAGGCGACGTGGGCTTTTTCATTCTTGGATGACTCGGAAGCCATGCTGATGACGAATGAAGTTGCTCAACAATGTCGCTTGGCGTGTGTCTCAAGAGAAGCTTTTCCAAGGGAATATTCGGCGGAGAAAGTGGCCTTGTCTTGCCTTCTAAAGATCCGGGATAGTCTCAGGAGAATGGCGGTTGGATACAGACGAGGCGACCTGCAAGTAGTGGTGCGTATCTTCTTCGTGATCCTGCCAGAGTAAGTCGATGGAATCTAGAGCACTTCTTTTCCCATGTGATACGACAGCTGGCGCACGACGCAAGGCAAGCGATCCAGGCTCCAGCAGCGTCGGGAAGAGAGAGTGTGTATGTATCGCGATCCGCCCACCACGTCGATGGACACCAGCACCCCTGAGATCATTCTGACTCCCCAATCAGAAATGGTGGAGAGAATGCATAAACACTTGTGCTGTCATGATGAAGAAAAAAATCAAATTTTTTTCGCTTTGGATTCACACAGGAACCCAGATGTCCTGTTGAAAACCGCTTCCGAATTTTGGTCAGATCCGTGTTGAGCGCGAAGTATTCATGCAGAGGAAACAATTTAATTTTGCCAGTTTTCTAGCCGAACCCCTGTTCTGCAGCATCCCAAAGCTACCATACACGGGTTCATGTCCCTGTTCCGCTTTGTTTCAGGGAGAAGAAGGAATCCGGGCTCCATTTCCAACGAATGCCCTCTGCGTAGATAAATGTCTCCAAGGACCAGGCACCAGGCACCAGGCCTCAGGCCTAGCGGCTCCATAGAGCCTCTGTGGAACAACCAGGTGAGGTTAGCCCGCGGCAACCCACACTTTGATTGGAAGGCATGTCCTCTTCAGCTTCACCAGCCAGAGTTCATTTCGAGCATCCAGATCCGCGCCCTACCCTGCTGGTCGCTGCTATTGCTGAATAGCCTTTGCTCTGTTCGGCAAGATCTTTGACTGGATAACTGAGCGTCGTGCGGCAAGACCATCATGGGGAACCGATTCATCCAGCCAATATTGCACCGCAACCATGATGGTCTACTTCAATAATACGGTGAACATCATGAGCAAGTATTGGAGGCGCTCGATATGGGGCCTCCGTGCGATCCTTCCTTGGCATCTGGCAAGTCTGCATAGTTACCCATGAAGACGCTCTGGCCGTGCGGCTTCTTCAGAAATGCATGGACAGAGGAATCAGTATCGGTTGCAGTCAAGACACCACTCAAGGTGCTGGTGCGCATCGCACACACAAGTAGGACCGCTGCTTCCATTAATACAACGGCTCTTTACGTCCCAAATATTACTTCCATGAAGGAGAAGGACCTTATGATCATAGAAGAAGAGTTGGTGGATCTGTTGAAGCGAAGCAAGCCTTAAGTAAAAACGACAGGTGGAAACCCTCGCAGAGCACAGAGTCACGGTTCCTGAGGGCATTGATGTAATGAAGATAGACTAGAAAGATCTTTCTCGTGAGCCTTGTGGCTACTGAATGCCCTTTACTCTGCTCCTTGACCTTGCGACAGAGCCGTGTTTTCCTGGCGGCCGCAAGCAACCGCAGCCCTTTCTGGCCGCCTTCGAAACGATTATCAGATGCGATTACCACAAGAACGTGGTGGATACCGCAAATAAATCTTCAGCCTATGCGTGGCTGACCCGAAGATCATTCAATATCGTTACAAGCCCCAAAGATGGAGATGTTGGCTCTGAGTCTCGGCCGTAATCTTTCGGCTCCTCTCGATGATGCCCATTCCTGTATTAAATTAAAATGGAAGCATGGCCCACGACATCTGACAGCCTTTCTCACTGATATTCATCACGCCATGCGCCTGCAGGAAGAAACCTACCATTCTGCAGCGGGAAGTTCAAAATTTGCAGAAACCTGCCCTTTTTCAGAAATACGTGCCATGAGCACCACCGCAGCAGTTGATACCATCGAAGTGCACTCAATAATGCCTGTCCGGAGCGCGACCTGCCGCCCTCATCGTCCTTGAAGGCACATCGGGGACTAAAGCAAACGTTGCTCTCCTGAAAAAAAGAGCGTGTGGAAGCCCTGGCAGAAAAGGATACGAAGATCTTGGCTCAGCAGCTCCGTGGCACGAACACAGGAAACGCACCCACACCCTGTTGCATCGGCTAAGTTCTTTTCGTTGCCTTCTATAGCAGGACCGCACTTCCGACTGTATATGTCGCATCGCGCTACTTGAGGTTATTAATGGTGCGTACTCATAAGCGCAGGTGTCTTCTGCATATCGGAGCATGCTACGTTTCCGCTTAGAAGGACTTCAGGAAATATAGATGCAGCTCCATCGCATTCTGTGCGTTTCTCTCGGTATGGAATAATGAACACCGAAGTTCATGAGGTTTCTCGATGGCCATGAAAACATGCGATACAAAACCACCGAAGTTTCATCGCTGATCAACATCCCAATGTGTCAAAGTCGGCCACATTACCAGCACAAGATTTCCAATGGTAAGGCGTTACTTACCTCTTTCTTGCAAGCTCCATGGGCTTTTACCTAACATCGCTCGCCTTTCGAGCAAATCTATATAATGACGTGACATTGCTCAAAGGACATGCATTTCGTGTCGACCGAGCACAAATGTACATATGCATCGCCTTTACTAAATGGACCCTACCCCCAGCTCAACCCATCATGCGCCCATAACATCTCTGCAATAAGACAAATTGAGGTCTGAATATATACTGACCCTCTTAGTGTCAGGCTCTTTAAGGTTCTGCATGCCAGTCACTTGAGGAAAAAACTCGCAGTGGCCCTGGTCGTTCGTGTTCGAGTTGGTTGCGTTTGGCTATTGCTGCTGGTGACTACTGCGTGCTCTGTCAAAAAAATTATTAAACACTTGAGAGCAACTTCAGCATATAGGTATCGTGAACACTTGCAATACGAATATGTTACTAAAAAGTACTCGCTGCTACTCCCAAACAACCGACTGTTCAATCGGCAACCACGCCAACAATTCCGGATTGACATTTTTGACCATTGTAAGTTCTGTCGTCCTGCTTTTTCCTGCGCTAATCTTCCGACGGCGCTACTACTTCAGTGGGACTGTCACAGGGTTAGAAATAAGTAGCTTGGCGAGCTTAGTTTCCGGTCAGATCATATGGTTCAGAGGACGAACCGTTCGCTTCTACCGGAAGTGGATTGCGTAGACCACTTAAATATGCGCCCTACCTTAAGCCGGCGATTGCGCGGCCTGTGCAGCTCCCAGATGGGATGGATGATGAGCAGCAGCAGTGATGTCAGCGCTAGAGAATGTAGCGTGGCTTGCAGCTCCTCTTTTGCCAAGGGAGTTAGGTTGAACTTGCTTCTCCATTGGTAAGCATATGATCCCACAGTTCGCCCCACCTCTCAAAACGCTTTTAACCGAAGGAATTAGTGCAATAACTGCGGACTACCCCCTTTTTAATGGCCAGGATAACAAGAGTAAAGGGCCAGATACGACGTGTGCGATTACGGCGGAAATTTAGAACTCACGAGAGAGTAAGAGCAGAGCGACTACAATTGAGCAACGCATATTAAGGGGGCTATTCAGGTGCGAGGAGAAAATGTTGATTGTGGCGATTCAGGCAAAACTGAGTGACACATGAGGTTCGATAATGGGTCGAGGGATAGGGAAAGAGGCGGGTGAATGAAGTAGAATCAAACAGCGAGAGTTAAGGGCAGGGGGCAGATGTTGACGAGCCACGATCGCAGAGAAGACAGAGTTACAAAACGAGAGAAGAGATGATCCACTTGGAAAGGCAAATTCTTCCTCTAGAATGAATTTCAGACCTACTGTGTTATATATTTGACGCTCAAATGGATTGCATACGCATTACGGGGACGTATCGAGTCCTGTGTTGCTCCATCCCATCTATGTCCTTGCACCATGCAGTAACATGATCGTACTTTGGTGCCGACGCTCTGCAGTGGGAAGAGTTGATAGCACAGTGATTGCGGCTTGCTTTGATCCTGTGACATGGATCAACGCTCGGGAAAACGCTACATCAGATGTCTTTGTGTAACACTGCCGCCTCATGCGGCATGCGGCATGAGAGACAAGCTATGCGCGATCGATCCTTTCTCGAAGGGAGCAGGGAGCAGAAAGATGTTTTGCATCGTTCCAGTTGTTTTGGGGGAGAATTCATGCCAGTGACTCATCAATCTCATCTCCAGCCCCTCGCCGCCAATGTGCTGTGGTAAAGTCAGATCTACAGGTGCTCTATAATCAATTGGCTTCGTCAACAGACGGTCAAAGCAATTCGACACGGAGGCAGTATGGAGGGATCACGCACAGTCCTCGGAGTTTCGGGCTGCCGCAATAAAGAAGAGGGAGACCCTGCTTAAGGGGTCATACATACTGCCCCACCGACGGGCATTCCTAGCTCCGCGGCCCTGCCGGATCTGCCGACAGGGCGTAGAAGAAAGGTGGCCTAGGTGAGAGAGTTGGACCCCACTAGTCACCGCCGAGGCGCCCATCATCCCCATGCATCTGTGCAAGATGCTCTCACAAGACGTGCTTTTGAGCACACTTTTCCTGTAAACTGGTGCAGGACTATGTGCTGTGGTAGACTGTGATTCTATATTCGGCTTTCTATTCACTCTCCTTGGTCCGCCCACGCACAGTACCTCGTCCGTCAACTTTTGGGAACCGACTTCGATACAATATAAGCATAACATAGGATGGAAAGCTGAAGCAAGCGCACGTAAGACACAAGAACACACAGTATACTGGAAAGTAGCTATGTAAGAGGAACTCCGTCTTAATGTTCTGATCCCGGACAGGTGAAACCGATCCTACTCTGTCCGACGAATGTGAGGTGTTAGAGTGTCGTCCAAGGCTGGCTAAAGCTCCCGATATTGTAAGGATCAGCTCGCGGGAGAACCCGGTTAGAACGTATCGTAAATGGCAGAGCCTCTAGTCTATGTTGAGCTACGTAGCCTGGGCTCTGAAAGCAAAACTTGGAACAGGTGCGAGAGTGCGCTACGCGGCGGAAACCGAGTCGCAAGAGTAGATCTCAGTCGGAGAATGGCGGATCCGCCACCTCAAGGTGGCTCTGCGGCGTCCCACGCTATTGTCTCCCCATTTAGGGCAGTCTCACGTACGGCTCATCTGAACGCGAATAAGCAGTCCCGACGGCCTGAAGCTAGAGGACATAGGGATGGCGGTCAAGAGCCGGCTCGACAGGCTCACATTGGTGGAGAGCGTCCGGTACGCTCGGTTGACTCATTCGGTGGGATCGATCCCGTCAGGAACGGGATCGGGAACTCTTGGCAGGTAACCTTCTGCCCTCGACATGTGGCAATGGCCGAAGGCGTCATCGAGTCCGCCAGCCGCCGCTTCGCATTGCTGCAGGGGCGCGTGAGCTATGGCAACATCGCTGCTGCCAGACGCCGGTGCGGTGGTAAGGGAGGCTCTCCAAGGACAAAGAACGGGGTCATGCCTTCTACGTCCTTCCCTCCTTTGTGCTCGTGGTGGATATGTGAAGGGTGTGGTGCTGACTTTGTCACTCCGGGCACTCGAAGGTGAGGCGTTGACGGACGCATCTGTTAAGGGATATGCGCTTGGATCTAACTTTTCCCCGCAGCAGCTTCGACGAGGTTCTTCCGACTTCGGTTAGTGACTCCTGGGGACCTCAGCCGATGCCTCGTCCACACTGGAGGCGGCGCAGTGCGAAACTTTGCGGCGGGGCTTTGCAGCTGATTCCTCTTCGAATTCACAGATGCGGCATCCTTGAAGTCTCGGACTGGGAGACTTTTCGCGATGCCTACAACATATGCTGACCATAGTAGTAGTCCAGTGGCCAGTAATCCAGCACCAGTTGATACATGTGTTGGCAATGTCTCGGTGTCAAGATGAATTACATGTACCTTCGAGATGCTATTCGATCTGCCTCAGGAGTAATGGCCGAGGGCCACAACAACCTAAGTCGGTGACAGGGCTGCCATGAACTACTGGACAGCTACCTCTCTAAGGTCACACAGGCGTTCGTGTCGCTTGCAAGGTCGCTGATCGATCAGTACTCCCCGACGCATCGGGAATCGCCAGCAAAAGCAAGCCGTTGCAGCTATTTTTGTGGTGGAGGTAAAGGTTACAGGATGAACGGATGCGTTCGCTACACGATCGTAGCCGCTGTCGGATAAATAACTACAACGCTTCCCCCAGCCACGGAAGTAGCGAGCGCATTGCCATGTCCTGGAAGCATTGGTGCAACGGCGAAAATTAGCTTGAAGCGCAATGAGGATTGGTGGTGTGGGTCAAGTAGGCAAATAGTACATCAGCGAGAACTTTGAACGATATCAGTGGCATTCTGGTGGGGGCAAAGGAGGCAGTAGCAACATACAAGAGATCATGGAACTGCGTATCCAAACCTTCCATCTTTCCATTTGCGAATGGGTGGGGCAATGAGACGCATCTGAGCTCTCGCATGGAATTGGGCACACACACGAGGTAGCCTCTCAGGCAAAGAAGTACAGGTTTGACCTCCGGGTCCAAGCGACCTTTCTCGGTCATACAATGGCCTTGCCTCGGTGAGTTCTGCTCTCGGCATTCGTACCTAAGTTGCCCTGCACGGCCGGCTGGTGTCGAATAGGCGAGTGTTGAGCGCCAATTGACTGCAGACACCTGCTTGACATTGTGCGCCCGCATAGTTCACCAGGTGGCTCGAAGACCAACTGCTGCTTAACGTGCGTCAACAGATCAAGTGGCCATCATGCACAAAGTACGAGGCACAATTCCTTAGTACTTAGAGCAAGCATCGGTAGCTCTCCGTTTTGCTTCAGGGCAAGCTACGAGACGCACCCATGAACGAATGTAGGGCCCGCGGACGGTGGTTTCAGAGTGATGGGTCAAGACTTGAGGGCCGATTGCTCACGATTTCTTCCCGCATGTATTGCGATCCGAAGTGGCAGTGTGTGTGTGTTCTAGCACATGCCCGTAGACCGCAATACTAGACAGAAGACCATGACACGCTCAGTCAACGAAGCAACCGTCCCCTTCAAGATGTACGCCCTGACAAGGCATGCCAGAACGTTTGCGCTGGGTGGTGCCAAGCATGCGGTGACTCTGCGACTTTTCAGCCTGTATCGACCTAGCGCGTGAAAGCACAAGAAATGCAGCTCCAGGATAGGCTACCTTGAAGGTGCAGATACCCTGCGTTGTACCCCAGAGCCAGTGCTGTACCTTGCACGGCCTCCGTTTGGCCTATTGGAGATGGTGAGGGGGCCCAGCACCAGCGTACGTCGTGGATGCGCAGAGCGGCGCGGCAATTTCATATGAAAAGGTTCGGCGAGAGCTCGGGCTCTAGCGTTCTTGCCTCAGAGGCAGTGTGCTCGAACAAAGAAAAGCTTATCGGGAAGGAATCCACTCCTATGGGGTAAGGCTTGCGCCGTGGCACGCACGTGGGCGCAATTGATTCCAACTTCCTGGTATGGCGCAATAAAACAAGAAGCTAATGCTGCCACAGGAATAAGCGTGGGTTAGTATGTAATTCAAGCCAACAATCCTCTCTCTATTAGCAGCTACTCCACACTGCACGCAGTACACACATTGTTAGTATACATGCAATGTGTACCATGTAGGCACATCGCACATCTCTCTCCTTCACCACACCATCACTGAATACATCAAATTGGCCCTTCATCGACGACAGAAGCGCAGCACAGCAGCAGAGGATAAATATATCCCACGCCACCCGCCATGCTCCTCGGCCTCCTCCTCTGGTCGCTGGCCGTCTACGGCATCTGGACTATCGCATAATCCTTCGCCTGCCCCTACAGCTGGCGCGTGCAGACTCTCAAGCACGAAATTCCGCTCCTACGCACCCAGCGGGCCCCTCTTGCGCCTGCTTCCAATCCTAAGGCCCACAGCACCAGTAATAAGCTCGATGCTACCTGCGTCGTTGCTGGCGGTAGCATGGCCGGCTGCTTTGCCGCCACCATCGCTCGTGACCACTTTCGGCGCGTCATCATCGTCGAGCCCTGGGCCACCGGCAGCGACTGGAAAACGCGCATTGGACAGATCAACCAGCGTACGTTCTTGTTTTTCTTCCCACTCCCGTTTCCAGATACAGCCCATTCCTCTCCCCTGCCACTCTGACTGCTGTCTGATGCCACTATACAGCCCATGCATACAGCCCGATACTGCGCCAGAACCTTCAGAAGATATACGGCGTGCGCCTCGCAGTGGCAATCTACGCCGCCGCTGGCCGCAACTTTCGTGTTGAGAACGCGGACTGGGTCCTGTGCGGAATGAAGGCTCTCGTCACCAACGCAGGCGACATGCCTGGCTACTGCGCCTCGCGCCGCCTGATGCAGGACATCATGCGCACATTCACCTTTCAGGACGCCAAGACCGTCGAACCCTCTGAGGGATGTACCGGCGCGGGGAAGCCCATCGACACTGTCAACGGCAAGGCGCTACAGTGTGACCTCGTCAACGTGCATGGAAAAGTCGTCGTCAAGGTCCGCCCGAGCGTGGACGGCAGATCCAGGCAGGCCGTCGTGATCCAGCCCGACGGCGTATCGACCGCGCAACTTGAATGCGTCGACTGCGCACTCCTTCTCGACTGTACCGGCAACGCTGCGATGCACCGTCGATGGATGCAAGATGCTATCAAGGTCACGGAGAAAGTGGATCACCCGGTGCAACAGCGGGGCCCCGGCGCGGCGGTCCGGCCGGATTGGAGAATGCCGAAGGAAGACAGCTGTGATACAGGCATGCTCTACATCACTGTTGGGCAGAGAGGCACTGCTGGGCCTCTCGAAGCGAACTGTGACCGCTGACGATGCGACGCACTGGGCTCTCATTCGCGACTCTTTCCACGCCATGCAGGCACCATCTCGATCCCTGACTCGATCACCGCAACGCTGCCGCGCCCGCTCGCAAATGCGCATCGGGGCTTTGCCAATGTCGGCATGATCTACGCCGCATCGCCGATGCTCGCGCCAGAGCATGTCACGTTCCACATCTCGCACCTCGAGAACAACCTCATCGAGGTCCTCGCTATCGTCAACCCGGACAGCAACTTGCTCGAGAAGCCCAGCTGGGACCCGTTCCGAAACGCCCTTGCTCTTACACCTGCCTGCCTGGCTGCATTTCCCCTCCTCCCCCTGTACAGGGCACGCATAAGGCGGCGATAGACGCAACGACGCTCAACGCATGGCTGCACCGTGCGCGCGTCGTCCACGACGACGCGGCGAACGGAGCGACCCGCCTCCCCGGGCTGTTTGGCGGCTTTCTCAAGGTGAGCCTTCCGCGCACGCGCCGATAGTACGACACAAATCTGGCCATGGACGTCGGAACGGAGCACGTGCGCGCGCTCAACCCGTCCGTCAACACGCGCCATACGGCAGTCATACGCTGGATGCTGCTCGGGCTCAGCAAAGGCGCGCACGTCAACTCGGACGTCGCCAACTCGATCGTCGACGCCATCTTCGAGATGTCTAGCCCGCAGATCGGCACGTTCCACCCGCGCATGTGGTTCAATGCCTGGTGGTGTCCCACGTTCCACACCGTGTACAAGCGCCTGGCTTGAGTCGCGTCTCGGCACACAGTGAGGAATGTATGCACTTTAGATAATTTTTGCAAATTTAGACATATCTGCCCTTAACTCCAACGCGACCCCAAACGTACGGTACACATTTCTTGAGACAACGGAAATCGTGTATGGGAAGCTTCCGAGTGTGGAAAAGGTCACGCGCAGCCGCACGCTACCTTCATCTTCATCGCACATCATATAAAAGCAGCATTGAAAAAAGACTACAAGCGTTTTGGAAGCAACACGGATAGGAGAGACGCGAACACAAACAGAAAGAAAAGAGGAAGAATTACCGGCTTTGTGTTTCGGACGGGGGATAGCTTAGCGAGTCGTGCGAGTGTGTTGAGCTCCTTTGTATTTCGTTGGCATGTCGTAATTTTAGACGGTCAGACCTGGTATCATTAAGTGTGTAATAAGGGAATGGGATAGCGGGTCGAAACGTGATGTGGCGTGGCGTGTTGTAGTACGACAGTCGAACTAATTCTGAGATCACGCAGTGCTGCACCCTCAAGCGCGAGGCCTGTGAACGATTGCGTCGTACAGCGTAAAGCCGGTGGCAACGCCGGTGATAAGCAAGCTTAGCTCGGCGGGGAGGTAGTCAAGGACGTAGTCGTAGCTCCACAGCTTCCTGGGCCGGATGTGGCCCGTGCGGCGGGCGGCGGTCAAGGGCTCGCCGACAGCGAGGCCGAACGTGCTGAGCTTCGTGTTCGTGTTGGCCGAGAGTGTTGACAAGCCGCTGCGTGGGACGATGTACGCGAGGTACAGCAAGACGACGAGGCGCGTAAAGTTGAATGTGAAGAGCGACGCTTGGTGCGCGCGGTCAAACGTGATGATGTGGGCGGCAGCGTACGGAATGGCGAACGTCCAGATGCTCCAGACGGCCAGCGGTTGCCAGAAGCCAAGGCTAATGAGTACCTTGGGGTGCGGGACGCTGATGCTAACAAAGGGCAGCTTAGCCGTGAGGTGATGGCCTGTCAGCTGGACCTTGACAGAAGTGAATTGGTCTGCTTTGCCAAACTCGACGGAGTAGAGTGGCATGAGGGCCGTGAGCAGGACAACGGCTTCGATGATGAGCAGGGCGGCAGTGATGTGCTGGATATTGGAAGCGTAGTTGCGAACCCTGACATACTCCTTGCGCACCTTTTTTTCGTACTTCTTGTACGTCTTGCGTGACTTCTTGAACAACGCGTTGCCCTGCACGGCAGCCTCCTCGGCCACCTCGACCTGCCCACCAGCCTGGCGGGAAGCGCCAAAGATTTTCGAGCTGAGGTCCTCAAAGGACGAACGGGCGGTGAGACTGGTGCGCTTGACCGCCTCGGTCACCTCGATCGCAGAGTTGCTGATGGCGGAAGAGGCACCGTTGGCAACCGCGTTGGAGCGACGACCGGCAATCTTGCGCGGAGACTTGCCTGATGGGTCCGGCGTACCATCCGATTCGGAGTCGCTGGCAGCGATAACTGATTTGCATCAGGAAGGCAACTGACTGGAGGATATTCAACGAGTACTCACGCGTCCTTCCTTGCGTCCCTGTCCAACGAGTCGTACAGACCTTGGTAACGAGGGTTACTTCTGAGTTCGCCACCAGAGCCGAGGAGATGCTTGGTGATGGTGTCATCAAGCTCAGCACGGGTGTTGCTCTCGACGAGGGTGAGGCCGAGAGATTCAGCAATCTCAATCATCTCTTGCTTGGACTTGTACTGATTCGTGTTAAATCATACATGATGCGACGCATCGAATATTGTCCGAGCCGAGCGATTGAAAGGGGCAGAATATACGAGAAGCATCCACAAAACGCATGTTCGAGTCCGTTTTAGGCGTTCAGTCATTCGAGGGAATGGTTTAGAGAGAATGAGGTGTCATTGATTGTGCACGGATGTGGATGCGCACCTATGTTAACGGTGGCTAAGAACCCTGAATCCCGGCCAAATCCTAACAAGCGCGCATCATTCAGAAATCACGCTCCTCCCCTTCCGAATCCGAGACATCCAGGCCACGGCGCTCCTTCCTTTCCGTACGCTGACCATCGACAGCAAGACCATCTTTCGATGCACCATGCACGCACTGACTCACGCGAATGGCGCCTCTGAAGTGGTCTGAATCATTTGAGGCAGTCTTGTTTGTGGACGGCGAATTGGTGCCAGACGAGGCGCGGGCGGTGGATGGGCCGTGTCGGCGCGCCGTCTGAACGGTCCGCATTGTGGATGATGTTCCGTATAGGCTTACGAAGATTGGTGACGCTGATACTACTGGGAGATGACCGTCGAACAGTGATCGTTGGCTTTGAGATGGAAAAGGTGTGGATGGATGGAAAGATCGACGTTGAGAACACAAGGGAGATGGAGAGATTGAGCCTAGTTGTGTCAACAAAGCTGATGCATTTTTTTGAGGCGGAGGCTTTTTGAAAGGGTTTGAGATCGCCGCGCCGCGCGCCAAACAAAATGACGACACTAAAGATTAACTTATTCAAGTCGTCAGGATCCTATCCTCATCCTTATCCTCGCTGCATAGCCTCTTCGCAACCATGATTGATTCAACCTCAAGTATCCAGATATCGCGTGTCAACGCGCTGATAGCCTGCCGCCGGTTGCCCTTTGTACAGATCGGTAGTGTCCATGTTGCACGAATAAAGTGTCGAAGAGGGGATATCGATTCCACGGGGGGGAGAGGTGGGGGGAGGTTAAATTATGCCAGTGGACGATATAATGTGCATCCAACGCTCATGCGCGAAGGGTTCGATCAGGTCCGATGTCTGACAATAAGAAAGTACCAAGCTTTTCCTAATCACAAGCTGCGAGAACATCAAGTGACTGCGAAGCCCCAAGACCTTTCAGCCCTTTCCCCTTTCAAGCTACCTGCCTGTGGGGGTTCAAGATGGACTTGACAACTTGCGAATGACTATGCACCTCCTGGCGAGGCCCCTCGGCGAGCAAGTGGCTCGCAAGTAACTGGAGTCTTTTGCATTCGACTGGGAGGTTGCTCGGAAGTAGGACGGAGAACGAGGGAGAAGCCCTTGGTAATTCGCGGGTCGCTTGGTATTCTCGAAACTTTCGGATTCAGAAAGAGCTTGTCGTTGTGACAAATCACACATCACCTTGATGGAACGGCTCACGTCTCAAGGCCAATGATGTGGAAGGCTCCTTTTGCCAAATCGCCGCCGATGCCACCAGTGACTGCCCCATCGACCATAATACATGATCATTGAGCTGGAGCAGGACGTGAGTCTTGGCCCCTGGACGACGCTGCTGCCTCTCGTCGGTGACGACGCACGTCGCATCAAGCTTGCTGGCGTTCAGCGAAGGCGATTCCTGCGTCTTGGCGCCAGGAGGCTACGATGATGAAGGTGGCGGCAGCGCCCGCTACGGATACGCAGACCGGAAAGTTTAAAAAGCTTGTTGCCGTACATGTACTGCCGCGGAGGTTTGGGACGGCAAGGAGCTCTACCGGAGGCCGTGGATAGAATCGTACCTACAAGAGTTCAAACAACGCGCAACACCCGGGCTAAGCATTGATGCGCGCTCTACATATAATACGATGATGGCTTGAGGTGCCCTGAACTGCACGGTACGCGTTGTGCATCTAGGCTATCTCACGGAGTGACGTCGACTCAACGCACATAGAAAGACGCAAGTACACACTAGAAGATTACAGAGAGGGTAGCATGGAAGCGCTCATTGCAAAAGAGGATCGCGGAAGTGTTTCTGCGGAGAAGGGAGCAGAGTACGTAAGCGATGCCAATCCGAGTATTCACCGACGCCACCTTGAACATTCTCACCTGATTGTTGTTTCTGTACCCGATCTTCGTCTTGAACTGCTCCTTGCGCTGGATGTCCCGGAACTCCTTATAGTAGCGTTGCGCCTCCATCGCCTCGCCGCGGTTTCTAGCGCGGACCACCTGTCCACCTCGGTCTTTGACAAGCGTGCCACTACGGTCCTCGGCGGACCGACCGTCGCCGATGAGCCGGCGCGCGAGCGCGCCACCGCTGTTGCCACCCGGTGCATAGCGCTCGGAAGAGGCGGGTGTCGTGCGAAGCGACTGGTTGTAATACCTCCGCATTGCGCGATGGCCCAATCGTGTGCCTGATGGGAGGACGAGCTCGTACTCGTTGTCTCCATAGCGTGCTTGCGGGGCCTCGGATAGATCTGAGTCTGTGTCCGAATCATCACCTTCCGTGTTCTTGTCGACATCGTCGTCATCGCCCGATTCTACATCTTCATCCTCCCACTCTCCATCCTCCTGCACCGCCGCATCGCCATTCTCATCCTCATCGTTGATGACCTCCCAATCGGTAGCGGCAGTGACCCGCTTCATTGCCTCCTTGCGGAGCCGCCTCCGCTCCCTCCGCTCCTCTCTTGTGTCTACATCGGGGTAACTGCTGCTGAAATCGTAGAAATCGCCAAGCTCCAGCTTGTCTTCTTCCTCCTCGTACGCGATCTTGCAATGCGCCTTATCGATCATGTGCCCCTGCACCGCCTCTTTGCTAGCGAAGCCGCGGCCGTGCCCATTGCAGTAGAGGCAGATGTTGCCTACAGCTACTTTGTCCGCGAGATACTCCATGAGGCCGGCCAAGTCGGTGAGGTAGGTGCGCTCTGGGATGAAGAATGAGTGCGCCTTGCGCATGTGCGCCAATGTGTCCTCCAAAGAAGAGAAGCGCTGAGTAGGCGAGATGCAAAAGAAACAGGTCGTGTTGGGATTGATGCGGGATGCAGAGGCGACCTTGGCGTCGATGGCTGCTTGCATCTGCTCCTCTGTCGCATCATCTGGAAGGGTGGTGGGCAGATTCGATCGTTTCGACTTGGAATGCGAAGGAAGTTGAGCGGAGCTAAATGAAACAGACGGCAAAGCCTCCTTGAGCGAGCCGGTTTCAGCAAGTCCGCTCGCTGCGGAATCCGATGGCGCTGCCTCCGCGTACGGTACCCGAAACTTGAGCGGCACTTCCTCGGTCGGAGCCCCGTCGTCTTTGCTTGCGGCCGGTAGTGGCCCCTGAGCTGCCTTGCACCCCTTTAGAGCCTCCACCTTGGCTACAGTCTCGCGATGCTTGCGAGATCCCATGTGGTCTTTGTAGGCATTCCGTGATGAAAAGGTTTTGCTGCATGAAGTACGAATCACGTCAGTTAAATGTCACAGTTGAGCGCTATCCTCGAGACGGGGCCCTCCTCACCCGCAAGGGCTGCACCTTCCGCCTGCTTCTTCCTCCTCAATTTCGTTCCCTTCAGCAGCGCCACCACTCTGGTGCTTCGCAAGCTGCTGTCTGCGTTCGAGGATCTTGGCATTGAAAGCGTCCGCCTTGACGGGCGGCAAGCTCGCCACACGCCGCTTCATGTTGTACCTATGCAAGTCTGTACGATAGTGTGCTCTCTGGTCATCTGGATTCGGAAAGGCAATCGCGCAGGATAGACAGGTGAAGAACGGGGTCCCGCCAGGCCCGAATGAGACTCCCGATTGCTGTGGGGTGCTCGCTGGAGCGAGACCGACCGAGTCGACAAATGTCGCCATCTTGGCGTCTTGCACCGGTTTCTTGCCGTACAATAATACTTCAAGGTGCTTGTTTGACGTCTGTTGGGGTGCTTCAGACAGCACACCAAATGCTTTCAACAACGTCCAATGGTATGCTTGGAGGCCTTCACTATGGTCAAGCAATCATGCAGCGGTTAGACTGTATATATATATGCAACTCAGCTTTGCACATGCCTTTAACGTTTCTCTTTGCCCAAAAATTGCAAGGGTCGCAGCAGTCTTCTTTTGGATCAGGGATATTCTAACAGAGAGGCCCGAAAGGTGGACATGCGTGGTAAATATTCAGGTAAATTTGAAAGAAATAGTCACAGAAGAATCAAGTCTGAGTTGGATAGGCTACTCATTTGACCCAGAAAATTTTTCAGCGAGACAACCAACGTAAGTATGTGGTGCACAGGTCACTGAATGACTTAGGGTTCGAGAGTTCTCCTTGACTCACCCAGTTTTTCCGCTCTCGGCCGAGGCCAACAGACAGAACAGTTGAACTAAAACGAGGTGCTGGCAGAATATTTTAGGTCGGACCTAAATTAGCAAGCAGCACCCTGCTGCGGCAATGTTGCGCCGCCGCCCACACAACCACCCTGTAATGTCACGCACACACCACATCCAGGGCAGCGCTTGCAAGCCCGTCTGCGAACACGATGCTTCTTCGCAGTCCTCATCACGTATGTATTCATTAGACCTTCCAGAGGCCACGATCTCTCATCGGTCCATTCAGCACAGAGGGCAATAGAGTTAGTCAAGGTGAGCTTTACTGCAAAGCGAAGGATGCTGAAGGCGGCCCGCTGTCCGTGCGTGGGACTGCGAGCGGGGGACCAGGCAGAGAGGCGAGAACGATGGGCGCAACAACATGGTCACTGCCAGACCGCATACGAGAGCCTTTGGGATGGGGGGCTCGCCAGGCAAGAGTATGTCATTGGAGGTAGTTGAGCAGGTGTGACGCAGCACCCTGCCATCATGCGAGCGTCAATGGCAGCAATTGCAAGCGGGAAGAGTGAACCCCCCCAGTGGCTGAAACCGGTGCAGCAAGCCGGAGGAAGGCTGGCTACAAAAGACCATTGCGGAAGGGTTGCTGGTCTCGACATCCAGCCATGACAGCGTCCCCGTTCTGCAGGAACATGCTCTGCGAGCGTGCAGTGGTCATACTTTGGGGAAAGCATACAAGAAGGTGGAATCCCGCAATACGCCTTCGGATGGTATATCCGCAGCTGGTTCTTTAGCTCTCAGATGGGAGTAGCTGGATTGATGCTCGCATCGGTGGCGAAGAACAGTAGGGCACTTGGATTTCCAGCAGTCGAATGGAAACAGGCATTTGCCCTCAAGCTGCAAGTGTGATCACTCTAGATGCAGGACACGCTTGGCGTAGAGAAGGCTACACTAGGCAAGGATGAATTGTGGCGGCTTTAGTGGAACACTGCTATCGATACCACATAGCTAGTCCACATGACTAACCCCCATCCTTTGCATATGACGAACAGATGCAGATCTTTGTCAAGACTCTGACCGGCAAGACGATCACCCTCGAGGTGGAGTCTGGCGACACCATTGACAATGTCAAGGCCAAGATCCAGGACAAGGAGGGCATTCCGCCAGACCAGCAGCGTCTGATCTTTGCTGGCAAGCAGCTCGAGGACGGCCGCACCCTTAGCGACTACAACATTCAGAAGGAGAGCACACTGCACTTGGTCCTTCGGTGCGTACTTAACATCATGAAGAGGGACGAGGGCGCGGGTGCACAAACGCATGCATTGTCACAATGTCTGTGTTGTGTGTTGTGCAAGTCGTTGCTGCCTGCCATGGTGCTGCTGCTTAAGACCTCGTCTCTTGATTGATTGGAGTGCACCGAGCCTTCCTGACCGCTTTCTTCCCCCCTCTTGCAGTCTCCGTGGTGGTATCATTGAGCCCTCGCTCAAGGTGCTCGCATCCAAGACCAACTGCGAGAAGCAGATCTGCCGCAAGTGCTACGCGCGCCTGCCACCGCGTGCGACCAACTGCCGCAAGAGGAAGTGCGGTCACTCGAGTCAGTTGCGCATGAAGAAGAAGCTCAAGTAAACACAACGTCACTTGATTCTTTCAGGCGTTTGGCTTTTCCTGCAAGAGCTTTGGACGGTACCACGTCCATTCTTGTCGGAAGGCGGCGCCGCTGCTTGTAGTCTTATGCATTGGAAGGCACTAGTTTTGTACCACACATTGTCTGCCAAGGGTCGAACAAGGGAAGGGGTCAGCCCTTCAGCAGGTTTTTAGCGGAACACATTCATAACCGAGCACAGCGCTGATAGTCCTAATGATATAAGAGTACACAAACGGAACATGAAGGTCGGGAACGTCGATGCGCAGGTTCGAGAGGCATGCTATGTATATGTACGTGCTGTAAAGAAACGCGCATCTGTGCGTGCAAGGTGTGGCTGACTAACTTTGCATAGCTCATACCGCATCGTGGCCGAGCCGAAAAGAGGCCAGCGTGATGACTGAGAGCGACAAAATGCCGATCGCCACCGATCACCACCCAATCATCCATCAGCAGTTGCACGCATCCTGACCCTGCCCGTGACCTTGCCCGCCTCGCAGATCGACGCCGGAGCCACGAGCTCCGGCTGCACCAGCGCCTGTGATCGCGCTGCCGCCGCGTCCGGCTCCCCGTTGTGCATTCGCCGCCGCTTCGAGCGGGAGCTTGCGCGCGATCATCGTAAAGAGCTCCGAGACGTTCTGGGAGTTCTTGGCGGATGTCTCGAGGAAGAGAAGGTTCTCTTCTGCTGCGTAGCGCTCGGCATCCTGGGGCATCATTAGTGGCAAGTTTGTTGAAAGGATGATCAGCGATGCAGCATGCAGAAACACACGATGCGGAACCAGCTCGGCCCACCTCTATCGGTACCGCTCGCCTGGTCGATGCTAGATCTGCCTTGTTGCCTGCGAGTGCGATGATAATGTTGGGATCGGCTTGTCGTTGCAGCTCCTGGATCCAGGACTTGGCCTTCTCCAGCGAGCTCTGAGGAGACAATTTAAACACACAGTCAACGCATGTCAGCATGTTGTGCGACCGCGCTCTGCCTATGAGCCAGGAGGCGCAAAACAAGACTGACCGCTTGTGTAATGTCGTAGACGACGACTGCGCAGTTGGCATTGCGATAGTACATTGGCGCTAGACTCTTGTATCGCTCCTGCCCGGCTGTGTCCCTGCAATAACGCAGCAAGAGTCGAGGGATCGTGATTATGAGCCACATACCATGAAGCCCAGCGTTGTACCTGGCTTACCAGATCTCGAACTTGACAGTAGTTTGCGGATCTAAGCTGACGCTTTGTGTGAGGAACGCAGCTGCAACCGATAGTGTCGTGCAAGGTGAATGGCAAGGCACAGGTTGGTTTCAGCATACAGGCTGGTAATCTGGTATGGATGAACGAAAAGCACTCACCTCCAATCGTGCTCTCTCTGTAGTCATCAAACTGATCCTTGACAAACCGTAGAACCAGACTCGACTTGCCCACAGCCGACTCTCCTAAAAGCACCAGCTTGAACTGCAGAGTCCTTGGCACCCCGCCTGTGCCTGCTGCCGGCCCTACGTTGCGAAAGGACATGACTGAAGACTGTGGTGCTCGATGCTGAAGCTACGGAAGGCAAAGACAAGGCAGCCAATGAAAGGAAAGAGGCGCACGTTAACTCGTAGCTTGAGATAGTGAGTGCGTCGACTGCAAGCGCGGCTAGGGTGCAGCGACGAGCAGACGTAAGATATCTGCCCAACTCGGAGAGCCGAGTTTCGCTGGGAGACCAATGCTATGCGATACCTGAGGTCGAGAGGCGCTCGCCGAGGCCAAACAAGCTGAGAAAGCTATGATGACAAGCAGCTCGTAGCAAACGTCGCTCCCCGGCCATGGGTTCGAGTGTTGTGTTGATGATAGGAGGAGGCTGTGTGGGTTTGCTAACGGCCGTAGGCGCGGCCCGCACTCAAAAGTTTCTCTCCCCTTGTTCTCAATTTCTTACCATTTCCTTCACCTTTACCCCATACGGCGACTGTACATCCAGTCGCAATTGCAGCTGCGTAAGTGCATGCCAATCAGATCACCAGAGGCTGGAAGCCCGCTCGACTCTCTCAAAGCTCCGCTGTGGAGGCTCTTCTGGGGCTTTGCTTGCTGCCAGGGCTCACGACCCCATCCTCAGTCGACACGAGACCTTCGAGCTGCATCTGTTCCTTCGTTCGTCACAAAGCTGCCGGCGAAGAGCGATTTCGCCACCCCTACGGACCACCAAGAGCCTCGGCCAAACTCGGTTCCCTGAGGAGAGTTCGCCGCACCTCCGTCTTCAATCTGAGCTAGCTAGCGTCTTCTGGTGGGCTGTTATTTTTCCAAGTCAGAACACAGCAAGAGTACCTTGAGGAGAGGCTGCTTTGAGCAAAGTCACAGCGTCCAAAGGTAGTAGATCCAAGATCCTCCATCCTTCGCCACCTGAGGGTTCATCTGCCACGACTCTGGAGCAGTGAGAGGTTAGTCCGAGGGACATTCGCAAGCTTGCCTCTATCCAAAGCTCCATACCATTGAGAGGAGACCTCTCAAGGGACAGATCGCGACAGACCTTCCTCAGTCGTCCAAGAGTGGCGCAAAGGCAACTTTCATCTTTCAGAAGAATTGAAAGTCGTGTTTACCGGCTTTGAGGTAGCTTGAGAAAGGTCGGCCTCGAGCAAATCAACCCCTTGAACAGACTCAGGTGCATTCTCTGAGCACGCGCCTCTTAAGGCTCTCAGCCAATTCGAGTTCCCACAGGCGCTACACAATTGCTACGAGCCAGAGAGCATTGTTGAGGCTAAGCAGGCATGAACCGGCATCACCCGTATGGTGGATATGATGCCCGGCCCGCCGGCCGTGGTGGGAGCGCAGGAAGGGGCCTAGGGCAAGTGCGTGGCCCTACATATAGCCATCCAGCACAGCAACATCAGCAGCAGCAAGCGGTGCAATTCCCTCAAGATGCGTACGGTGCGCCGGGTCCCTCATCCTACCCTCCTGGCCCTGAACAGTCGTATGCTTATGGAGGTTCTGGTGGTGCGAATGTCCAGGCAAGCATGGGCATATCGCATGGAGGGATGAATCCACATGCCGGTATGCCCCCAGCTGCGCCACCCTCCTACGGCTATGGAATCATGGCTTCACAAAGTGCACCTTATGGTGCACCTGGCCCATCGCAGGCGCCGGTAAGGCCTCCGTATAATGCAGGTGGGGGAGGATATGCCGGCCCACCTCCTGCTCATTTTGCCCCTGCTGCGCCTCCCGCTCTCCCTTACCCTGGTGCTGCCACTGGCTTCGACCACTATGCTCAGGGCCAACGGATAGACGGGCCTCCGAGTGAGTCGTTCAAATGTCACATTTCCGCTCAGCCTCAGCCCATTGACTGACACTCGACCTCCCACCTTCCCAGTGAACATGCAGATGCCGCCTGCAACTCTGTATGAACAGTATTCAGGGTACGGTGGTGGTGGTGTCTATGGGTCAGAGCCTACAGGATCCGCCGCTGTTGAGGATGTCCGACCGCGCGATGGGCGTAAAGGTCGTCAAGAGGCTCGGGGTATTTCTCGCAAGGAGACGAACGACTTGAAGGAAGAGAGAATGAAGAAGGAAAGGCCAGGGCGAACGCTGTTCCTGCGCAACATTGACGTGAGTGTGCATCCCTTTTTGCGTATAACTTCGACTGAATCGACGATACCTCTCCTATGACATGCCAAGTTTGACACCGATCCTGCCGAAGTCCAAGCTCGATTCAGGACATTTGGCGAGATTACCAAGTTCTTCGATCTTACTGGTAAGCGTGGCCTGGCATTTTGTACCTACTATGATATTCGCGCCGCCGAGGCGGCCAAAGCAGCCATGCAAGACTTTGAGTTCAACGGTCGCAAGCTCGACATCCACTACAGTCTACCTAAAGAGGAAGATCAGCAGAAACGGTGTGATCGTGACAAGAACCAGGGCACGCTTTTCGTCCTGCTTCGAAAGGGCTCGCGGGCACTCCAGGATGCCGATGTCTATCAGGTCTTTTTGCCATTCGGAGAGATCAAGTCGATCCGCAGGTATAAAGACCAATCTCACACGCGTTTTCTCGAGTTCTACGACAGCCGAGCGTGTCAAGCAGCACACGACTCCATGAATGGCACCAAGTACTTGGACGGAGAGTGGGACTTGAAGTTCGCTTGGGACTTGTCTGTCGCTGCCGTCATTGGGACACAGGGCGGTCAGGGCCCAGCGCAAGGTCGCGCTCAAGATGGCAGAGGTCGAGGAGGCGGAGGTGGGAGCAGTGCACGCGGCCCCCAGCAGCAACAACAACAGCAGATGCCTGCCGGCTTGCAGGGCAGTCCACCGCATTTGTACAGAGTCGCAGACGCGCGTGTACGTTACCCTGGCCCGGGCCCCTTCGCTCAGGTGCCTCCTGCGCCACCTGTGGCAGCAACAGGGACGGGCGCTTCGCCGACCGAAGCCAATCGCTCGTTGGATCCAAATCGACTTGAGCAGGCGCAAAAGGTCCAGCAGCTCCTTGCGTCGTTGAAGACAATGGGAGCAGTTCCAGCACCCTCGCAGCCACATCAGCAAGCGACACCCACTAACAGTTGCCCGGTGGCTTCGTTGCCTCCACCTGCCCAGCTGGCATCAGCTCCAGCTTCCGTTCCAGTATCTGCTGCAACCGCGCAGGCGCCATCGTCATTACCAGCCAATCTCGCTGCACTCTTGGGGTCACTTGTGAGTTCATTGTCTATCAGTGCACGTTTCTCTCGTAGCCAGTCGATGGAATTACTCATGCAAATCTCCTACTATGGTCACAGCAAGCGAGTGCTCAGAATGCGCCTAGCTAAACCGCATCTTGCGAGAGGCGCCCATATGTATCAGAACATGCATCACAGAAATGAAAGTACACCTGTGGAGCAAGGGTTGCCTTTCCACTGCATATGGTCATGCCGGAGGATCACTCTCGAATTCGTTGCGGGCGAGATGTCATCACCCACACCTGCGCTACTTCCTCCTCCTTCGGTACTGCCTCTTCGCCGAGCCAGTCAGCGAGCCAGGCATGCAGCGGGCCCGCGGCGCTTTCCAAGCCGTCGCGCGCGCGTCCCCCGACCGCTCCTCCCCACCGTGCGAGCGACGCGGGTGGGACTGAGCGGACGACCTCCATACACGCGAGGCAAACGGACATGTGGCTCGGCACGAGATGCAGCGCGCGGTGCCACGCGAGCACGCGCAGGATCTCGTCACCGATTGGCAGCGCGCCATCGACATCCCCCGCAAGCTGCAGGAGGCGCAGGCGGTGCAGGAGCAACATGTACGTCTGTAGCAGGCGCGATTCGAAGATGACGCTGCGCGTGGCGCCGATGTGCCTCCAGCGCTCAATCCATGCAGCGGCGGCCGTCGTGTGCGACCCAGAGCCTGCGTGCGCGTGCAGATGGAAGCGTGATGCGACCCAGTTTTCGAGCTTACGCATGGACATTTCGCTTTTGATGAGCCAGCCACTCTGTGCGCGCGCCACGGCCTCTTCGAGCGGGTTGCGCGCGGCAATCAGCTCGGGATACTGTGCAGAGATGCACGCGAGGAACGCGTCGCGCGCGACGAGCGCGGGTAGCTCGTCGTTCCATGTTGTTGCTGTCGCGTTGGCGGCACCGTGGTAATGCTGCTGCTGCATGTTGCCATCGCCGTCGTAGCGCGGAAGCGGTGAGGCATGCTTGGCGGCGCGAAGGATGATGTCAACGCATCGGTTGTCGGGCTGCACACCGCGCTCCAGGAGGAGTAACTGGAGGCACGGGAAAATGACGGGATCATTGTCCTGCTGCACAAGCGCTTGCAGCGTCTCTGCGAGCATGAGCGACGTTCCGACAATCGGACGCGGTGATGGCAGTGCTTTCTCTTTTCCATTTTCCGCCGCCTGAACCCACGCCTGGTGCGATTGCAGCTCCAGCGCACCCGCATTGTCGTCAGCAGCCTCGCCAGAAGAGGATGTAGCCGCAGGCGCAAGCCAGCTCTCGAGCTGCTCGACCGCCTTCGCGGGATGACCGAGGTGGATCAGTGCACATACAACGGCGGAAAGCGTGCTGGAATTTGGTTGGATCCTCCTGTGCATCAATGTGCGCCACAGCTCGACAACGGCCTCGTGGTCGCCGTGCTTGAGGAGGTGCTCCATCGCTTTCGTCACAGCATGCACTGCTGCTGCTGCCGATGCCGATGCATGCATCGATGTGGGAGAAGGCAATTGCGCACCGGCCCGCTGCCGTGATTCCAGGAGCCTGTGCGCCGCGATGAGCACGCTGGTCGTGCTCGCTGCTGCGAGGGTCTCTTCGGCACTCGGATTCGCGCGTGTGTTCGTGCCTTGTGCGGCGCTCGCAGCAGCGTCTGTGAGTGCGTCGACGATTGAGCGCGCGGCGCGCGCCTCCCTGCGCAGGCGCAGCTTGGCAAAGGCGGCATGCTGTTCGACGAACGCACGCACGGCCCCCAGCGCGGCGCGACATCGCTCGTCCGCCGCACGCATCTTTTCGAGCGTCTTCATGTGCTTGTACAGTGCCTGGCGGGCGTACTTCACGGGCGATGAGGGCACAGGCGTGGGTGTGGACTTCTCGCCGTCGCCACATCCAGTGCTGCTGCTCGTGTTGGCATTGGCCTTGGAGTTGCACGTGGAGGACGTGAAGTAGATGCCAGCGGCCTCTGCTTCGATGGAGCGCTGGGCAAAGCGGAGAACGACACGGGTCAGAGGCTGCGCGACGCTATACAAGCGCCGGTCGAGCAGGAAGCGCTCGCTGGCAGCGCTCAGGATTGTCATAGCGCCCCTGGAAGAACTTTCATTAAGACTATCTCCGATGAGCTGCACCGCTTCTGCTGCCTCTGTCTTCGTGCGGGCCAGCTGCACGGCCTGGTGCAGCAGGAAGGTGGGCCAGCTCGGCGGGGAAGCGGGCTCCTGCGACTGCATGCACGCGCGCAGCTCGGCGAGGGAGCGTGCGTGCAGGGCGTAGCACCAGGCGAGAAAGTTCCCTGCGGGTATATTGCGCGCCTGCAGCTCTGCTCGCAGCGCTGCCACTGGCGGGAATGCTAGCGATGCTGTGTCTGCCGAGCGGTGCGCTTGCGGCAGATACGCATATAAGCCCTCGATATCGGTGAGCAGCGCTTCCTGCGACGCGGCTGCGGCTGCGGCTGCAGGAGCGAAGAGGGCAGTAAGACCCCCGGTGTAGAGTTGATGCAGCGGCAAGCGTGCCAGTTCTTCATTGACCTGGAAGATGGGCCGACGCCGCGCCCGGCGCGAGGACGGGGCACGACTGTCCCCGGCTGCCGGCTTGCGCAGCTGCCATGGTTGGTAAGCGGGTATGGGCTGCGCTTCTTCCGCGCCGTCTCCTTGATCAATGTGCGTCTTCCACGCGGCAGAGGCACCCGCAGCATTGGACGCCGCCCGCCGACCATTCAGCGCGGGAGCCTTTCGCGGCGGCCTTGTCCTGCTGCTGCTGCACCAGCAGGAGGCGGCCCGACGCCATGAGCAGCCGGCAGGCGACGACACTGCCATTTTCTTAGCCGGACCCGACTCGCATCGATGCTCTGCCTCCCCCTCTGCTTGCCTCCTTCAACGACGGCAAACTCTATGGCGTGCGATGCTATCTCAATGTACAAGATGTCTTCGTGATGGTAATGACTATGGGGTGGGCGCGGAACCGTTCCGGGCACTGCAGCAGTCTCCACCCGCCCACCCGTCGCTGGAGGATGATTTTTTTCTTCGGTCGATTAAACTAAGTTGGTTGGAGATGGAGCGAGGATGTTCTTCTTGTCGACGGCCCCATCATCATCGCCATCGTCAGCGATACCAGCCAACAAGCTAGCAGTCGTCGAGGAAGACCGCAAGGAGCAGACACCAGCTGCCGTGCGCTTCAGCTGCCAGAAAGACGGCCAGCCAGCCAGTCGGGGTCTCGCCAAGGAGCCAGATAGCCTGGGAGTGTGTCCCTTAGATTTGACACACGGAAGAGAATCAGAGCAGCGAAGAGAAGAGACGGGCAGGCAGCATCGGAAGGATGGCAGCTGAATCAGCAAATGGCGGCGCAGGGGCTGCAGCGGTGGAGAGCATCGCCGAGGGGATCAAAAAGGTCTCTATTGGTGAGTGTCGAGCGAAAGTCGGGCGCCGAACGCCGCGCAGCTGCGGTCCTGGTGGTCGGACGACATCCTCGCCCGTCGGTGCTGACATAAAACCCCCCACAATGCTTGGCTCCTCAAGACGTCGACAACCTCAATCCGCTGAGTCCAGAGGTAATCAGCAAGCAGGCCACCATCAACATCGGCACTATCGGGCATGTAGCCCATGGCAAGTCCACCGTCGTCAAGGCCATCTCCGGCGTCCAGACGGTCCGCTTCAAGAACGAGCTCGTCCGAAACATCACCATCAAGCTAGGGTATGCCAACGCAAAGGTGCGAGAGTGCCGGAACGAGAAACAGGCGATCAGCCATAGGAAGAGACAAGCTGACTTCGCATCCCCCATCATCCATGCACAGATCTACAAATGCGACAACGAGGCCTGCCCGCGACCGGGGTGCTACCGATCTTTCCCTTCGAGCAAGCAGGACGACCCGCCTTGCGAGCGACTAGGGTGTGGTGGCACATACAAGCTGCTGAGGTGAGTCTTGGCGAGCATTACTGGAAGGCTGGATGTATGCCTCGGGATGCAGAAATGTTGAAACGAGAAATGCTGGCCCATTGTGAAACTGTGCACACACAGACATGTCTCATTCGTTGATTGCCCTGGGCACGACATTCTGATGGCAACGATGCTCAACGGTGCAGCCGTCATGGACGCGGCGCTGCTGCTTATCGCCGGCAATGAGCCGTGCCCGCAGCCGCAGACATCGGAGCATCTGGCGGCGGTGGAGATCATGCGGCTGGAGCACATCATCATCTTGCAGAACAAGGTCGACCTCATCCGCGAAACTGCCGCCGAGGAGCACTGGAAGTCCATCACGGATTTCGTCAAGGGCACCGTCGCCAAGAGCGCGCCGATCGTCCCCATTTCGGCACAGCTTAAGTACAACATCGACGCCGTGTGCGAGTACCTGGTCAAGCGCGTGCCGGTCCCGATACGCGACTTCCGTGCGTCGCCCAAGCTGATTGTCATCCGCTCCTTTGATGTCAACAAGCCTGGTGCCGAGGTCGATGAGCTGAAAGGCGGCGTCGCGGGTGGCTCAATCCTCAACGGTGTTCTGCAAGTCGGCCAGGAAATCGAGGTGCGCCCGGGTATCGTGACGAAGGACAACGAAGGGCGCGTGCACTGCCGGCCTATCCACTCGCGCATCGCTTCACTTCTTGCCGAGCAGAACCAGCTCGACTTTGCCGTTCCCGGTGGCCTGATCGGTGTTGGTACCAAGATCGACCCGACGCTCTGCCGTGCGGACCGACTCGTCGGGCAGGTTCTCGGCGCCGTCGGCCAGCTTCCCGCCATCTATACCGAGCTGGAGATAAACTACTACCTCCTGCGCCGCCTACTCGGTGTCCGTTCCGATGACAAGAAGCAGACAAAGGTCAAGAAGCTCGAGAAGAACGAGGTGCTCATGGTCAACATCGGCTCCACCTCCACCGGCGGGAGAGTGATGAGCGTCAAGGCGGATCTCGCCAAGATCTTCCTCACCAGCCCGGCTTGCACTGAGATTGGGGAGAAGATTGCACTCAGTCGGAGAATCGACAAGCATTGGCGTCTGATTGGTTGGGTGAGTAAGCCAACGAGGATGTACCAGCAGGCGTTGGAGCGTTGCTGACAATCTACCTTTCGATTTCCGCGCAGGGTACTGTTCGAGCTGGTACGACCGTCGAGCCGGAGAAGTGAGGCGCAAGCGCCATGTACCATAGATAGTACCAAGGTATACACGTACGCACACACATCTCCTCTCCCTTCCTCGAGGGGTATCTATTTTTCTTGCGTAACAGTGGAATCTATGATACAAGATGGATGAGTGAGTAGAGGTGTGTCAAGAGCCAGAGCGAGGCAGTCAGAAGTACAACGACCAAGCTTGCGTGACGGAACGATGCGGAGAAGGCGGCTTGCGTCTGGACAACTTAGCCTGCCTACTTCTTGCCCTTCTTTTTTCCCAAGCCGCCGAACGATTCGCGTACAACAAGGTGGAGGACAGTGACATTGATGATGTCCTTTAGCTCTTCGCGCGTCAGGCCTGCGCCGTCTGCACCCAGACCCGAGGTTCGCAGGTCCGGCAGCGGGAACGGGATGGCGAGCTGCGCGATGAGAGCGGGATGGTGCGGGGCCTGTATGGACAGTGGAGAAAAATGGAACATTTGCCGTCATCTCTGAATGCTCTGAGATGATGAAACTCCGCTCAGTGCTACTCACCGGAACAAGCGTGCCGATCGGGATGCGAGTTTGAGGACCGAGGACGAGATGACACGACCAGGGCGTCTCGCTGTCCTCGGGATCGGACTCGTCATCGTCATCATACGTAGGTATAGACCGATCATGGTCCAAAGAGCTGTCCTCTTCAGTACCGCGTGAGCGGTCCCCGTGGTCGATGGCGCTGCTGCCGCTAACGCTCGAGACCTCCGCAGCGGCCTGTGAGCCTCCGTGCATCGAGCTCGGGCGCGAGCCGTGCAAGGTATTCGGTATGAGCGCAGGGCGCAGCGTTGTCGAGTTGTGCCGCGATCCAGGCCTGTTGCTGCTGTTGTCGCCACCGCCACCGCGGAGCTGCGACGGCGTGCGCCTGGGCACGATCCCGGCCTGCGCCGCAGCGCGAGCTTCCTCTGTCGCGCGACGGCGATGGATGCGCTGCGTGTCGCGCGTCCACTCGAGGCGGAAGGGGATGCTGCGCACATCCGGGTGAACTTCGGATCCGCCCATGCGGTTGACGAGGTTGAAGCGTTTCCAGACCTTGGTGAGGATCTCGTTCTGGCCGGGTCCGAATCCGTCGAGCTGCTGCGCGGCGGCAGACTCAGTCGGTTTGGCGTGACGTCTGGCTTCGCACTCAGCGCCAGAGTGGTGCAGCTGCTCGTCGAGTTTGCGCGTCCACTTGCGCACGGTCCAGTAGTAACCCTCTGCGCGCTTTTGGCCCGGCTTGCGCTCGAGCGGTACCATCGGCAGCGAGTCGGTCGCGACTGTAACACCAGAGAGTAGGGTAGCACCGCGCGAGGCAAGGCTTATGTTCTCTGCCAGAACTTGTGCATGCGAAGTCACGTCGAGACTGGTGCGCAAGCGCGAGCCTTGGCTAACGATGCTGACCAGCGATGAAGCAGGCGAGAGGATACCATGCGACCCATGAGGGGACTGCGGCTGCTGCTGCTGCTGTTGTTGTTGTCCTTGGCTCTTACTCTGCGAAGCGAGGCTGAGTCGCTTGATGCCGCGGATGAGCTTTGCCCCAATTTTATCCCCGTCGAACGCTTTCGCTTCGGGCGCCGTCGCCTGGAAGCCGGTCGGCGGCTCGACGGTACCAGGTCCCGCAGCTGCAGAGGCACTCTGCTTTGCCGAGCACGGCGCAGGGATGACGCCGGACGGAATGCTCTTGCTGCCGTTGCTCGTGCTGAAGGTCGAGCTATCGGTCGTGTCGAGCATCGACGACCGTTGCGGCGGCGCGATGTTGTGTAACGGCTGGCCTTCCCCTTGCACGGCTGCCGCGGTATCCGCAGCAGGAGCAACAGTAGTAGCAGCCACTACATTTGCTGCAAGCGTAGCCCGGTGCAGCGTGGCGAGGTCGCTAACGCCAATGACGAGTTCGTGCGGCTCGAGCACGCCAAACCCATCCAGTTCGATATGTCCCTTCTTGCTTACCTTTGCGACGCGCTGGTCAGTCCCTGCGTCCGTGATGGTTGTCGGCAGGATGGCGTGGAACGACAGATTGTACAGCGGCATGACGCGCGAGCTGCGCTGCAAGGCTGCAGCTGGGCCTGCCCCATGCCCCGGCTGTGGAGCGTGGAAGCTGGCGCTCGCGGCGCCGGACGAGGCGTCGGAGACGGTACTGGACATGCTGAAGCTGCGGTCGAGCGTTCCGCGCGGGATGCTGGGTGGGTCGATGGAGGAGGAGGACATGCGCCTGCGCTCTTTTCCCGATGCCGAAGATGTGTCCACACCCGCTTGTGGGGGATCATCGGGAAAGACGACAGGGGACGAGCTGCGGAGGCGCGCGCTGTCCATGCTCGAGCGCCCGCCGTCGATCGAGGGCCGGCTCGCACCCTGCTGTGAGCCGCTGAGCGGGGTGACTAGTTGCACCTGCATAGTAAACGGGTGCACGTGCTTCGACGGCGGGGGCCTTACCTGCCGAGCGCCGGAAGCAGAAGCACATTTCCACCAGGAGATGGCGTCAGGAACCGATCGATCACAGCTCAGAAATGATGTGGGCCCACTCACGATAACAAGTAACTCGGGCGGTGCCCCCTTCTTCTTGCTCTTGATCGATCCGGCGGCGCCGGACGCAGGGCCAGAGAGAGGGACGGCGCCCTCGCTCACGTTGAGGCTGCGGCGGTTCCTGCGCTGCGTGGCGGAAACAGAGGCAGGCGAAGCGGTGGAATCGACGCTGCGCTGGAAGCCGCTCGTCCCTGCGCCAGCGATGCCAGCGCTGTCGAAGGAAGGCGGATGTTCTGGCACGGTAGCCATGAGCATCATGCTGTCGTCATTTGCATGCGCCGTGTCAGCGGCCGAGTCTGGTCCTGCTCCTGCTGCTGTGTGTTTGCTACTGGAATTGTAGTTGGAATCGCGCTCGCGCTCAGCCTGATATTGCTGCGCGTAAGCACCACCAGTGGCCGAGCGGAGGGAGTGCGAGGCACTGCGGCCGAGGCCGCCGAAGAAGTTTGAGATCGTCCCACCGGCCGCCGCGGCGATGCCGCCTAGGCTGAGGGGCCCGCCGCTGGAGCTGGAACTGGCTTCGTCGTGCTTCTCTGCCCTTGCGTTGCGCGCGCTTGCTGCTTCGCGTTCACGTTGCCGCGGCTGGAGATGCCTGTTGAGCGCCGGCGTCACGGCAGTACCGCGGGCGGGACTTGCACCGGGAAGCTGTTCGTCCTCCTCCTCGTCGCCGCCGCCGCCGCCGCCGCGGGTGTGGCGTGCGTACTGAGTGTGCTTAGGGGACGAGAACGCCGATCTGGCGTGGCTGTGCTTCTGGTGTGGGTGAGGGGCAGCAGAGGACGGGTGGTTGGCGTCGAGCGTCGCGTCGCTCGCTTCACGGTCCCTCCTTCTGGGTCGATGCGAAGGGGCGGGGGACACGACCGGCGTCGACGAGCCCGTGATGACCGACACGAATTGGGCGGTGCTGTAGGAGGAGACGCCGCGATAATGCGACTCGCTGGAGGACAGCGATAGTGACTTGCCTTGCGACGTTTGCGCTGGACTTTGCGCAGGCCCGTGTGCGGATGATGATGATGATGCCTGTTGCAATTAGCACCGGAATTTGCGTGCGCATGAAATGTAGTGTTATTGCCGTCCGTCGTCATATCGTTTATTATTTGCCAATCAGTCAGTCGTTGGTTCATCAAACGCGGGCCGAAGAACGCGGGACGAGAGAGAAGGTCCCGTCGTGTCGGTGCGATGGGGTCCCGAAAGGAACGGGGAAGAATACCAGTACCGAGGGAGCGAAGAAGTTGAGAAAATGCGCGACCAAAGGGAGAAGAAGGGAAGCAAGCAAGAGAGTCCGTGCGTCAGTTGAGCAGCTCCAAAATGGACCAAAGCTTGAAGGGAATGATGCGGCTTCAGCCGCCCATTGGCCTTCCGAGCATGCCATTCCGCAATCCTACAGAGCGGTCCTCATGAACGCGAGGGCCGGGCTGAGTTGTGCGGTGCTTGCGTGTTTGCAGCGGCCTCCCAAAGAATGCCGCTTGATAAGGTCCTTGTTTTTTTTCCTTGCTTTGACTAGCTAATAGCAGAAACCTCGCTTGGACGCGGCAAGAGCATGGGAGCGTGCATGCGCAATGCACCATGCATGGCCTCCTCCTCGTTCGCCCTCGGTCGCCGGCCGGGCATGAATAGCCTGCGCGGCGCACCCCATTCGTCTGTACTACTCACATCAAGCACGGTTGCATCGCCAGTACCATCACCAGCACCACGACTTGCACTTGCAGCAGCAAGTGCGATTTCCGTAGCAGCCCTCGCCATGTAGACGAGCGGCTCGAGGGGTGCCGGTATAAAAGCGACTGCTGGTTGCTGCCAGGGTAAATTCAACACGCTGCGTCGGACCCTTGCCGGAAGTCTTTTTCTCTTTATCAATTATCGTCGTCGGCGTCTTCTTCCGGCTACCGCCGTCATAGGGTCGGTCGCTTTGGAGCGGCTGATTCAGTATGTATTGCAGCTTTTGCTATTTACTATGGAGTTAGTACATTGGAAGCAGCTTACTGCTGTATGTCTCTCCCCCCATCCCTACACGCGTCATGGGTGGTGGACATGGCTTTGGGAGCCTAACCAAACACTCTGCCCACTCCCGCCCACCGCGAGCCGAGCGAACCAGGTCTATGTATCTATATCAACGTGCCATGCATAAACCTAGGACGAAGAGAGCCCAGCGGGAGCGGAGCATAGCTCATGCATGTACGGCACCCGTCACCAAAGCTGCGGGGAGATGGGGGGTTGAATTGGATTGGCCCCATCCCGGAGACTGCACACGACCGAATGCGATAATGGCGTGTTTCGCGGGAGCACGGCGCCGAAAGGGAGCACACTGGGCACAACAATCAATTCAAGTCGGGAGAGCCACCATGCATTGGCGAGCGGGCCCCGAAGATACAGTACACATGCCCTCTTTCTCTCCTGGCGATCGAGACGCAGCTTATGTCCGCGTCCGATACCAGGCCTTCATTTTGCTCGCCTGATCAGGGCGCAACCAACAACTTGTCCATCTTACCAAACCCATCCCCCATTCATCACCGCCCGGGACTTTGCCAAAGGACGGACCGTTTTCTACTATGAGTCAGTCTCGAATCTAGTCCGCAGCCCCGCGGGACCCGCGGGGAAAAGTGCATTACTTTCTTTTTCTGGTTCCCTTGCTTTCCCACTCTCAACAGTCAGCCTGCGGGTTGCCCTTTTTTCTTTTCCTTGTTTGCTTTCCCGGCCCCGGCCGAGATCCTCCGGGCCGCCATTTGTAGCCGTTCCATTCATCCATCCCATTCATCCCATCAATCGATGCATGACTCTCAGATGCTGATGATGACGAGGGCCCGAAGAGGAATGAGGAGCGCTGCACCGAGGCCCAGCGCGCACCCGGCTTAGACTTCCGCTTCCTCTGCTTTTATTTGTCCCCTTGTGCAAACCAGTGTAAAAGTCTGATCACATTCCGACGGCGACCCATGCGTGCGCACTCTGTGTCTCCTTCCCTCTCGGGCCGTTGCAGGTGACGATCATGAGACCAGCAAGAGCCGGTGCCTAAGTGCAGGTCCGTGTGCGCCAACGAGCACGGGAAATGTCGGCGCTCAGCGTGCTTCATCGCTTCAGCAGTCATGCGGGCGCGGATCCGTATCTGCCGCCGTATGCAAAGCTGGCTTTGTCCACAGCAAGTGGCAACCCGCACGGCATTTCTTCATCGCCGGCCACAGCTCCTTCGACATGCGCAACGAATGCCGCACATCTTTGTGCACGTTTTGGCCGTTGAGAAGCGAGACTATGTATTCGTCGCTTTTGCAGGTCGGCTTGCGTACTTGTAGGCGTTTCGTAGCTACAGTGGGGCCTCCTGATGCGTGCTATATACGAGATGCAACGTCCAAGCGCAGCTTTGCACGTCGTACGTGAAAGGTGAAGCTCAAGCATGGGAAGGAAGAAGTTACACCTGCAGGGGAGGACGCCAAGCAAATCAATAGAATAATTCAATACAAAAAGATCTCAGTACTGTACACGTTGCGAGTGCATGTGTGATGGAACAGAGAGAGAGAAGAAAGGAGAGGAAGTTGTTCCGCGTGGTTGACGGAATGTTTTGATATAGGATGGGGTGCATATATGTAAAGACTTAGTGAAAATGCGAGACTATGAGGGAATGCACATTGCAGTCATGGCAACGCCGTCGCCGCCGCCGATTATGCTGCTCCTGTTGTGACAAGGATAGGCGCGTCGTTCGCCGTCTTGTCCGTGGCATGCGTAGTGCTCGTCACGATCCGCTGCATGCTCTCTTCAGTCTCGATTTGCGAGCACTGTGCGCCAACGCTGGCGGTTGCCCACGCGCGCTTCGGCAAACCGGAGCGGTAGAGCTCCTCGATCTCGCGCGGCGTCCGGCCGGCCGTCTCGGGGAGGTAGACGTACGCGAGCAGGACAAAGACGACGTTCATCGCCCCAAAGATCATGTACGTCTTGGCGCCCAAGCCCGCCGCGTCGGCCGCAGTGAGCTGCGGGACGACGAATGTCGTGACGACCGCGGTGACCTGGCCGTTGAAGATCGCATAGCTCATCGTGGGCGTGCGCAGATGCACGGCAGGATACTCGGACGGCGTTAGGAGCGAAATCGAGTAGAAAGACAGCGTCCAGAAAAAGTTGAAGATGAACGACAGCGCCGCAATCGTCATCGCAATCTGCGGCCGCTCATTGTTTATGTAGAACGCCAGTGCGCCGGTGGTGAAGTCGATCAGGGCGAGGAACGCGATGCCGTAGATGGCCAGTGGCCGTCGGCCTACGCGATCCATGAACAATGGCGCGGTGATCGCGCCGGCCAGCTGACAGAGGCTGCTAGCGACGTTGAGTAGGAACGGCTGCGCAACGCCGAGCTGGACGAGGAAGAGCGCGCTGAAGGTCGTGCTGAGGATGATTCCCGAGCACTGGTTCAAGGAGAAGATCAGCGCGCTGACCATCGTGCGCTCCAGCTGACTTTGCCGGAAGATATCCCAGAAGTGGACCTTTGCCTCCATCCGAACCTTATCCTCTTCCGCTTTGATGAGCTCGGCGAGCTCGAGGGAGACCTGTTGAGCCGAGCTACTGCGCAGGCGCGCCAGCGAGCGCCGCGCCGCGTCGCGGCGGCCCTTGCTGACGAGCCAGGCAGGACTCTCGGGCAGCGGCAGCGTCAGCGCGATTAGCACAACTGGGATGGCACACTGGACTGCGAGGGGGATCTTGTAGCTCAGCGCGCCCTGGCGAGACTCGGTCGCCCAGACGGTGACAGTGGCGAGCGTTTGACTGCCGACGGTCAGGATGTTCTGGCTGGACACTGCCCGCCCTCGTATCGCGGCGGGGACCAAGTCGGCGAGGAAGAGAGGCCCGACGGCTAAAGCCACACCGTAGTAGATACCATTCCAGAAGCGGCCGAGCACAAACGCAGCGAGATTGGGCGCAAAAAGCTCGAGGACCAATGGTGCGAGCGAGAGCGCATAGCATAGCAGCAAAGAACCACGCCTGCCGCCGTGCACAAGGGGTTTGCCTTTCAGCGTCTAGAAGAGCTCTCTACCACTCTGGGGACAGCCACAACTCACCTGCCGAATCGATTTTGGAGTGGCGTCGCCAGCACTGCGCCAATAATGGAGCCTATGAGTGGGATGCTGAAGAGGATGTTCTGGTGGACTGCAGTGAAGACATAGCCACTGCTCGTCGACGCTGTGTCGCTTGGGCTCTGATACCGCTCGACAAATGCGGGCAGCGCCGCTAAAGGGCCGATAATGGCATTTTCGTAGCCAAATCCTGCTGCTGATGCTCCCGCCGCCGCGACGGCAAAGCACGTCAGGAAGTTAATCGAGGACGATCGAGCGGCCTCTGTCGAATCTTCAGGCTGCGTTGGTCGTAGAGCTTCCGCTGAGATTCCTTCACATCCTCTCTTGACATCAGCTGCCTCCCCTCCAAATGCAGAAGGCTTGCGCCGGGTCAGCTCGACCTCGCGCTCGGCGTCGAGCGTCGGGACCGAAGAGAGGATAAGCATGTTCTTGAGCAGAGCGGGAGCTGCCGTGTTGGCAGGAGGCGGTTCCTTATCGCCCATGGATACTTCTCTGTTCAGCATGCGGCATAAATGAGGTAGGCAGTGCTCTCGAATGTGTTCCGACCCCGCTGAGAGCATGCGAGCCCATCAGGCACTCTATTGGACGTGCTTCCCTCAGCGGCACCTCGTGCTTGCACGGCTGCGAGGAATCCAAGCCTGAACCGCTCGTGTTGAATAGCGGGAGATGGAGGCTGGCGGCTCTCCTCAACGCATCCAGCTTCTCAGTTTGTTTCCAGACGGGCGCGATAGTTACGCTCTCGGTCAGCAAAAGACGTCCACCAGGGGGATGCAGGCTAGTCATGAACGGCAACCCCAACCAACTCCGACATCCACAGCCCTTGTACCGTCGTGATGGGCCGGTCCGCCAACTCGGGATGGGGCGGAAAGCACGGAATTGTATGGATGGCTTGAGAATGCAAGGTATCCCTAGTTGCCCAAGCGAGGGCCAGTTGTGTAACCCTAGTTGCGTAATTCACAGACCCCGTTGCATGCGTGGCCGCCGACCCAAAGAAGGACCTCGACAACATTGACAACATCGGCAAGTCGAAGGATGGGTGTCCACCGTCGTGTCTGATGTATGTTTACCACTTGGCTCAACCATCTCCTTGCCGCTCACACCCTCTCCACAGTGCTTTATTTTTGGTGGCCAAGTGCAGCGCCAGCTTCTCACGCTCTCTCGGTGGCCTGTGGCCTATCGCAGCACCTTCGACCGCCAGCTCGAGGCTTATCAATTAGACTGGACCCCCCCCCCTCCCAAACCCCCAGCACCAAATTCCCATCTGTGATGGGCGACGACGCAACAGGCGGCTCGGGTGCCTCGGTGCAAGATGCGACCCCTATGTATGCATCGGGAGAGGACATAACCTCTCTGCAGGCGTTGACTGCAGCGCGGCAGCGCCTCCTATCGGCACGAGAATTCAACACGTTCAGACCGTCGTACCATGTGCAGGCACCGTACGGTTGGATGAGCGACCCGTGTGCTCCGGGATTCGTCCCGTCCATGCAACCCAATGGCGAGCACCGTGGTGATGCGCGAGGATTCTACCACCTGTTCTTCGAGTGGAATCCTCTGGATAGCGAATGGGGCAACATGAGCTGGGGGCACTACCTCTCAGAGGATATGGTGCAGTGGCGCTTGCCGGACAATGTCGAGGCGCGTGCCCTTCCAGAGCTGGTAATCAAGCCTGAGGATAGCAAGCAGTACCCCGAAGATTGCAAAGGGATCTTTAGCGGCTGTATGCGCCCAGGCCTACCTTCTGACGCTGCGCCGCAGTCAACGTCAAACACCACGCTGTTGACCTTGATCTACACCGCCGCATCGTCGCTCCCGATTCATTACACCTTACCTTACACACGCGGCTGCGAAAAGGTGGTCCTTGCCACTTCTTCAGACGGCGGCCGCACATGGCAGCGGTACAACGGCGGGCGGCCTGTGCAAGGAGCCGAAGCACCGCCAGAAGGCTTGGACGTCACCGGCTGGCGCGATCCGTACGTTGCAGAGTGGGAAGATATGCGTGCCATCCTGGCATCCTCACTCCCGTCTACCGGAGGGGATAACCAGCTCTTTGGGATCCTAGCAGGTGGGATACGCGGCATCACGCCAACCGTCTTTCTTTACTCCCTCAGCGAAGGCCTCACCCGATGGACCTACCGCGGAACGCTGCTCCGCCCCGGGCTACACGCACGCCTCGGCACGCGCACCGGTGACCTGGGCATCAATTTTGAAGTTTGCAACTTCGCCTCTCTGCGCCACGCGACGGGCACACAGCTGTACCTCCTGCTTAGCGCTGAGGGCACGCAGCCAACACCGTGGTCGCGCCGTCCGGCGACGGCACAGAGTAAGTGCCATCTGCAGAAGCCCGACCGCAGTTCAAGTCATGAGTGCGCGAGCGTGAATCCACGGCCAAATCGCCGGTTGATGTGGATCGCTTGCGATGTGCAGCGCAATGCCGCAACGGACGAGCTGCTCAAAATGCGCGCGTGTGCGGCCCTTGATTACGGCTGCCTCTACGCTGCAAATTCTTTCTTGGACTCTTGTACCCAGCAGCGCGTTCTATGGGGTGAGCATGAAGGGTACCTGAATCTATTCCCTGTGCATCGCGACTGAACAGCACTTTCCTGTGCTCTTGTCAGGCTGGATTCCAGAAGAAGACGTCGGCGAGGAGGGCCGTGCGGCGCAAGGATGGGCCGGCTGCCTGAGCCTCCCACGCGAACTCTTCGACCACGTCACGTACAACGTCGTTGGCAGCCTGTTTGCAGAGCCGCTAGAGGAGACTGGTTTGTTGCAGTACGACAGCAGCTCGGGAATCGCGCGATTGCTGGGCATCAGACCTGCCAGACAGGCGGTCGGGCTCCGGGACAACTCGCAGAGCCACGCTTTGCAAATGGCAGAAGTAGATACCAAGTGCGACACGCAACTGCTCGCCTTCGATGCCGAAACGCTCAGTGTACTCGCCTACCCGATCTTTGACGGCGCGAAGATTGGCACTGCTTGGGAGTTCACCACGACGGTGTGTCTTGATGAGAGCTTCTCATCCGTCGTCGGGCTGGCCATCCACCATTCGGATCAACAATACACGCTCATCAGCTTCGATCGTGAGACTTCTGTTCTCTCCGTGATTCGAACCCATTCACACGTTCCTCGGTCATCAGGCGAAACCGCAACCAACACCGATTCGGACAGCGGGCCGCTCCCCGTCTTCAAAATCAAGGATGCCGACACAGGCAAGACGGTCATCGAGCCACTCACGCTGCGGCTCTACTTTGACAAATCCGTCCTAGAGGTGTTCGCAAACGATCGACTGGCCATCAGCACGCGCGTCTACTGCCGCTCCCAGCAACACCGCTTGTCGCTCTTTGCGGCCTCGCACACGAAATTCACCGACACGATGCTCTGGAACAGTCTGCGGGCATGGAAGCAAACTGCAGATCACGCATAGGGATCATTTGCATGGATAGGATATACATCATGTGTACCCCGTACTTCTACAACAAAGGGTGTCTGTCGCGCATGCATGCAAAGGAGAAAGCGAGAGGATGAAAAAATGTGAGAAACCGGTGTCAAAAGACGCCAATGTCCACGAAGAGCGATTCAAAGATGCTTTGGTTGCGTTGCGGCAAGCCTTTGATCGCTTCGATCAGCTTGCCCAGGAATGGATGTTCCCCTGATCGGAACTTTTGCAAGAACTCGACGTAGGCATGCAGGATCGAGTGGACGCTCGCGAGATCCCGTTGGCCAAAGAGTGGTGTGTGTGGGGAAGATGTGGTTGATGAGGATGGCTGCCATGCTGCTCCTGCCGCCACCGCTGCTATTTGCGAAGTCTGTTGCTGCTGCTGTTGCTGCTGCTGTTGCTGCTGCTGTTGCTGCTGCCGGACCATCTCCATGGCCTGCGCAGTCTCCACGACGGAAGGAAAGTCCTTGTAGATGACAATGAGCGTCATCGCGATATCGTATAGCTTCTCCGCAAAGCCGATGCCATGCGCCTCCATGGCTGGCATAGCAAGGCGCTAAATTCAGATACAGCAGTTGTACATGGCGTCAGCTCATTCACTCGCTAGTGAAATTAAAAGTGTCGCAATTAAAGTGTTGCAAGGCTCACCTCGACAATCCTAAGTGTCCGTCTAGCAATGTCGATGGCATGTGTCGCTTGAAGCGGCTCATGTGGCGAGTCGACAGAGACGAGGCCGTGACTAAGGCACGTCAACCATAGGCGATTTAGCAGCCACTGCCGGGTGACGTTGACGTCCGCCTTCTGCACTTTCAGTCGCTCGTATTCTCCCTTCTCTTGCGTGTTGAGCGAGCCAGGTGTGGTCACGCTGCTGGGGCCAGTTCCGCTCTTGCTCAGCTCATCCTTCACATCCGCCGCTTCGTCCTGCTTGTCATAGTCCTCCATGAAGGAGCGATAGAGGCGCTGAGCCTTGTCGCTGTTCAGCTTCCTGCACATGCGACCCGAGCACCTTCCGTTCCAGCAATCTACAAAGTCTTCGTCGACACAGTCGAACAGCTTCAGCTGCAAATTGGGGAAATCGTCGAATTTGTTCAGCTTGAAATTATTGCGCAGATGCTTCGTCGTGGCAGCGGGGTGACCACGGAAGCCGAGCGAGTGGCCACGCTGCAGCGCATAAGCGCGCTCGGTAATCGCGAGTAGCCAGTACGCCCGCAGTCGTCGTTCTTGCTCGTCGCGGTTGAGTGACTCGTACGCCGCGGGCTCGTGCAGCTTGAGCAGGTGTCCAATGCACACCGCCTCGTGCAGTCGGAACCAGGCAGCGTTATCCTCGCGCATACCAAATAGACAGGCAAAGATGTAAAAAGACGTCATCTGTGTTCGTGACAGCATAAGTATGAGGAACCATCAGCCATCCGCTATAATCGCACAATTCGGCCTCCTTGCGCACCAAACACTTACAGTGCCCTCCAAGCTCGGGGCCTTCCCAAACAAAACGCTGTTCCGCATCTTGATGCACTCCTCCAGCAGATACCTGGCGAGCCTCATGCGTTCCTTGATGCTCTCCGTTCCTGCCTCCTTGCCCTCGACGGGCTGGATGAGGACCATTGCGCTCATGGCGAGGAGCATGCTAGCAAAATCGACGTCGTTGTGCTGGTCGCCCTTGTCTAAGCGCGGGAAGAGCCAGGCGCGCGAGAAAACGGGTAGTGCCGGGTGCAAGCGTTCAAAAAAGGTGGCCATGCGAGGGATGAGGACCGAATCGGCAAGGGGGTTCTCCATCTGTATTGAATCCCGCGCACCGCTGGGCGTTCGGGCGAAAGAAGCTTGCAGGGCATTAGACGGTGAATAAGCTTGGCCTTGACCAGGACCTTGTTGCCTTTGCCCGCGTCCATCCGGCCCATCCATCGAATCGCGCACTCCACTACTCGCGATTGAGCGCACAGGGTCAAAATGGGCCATACCGATGCTCGCTCTCGATCCTGGCGTTTCTACGCTGGAGTTGCTGCTAGAGTACGAAGCGCCAGTGGCAGTCGCACTGTTGTTCCCGTTAAATGGATTGGTGAAATTTGCGAAGGGTGCCGAAAGAGAAACAAACATATCTGGCGCATTTCCACTGAAATCGACACAGAAGAGGTCCGACGCGTTGATGCTCTGCCGCCGGCCGTTCAAGTGATTGGGTTGTACGTGCTCTTCAGAGGAAGGACCGCCCGGTCGGACGCCGCCGGAGCCGCCTGCAGCTGCTCCCGTCGCAGGAGCGCCGGCAACGATTGCCGCCGAGCCAGCATTGCCCCCAGTGTTCGGCTCTCCAGTGGCAGAGCCGATGATCCCATCCATCATGACGCTCCAATCGAAAAACTGACTGCGCACGCTCGGATCCTGCGCATTGAAGCTGTCCGCCAGGGAAGTATCCAAATCCGGAAGGCGCAGACTAGGCATGTGTACTGGATCCATCTGGGCTCCTTGTACATGTGCTTGCGAATGCGAATGTGGGTCGGAGTCGGGAGGAATGGTGGAAGCGGATGCGAAGGACGGAAGGGGCATAGCTCGAACTGACTGCCCAGTCGGTGGCTGTGCGGGAGTATGCGACGGCGCCTGTCCTTGCATTGAGGGGTGTTGTTGCTGCTGCTGTTGCTGTAAGGGCGTCTGGGATGTATCCTTATATGCGGCACTGCCGGATGGAGACGGATAGGGTTGCTGCTGCGGCTGTTGTGGGCGTGCGTAGTCCTTGGAATAGGCACTGCCCCCGCTACTGCTCGCCGCTCTCGTGCTTTCGGAGACCCTCGGAGAAACGGGCGATAAATAAGCGCCGTTGGCCTCGCCATGCGCTGCATTGCCGGAAGAGATGGGCGGCAGTTGAGGGGGATTCGTTTGTGACTGGGCATGTGGTTGAGAATGGAAATGGGGGTGGGGATGCGAATAAGGGTGATGGTGAGGATGATGATAATGATAATGATGCATAGCCGGAGGAAGTACGCGGGTCGAAGGCGACCACTGGCCGGGTGCTATAGATCCGCTTCTTGGAGAGCCGACACCCGTGCTGGCGCTGCTCACAGAGCCAAATCGCTGGTGACCTTGGTAAGGCGACCGGGCTCCTTCTGTCCCTGCGCCACTTTGACTTCGATATGGATGATACGGTCGATGATTTGGGTCTGCAGAAGAGACGGAAGGTCCTGAATAGTGTCTTGACCCCGGAGACGAGTGCGGTGGATGGGGGAGTGGCTGTACGGGACCAGGTGGCGGACCCATAGAAGAAGGAGGGGAGGTCTGCGACGACGGACATAGCGACGATGGGAATGCCCGTCCGTGCTGTGATGGCAAGTCGTGGGCAGCTGCCTCTGCAGAAGTGAGGGGTCCCGCATTTTCGGGGCTGTCGTCTTCTTCGTGCCCATCATCCCCATCCTCCCGCTTACGACCCTGGAGCCTACGCAGCTCCTCGATCCGCCTACCCGTCGTGCTCTTGCCTTTTGCCGCCTTTTCGTAGGTGCACTCGAGCCCGAGCCGCTCGCAGTGGTCGCAAGGCCTGGCTTTGGAGCATTTCACGCGGCGGATGTGGCAATTATCACATGCGCGCTCGAGCGGCTTGGACTTGTCCTTTGGCATCTTGGGCAACTTGCCACAAGGCTCTTGCCAACCCCTGGATGCAGCTTGCGAGGGCCCAGTAATACGGTGATGCAGAAACTCGTTCGCGTGCGTGGTGGGTATCGATGGTGCAACAAATACGCGAGCGGTTGCGATTGCCCTTGCCCTTGCCGGCACCAACACCCCGTTGTGCTTGGCCGAGATCGTGGTCACCGCATGCTCTCCAGCTGTTCTTTGCCGCGCTTGGAAGATGTGTAGAAATGCCGGAAACGGACGTACGAAGAGGCTTTCGCAAATAATGGGAAGTCACGAATACCATAGTGAAGCTCCCCAGCGGAAGCATTGCGCCAACAATGACTAACGGTCCAAGCTGGTGATCGTCGACTGGGATGGACAGCGCAGCCACGATAGGAGATGGAGATAGGGCGATACATATGCGTGGCTTCGTTCCGCCCGGTTGGCGTTCCGCGCCGTCTTCTTCTCTTCTCAACCCTTCTCGGCAGTTAGGTTCTTCTTTTCTTGCCCTTGCTTCTCGTCCACATATTTGGACACGACGCCCACATCCACCCCACTGCTGTCAGCACAGCTCTTCTCCACGCGGCTTGCTGCGTGCAAAGCAGCTTCGCTGTACGCTCTCCCCCGTCAGCTCTTCAGTTTGCAAGAAGGCAAGATCGTCCGGATGCGACTGCTGCGGTGACCGCCCGCGCTGCGCCTCACTCGAGCGTGCCGGAGACTCGATTGTGGGCGTGGAATGCTTGATGGTGAGTACCCATGCTTCTCCCTCAGTTTTCATCCCGATGCCATCAAGGGCATGTCTAGATGGATAGGAACACAGAGGGGCAAGGGAGTACCCCTGGAGCAGCTATGATTACGCATATATTCACACTGTCGGATTGCTTACCTCTTTAAGACGGAGGGAAGAATGCATGACGTCAAACTTCACTACAACGGTATATGAGCTGGCATCGACCCTTTTCGAAGGCTGGTGCGTCGTGGATGGGATTGGGAACATGCCTGGACTGAGACGGACAAGATGCATGGCTGGCGCGGCTCCCTTGACAACCACCCATGAGACGCAGAAATTGACATTTTTTCTTCTCCCCCCATCTTTTGCGAAGAAGATCTGTCAATATGTCGAATGCACCGGACAGATTCGCCCTTTTCATGCTCCTTCCAGGCGAGAAAAGGGTCGAGATCAAAGAAGACACCCGAATTCCCAACGCAGTCACAGTCACACTGCACAAGGAGGACCATACGTTAGGGAACATGATTAGGCAGTAAGTCTATGTTGCTTATCGATAACCTAAGCGCGTGAAGCAGCGGCAAATATCCTCATTAAATCCTAATCTACTCCGCTTCTACTGTAGAGCTGTCCTCTCCCAGCCGGGCATCATGTTCTGCGGTTACAAGGTTCCGCATCCGCTGGAGCCACGTGTGCAGATCCGCATCCAAACCAACGGCGAGCAGACGCCCGTGCAAGTCCTACAGACAGCCTGCGAGAAACTCATCACCCAGATTGACGACGTCCGCACGCAATTCAAGCAGCAGGTCCTTGCCCAGACCGGTGGCTTGGGCAGCGGCGCCGCTGTTGCTGGCATCCCACCAGCGGCCCGTGGTGCACCGATGGGTGCGGGCTATGGGCGCCCACAAGCACAAATGCCAATACAGTACGGTGGGGCGCCGTATGGCGTCTCACCCGTAGGCGTTGGATACCAGCCTGGGCGCACAGACAGAGCCGGCGGTGACTACCTTGCCGATTAAGCCGTGGTGCTTTCGCATTTCACCATTCTGTGGCGACGAATGGATTCACGCGAACGCGTAGGTGAAAGAATTAGTAGCGCAGTTGCATTTGTTCCACACAAGTATCAGCATTGAAGGTCCATTTGTATTTTTATGCGTGTATGCAAGAACGTGCAAGTCCTTTTGAGCCGTGCTGCCCCATTGGATGTGGGCCCTGCCACGTAATGCTGGCGCGGCAGCTTGTCACCGAGGTGCCATCTCGTGCCGACAGCCATTCTTTCTGGTACATACACCGTGCGAGGCTCGCGTGCCGAGCTGCAATGTCATAATCTGGATGCGCCAGAAAGTTGAGCTGACTGTGAGGATGACGGCGCTGACGAGTGACACGCTGGAACGTTCAAATCAAAGTTGGGGTTGCACGGTACATCATTGCACTCACCATCCAACACACCTCTTGCCCAGCAGGCCCTCCAGCAAACCAACACCTATCCACGGGTACTTCCCCGCGTGGCACGAATCATTGGGTCATTGCCACTTCCTTCAGAACGGTCCTCAGGTAATGCCTCCCGGGGCTTGATGACCGCTTGTGAGATGATGCACGTAGATGAGTGTGGGTGTTGTTACAATTGCTGCGCGGGTCGAGCGAACGAGGATCTCGCCTACGAGCTCAATGCGGAGCACGTAAATGTATGACTGCCTCCAGTGCATCTGCCACGTACTCTCCCATAGGGCTTTCGCAGACAATGAAGCAATGTAGATGATTCATGATTCGAATATCATTCGACACCTTTTCAAGGAGAAAAAGACTCTGGACTACATAAACTCGAATCGACACTTCATCTCTACGGCCTCGAACTCGGTTCATTTTTTATTCGAACGGTTGCAAAGTCGAAAGCAGCGCTAAAAAATCAAGCCGGGAACCGAAAGAAGAGCCCTGTCCTAACCGAGATGACCAGAAACCCTTTCATGTGCATCCCGGCATTCCATCGCTACTCCGGTGATGCACAGGGTCAGAGCACGCCCCTAGTTCTAAGCACGCGCTCAGTAGCGACGAGGAGGCGGAGGCTCATCGTACCTGCCACGAGGCGGAGGCGCATCGTAGGCATCGTACGGGGCCCGACGAGGGGGGGAGTAGTCCCTAGGAGGGCCACCGTATCCACCCATGCGAGGAGGCGGAGGGTAGTCGCGAGGTGGAGGAGGGCCGTGGCCACCACCATGCCGGTCGTAGTCACGAGGAGGGGGAGGGCCGTAGCGGTCGTAGTCGCGAGGAGGCGGGTAGTCGCGAGGCGGGCCATATCGGTCGTAGTCACGAGGCGGGCCGTAACGGTCGTAGTGACCGCCACCACGGGGCGGAGGGCCACGAACGTCGCCCTCCCCTACGATGCGCGTAATGTTTGATTCCGTGGTCAGTCGCTGGCAAAGATAGCCATGGGGGTAACGAAGCCGGGTAGAAACTTACTCTTGGGCGGGCCGTGGTAGCGACCTGGAGTAGGCGTGCGAGCACGGCCTCTGCGGGCCTTTTGAACGCTGAGGACACGGCCAGAGAGCTCGGTACCGTTCATACCTTCAACGGCGGCATCAGCCTCCTCAGCGGTCTCCATCGTCACAAAAGCGAAACCACGCGGCTCGCGAGTGTGAGGGTCGTACATGACCTGCGCCTTTTGGACCTGCATATTCAAAATGGGTGCATGTTAGTATTTGCCGATTTGCGCTGCCACTAAAATGGCGATTTGTGGCTCACCTTACCAAACTTGGAGAAAGCCTCCTCCAGAGCTCTGTCGTCGAGGCGGTTGGAGACACCACTGACGTGCAAGTTATTGCCAGGGTTGTTGTCGCCGCTGTCGTTTGGGCTGGAGGCAGCAGATGGAACTCAGCTGGTATTCTACGCTGGGACAAGCGGTCACGTCGTGCAAGCTCACCGACCGCGGTCCCGGTTCCTACCCCTGTCATTGTTTTCCGCATCACGATCCTCGCGGCGTGGGCTGAGGCTTCTCTCTCGGCGGGGAGGGGTGCTGCCGTGGTCGACAGCACCGCCAGGACTCCATCCACTTCCGTTGATGTCTGCTGCTAGATCAATTTAATCAATATCGGTCACATGAACATACCAGAGCATAACACCATCAAATCAGGGGCCGAAGATCACAAAGCCGGTTGGTGGGAGATGGAAGGTGTTGGGGAAGGGATGAAGAGAGGCGAATAGTGGTAAGCATGCCGAGATGCAGTCAAGCGGCGAGGACGGACGCAAATAAGCCGAAGTGTCCAATGCATCGTCACATGAATGGTGCTCCACAGGACATTGTCGAAGAACACAATGGGTTGAACAAAGCTGCTCCGCCAATGACAAAAGGCTGGCAAGCCGGAAGCGGGGGCTGACACAGCGGCTTGGCTGTGCATCTGAATCCGTGCCATCTTGTCCATGTCCTCATTGCTGAAGACAACGCGGCAGCAAGGACAGAACAGCGGACTCATCTGACCCCCCGCTAACCAGCGATTGCTCAAGAGTGGGCCGAGCCGGCAGTGCTGGACAGTACCGAGCTGCTACTAATGCCGCTGCTGCCGGATTCCACCGTCCCCTCCTGCCAGTCAAACCGCACATATCGAACCGACCCGAAAAGCGAGAATGGGAAGCGAAAGGGTGTGTTGGGGGTGCCGGAGAGCGTACACGTACCGTCTGCCATTGTTGTGTTGTCCTTCTTCTCGAGGTTTGAGGATGGATGCTAGTCCAAAGGGTGTCCTGAAGAGGTCGGGTGGGAAGAAGGGAAGCAGATGTAGGGAGTGGATATGCGAAAGAAGCGCGCGCGTTGTGCTTTTGTCAATGGCTCTTCGAATGCATGAGTTGTGTGCCAGTGGGCGATTGAACTTACATGAAACTGGTGTGTGTAAATCCACGCACAAGGATATGCGCACGGCCATCCCAGGCACAGCAGCATCTAGCGTGCTACACCTGCATGGAGCTCCATGTGGATGGCCTTCTCAATTGGGCATAATCTCTGGGCGATAATCGTACAGGCTTGCACGCAGAGAACAGGCTGTTATCATTAGTAGGGAAATAGCGCAACGTTTGGCAGCTGGTTCGGACGAGATGGAGGATTTCCGCAAGATCAACATCGACCAGTACGATGAGGATGTACTGCTGGACGAGGAGCTGGTCGACCCGGATCCTCGGTCCGGACAAGAATTGCTGGCGCTCGTCCAAGGCAATGCTCAGGAGACTCGTAGCTTGATGGCAAGGTGAGATCGTGTCCATGCGTCTGGGTAATTCGCAGCCAGCCGCGCGGCTGATGCGAGACTTATCTTTTCTACCTATCGCGCCATCCAGAGGTGACGCAAAGAGCGCACTGTCTTTGATCCTTGCAGATCCCCCATTCGGCCGCGATGCAACAGAAGCAAAGGTGAGAATGAAACGCCTTTGTACAGACCCGATCGTCTTTGACTGTGAACCTTCCCTGCATTGCAGAACCTCAACTTGAACACCCTGATGGACATTCTGAATTCGACACGCTCGACCGAGATTGCGGGCATCGTAAAGGCGCTCTCGATCGAGGAGCAAGATCATCTTATGGCATATATCTACAAGGGTCTCTCACATCCAGAAAGCGGTAACAGCGCCATCCTCTTGAATTGGCATGAACGAGTGAGTTGCACGGATGGGCCCACGTGTCCCGACACCGATGCTGATCTACGGCGTCACTGCCATCCGCAGCTGACGGAAGCAGCGGGGACCGGATGCATTGTACGGGTCATGACTGATCGAAGGGATCTGTAATAAATTGATGCCTGGATTACAACCATCCTTATGACACCTGCTATGTTACAGTAGGAGAAATCGCAGAAGCCTTGAATTCTTCGCGAAGCTGATCTCCTATCTGAACCCGTCGCCTTGATTCAAGCCATTCTATGGCATCCGCGTAAGTCAGAGGTGACACTCGCCGTTTTGTCTGCCCAACAGAGAAGGAGAAATGAAACTGCATACGTGCGCAAAGGTGAACGAAGTTGAACTCTCAACTCCGAAAGTGACCTGAAAAGTGTGACGAGGGAACCTACCGTGTTGCTTTTCTTTCGCTTGCCACTCTCGATATCCACAATTTCAGCGACTACATTAACAGCTGCCACGGCATTCTCCTTCTCCTCTCCTTGAGATGTGTACGTGACTGTGCTTGTCATATCTTCAAAGATCATTTCGGAACGAAAGCACGCTTCAGTAGCAGCGAGGACCGCCGCGTCGATCAACACGCGGGCACTCACTAAGGACAGCGCCGATGGGGACTGGGCTGTGGAAGCTCAGTGCGTCCAGCGCAAGGAATTCGACAGGCGCGTTCGCAAAGATGGAAGCCGTAATCCAGCCTAGCTCGTAACAATGCCGCATAAGCACGCCGCCAAAAACATTCAAGTGCACTAAAGGATGGCACCTAATGTTAATTCGATTCTTCGGCCTTTGCAAGAAAATGCACCACTCACCATTGGCCTGCTGCGGGTGCATGTGCAGTGTGCTAGAGTGCATAGTCGAAGAAAGGGAGACAACCTCCTCCTCGCTCCCCATCATCTTTGCGCTGCTTCCCAAGATGATCGCTTTTGCAGCAGAGGCTGTGAGGGCGTTTCGATCGCGCAGAAATACATCATGGAGCAAGAGCGCCTCCTCTTCCGTTGGCGATGACCTTTCCAACGACGTCGCAGAACTCTGCTGCTTGTGCATCTTGTGCTGTTGCCCGAGTTGGAAGAGGCGCTCTTCTGCCTTGGTCTCAAGTTGAAGCGGCGCGATTCTTTGCGACCTGAGGGTCGCGGCATTGCGTGCGGCCATGGTAAAGCGACCAGTCAGGCAGATCTCAGACGGCGAACTGTCCGCCTTGATTTCTTCGATGGCAACGAGAACTTCCATGGAGGAGGAACCGACCTGGGAGTACGTGAAGTTCCATTTTGTCAGAAGAGGCTTGTAACTTTCGCGCAGGTATTCCCTCACATATATAACCGACCCCGTTAGACGGTAGTCCGAAGTGATGACGAGCGGCTTCACCAAATCGAGACGGTCGACCGATGCAGTAACGATGAAGAGCGGCGACGCTCTGTCTTTCCTAATGGGCAAGTGGCCAAGCACGTGCATGTACGATGCCGCTCCTGCAAGTGTGTCCAGATCTGTGAACACACGAGGGTGGAGACAGCGTCAGATAGGCTACGGTGGAGAAGAATCGATTTCGGGAGATCGCGCACCTTCGAATATCTTCCCCATTCGAATTGCTCCAGACGTGGCGATATAACGCTCGAGAAGGTCGGGGTCTTTAGAAAAATTCAAGTGCAACTCTACCAAGCTGTGCGGACAGGTAGGTAGAAGATTGTATCAGCAACGGCTGGGGGATGGAGGAATGTTAAGCACACATGCATTCTTGTGTTGCGCACCTCTCCTGCATGCGCTTGGGCTTGAGTTGTGTCGCTTCAAAGTGCTTGACGGCTTCGCTGAGCTCTGTGGAGCTGATACCATAGTCCGCTTTCGATCCCTTACCCATTTCACGCCTGTGATCGGCCCATGTGGAAACCGGTGCCAGTCGCGCTGCCATTCAAGGACAATCATCAAGAAACATCGGCACGGTGATCAATCCTTAAAGCGAGGGTGCTTACTGGGCATCTTTGTCGCCTTGTGACCGCAATTCACAATCGAAATAAGGTTGTTTATCTCTGCTAGGCCCTCTCCCGAAACAGGAGCAGATGCCAGTGGCGACGATGCGCCGAAATGCCGTCGCGCTTGAACGGAGAACCGATAATTTCGGATGGCGCTTGCTACCGCGCTCGTGGTCACTTGAGCTCGACTGGAGCCGGCAAGCCGTGCCAGCTGTCTAAACACCGTCATGCCTTGATCTTACTTTCGTGAGCTTCGCGTGTTGTTTTCAGAGCTTCAGATAGATGCATAGATGTGACCCGCAGACCGCATATAGGTGGATATCCCTGTCAATCTGTAATATCGAGAATGCCCCCCCCCCCCAGAATCAAATGGCGACGTGGGGCAATGAACGGTGCTCGCACGGCTGGCGACGCCTTTTCACGGCCGCATTTTGTCTCTCACCCTCTCACTATCCAGAACTCTTGAAATCTGCTCATCAGAAATCCAAAATCTAATCGAGCTTCGAAATTGTAAATAAGATCCCAATGTTCGACCAACATGCGACTTGGGTCACAAGCCGCCTCCGGAGTCCAGCCTAAGGACGCTGGACGATCACTGTGCTATTTGGTCTTTCAGCAACTTCATCGTTCTCTTAGTAACCTCATGGTGATGGCAACCATATATTTGATAAAGGACAATCGACAAATGGTGAAGCTTGTAAGCGAAAGCTGGTATCTGCCCTTTCCCGCTGTCCGTAGCCATGGTAATACGAAAAGAGAAAGCTTACCGGTTAGCTGGACGCGGCGGCGGCAGAAGCAGCATCAGCATCAGCACCAGCACCAGCAGAGATGGGTCTTTCAGATATTGCTGTAAATTGCCGGCCTGTCAGGCCATGGAAGAATTATGTACAGAAGTCCAACTTGCGAATTCGTGACTTGCAATCGCAACGAATTTGATATGGGAAATGAGTATCGTTGAAAGATGTTACCTGCAAATGCTGGATCTCTGACCTCTGTGGATGCATGGGTGGGTACATGTCTAACTCTAGGCAGGGCGCTATATGTCGTGCGCCATGGCTTGTAAGCATCATCTGGAATTTTGAAGATATATGTGGAGCGAGTGACCCTTGAAAGGTGTAGGAAAGTTCGTTCTTTGCGTTGCATCATGTTGGTCTTCGTTTGGGGAACGTCCGTCTTAGGTTGGGCAGGTGCTTGTCGGGGGTGCCTGCAGTCGCTTGTTGGATGAATCGATGGGATTGAAACGGGTGAGCAGGTGGCGCGATGGTTTAGAATATTGCAAAGAGAAGAGCGAGTGGTTTCTGCCAGTGAGCTGTGGAGGTCTTTCCGTTCCGAAGAGCGAATCCTACAAGATGACGCATCTACACCCGCCTACATCATCGTGCCCTTTCCGTCTTCCGCCACGGGGATCCCCGCCTGTTCGGTGCTTTTCGCCGCCTGTACCTCCTGCACTCAGGCCCCCCATGCCGCCGTCCGCATCTCGAACTCTGCCTCCGCCACCTGTGCTGGCCTCTGAGTCGCGTACGAGCATCGCTGCGCGAGTGGCTGCTTCGAAGACCGCCTGTGATATATGATTGGCGCGTCTATTCGCATCAGCGTATAATTGGGGATCATTCGTTTCCATGTATCTGTACTCACATCAACACCATCGTTTTTGAGAGCAGATGTCTCGAGGTACACACGTGCGCCTATCGAGTTTGCCATCTCGACTCCCTGTCGTTTTGAGACAAAATTCTTTTGCCAATCCAAGTCCGGCGGCGCGCCTGCTCCATTTGATTGTAAAGAATCTGCCACCACTGCCGCCTTGGCCTTGGCCTCGGCGTCATCCCGAAGATCCCGCTTGCAGCCGACGAGAATGACGGGGATTTGCCTTCCACAAATCTGTCGCACCTCTTCGTTCCACTTGTAGCGCACATTCTCCAAACTATCTGGCGTGTCGATGCTGAATGCGATCAAGATGACGTGCGCATGTGAGTAGCTCAGAGGACGCAAGCGCTCGTACTCCTCTTGCCCTGCTGTGTCCCAGAGCGCGAGCAGGACCGGCTTTCCGTCTAAGCGGATTTCTAGAGAGGACAAAGGATGTACAATGAGTGGCAGGAACTTAAGTGGTGTTGAGACACTCGCCGCACCTGCAACATAATTTTCAAATATGGTCGGCTGATACTCCTGTGGAAATTCCCCAAGCGCAAAGACGCATAGAAGCGATGTCTTGCCGCAGGCACCGTCGCCGACGATAACCGTCTTGCGTCGTACAGGTTGAGGTGGCATAGCAGCTCGCCGAAGGACGATGGCGACGATCGATCGTCAGGGTAGTATGATCTCCCTTTGCCTGAAAGCCAATTGTACACTTGAATCCTCCTTTGACTCCACACTTTTCTTGTGCGATGTGACCTGGGCAGGTGGATGAGCGGGCCAGGCGCGTTCTGGAGACCGTCTCCCAGCTCAGCGTCCACCCGGGATTGCCAAAGCCAGTTCCCAAGGATGAAGGAAAAGAGGGTTCGCTCCGCGGTGAAATCCGCCTGTGTCTGTTCCCTGTCGAATAGCGAGCGATAAGGGGAGCTCGACGGAGATGATGCTGGCCTTGGGAAGTGAAAGGTGCCAAGTGCCAGCCGGCTGATCAATTCGCAGCTGTGCGCTGAGGGAGCCGCAAAAGGACAGGCATGCACCGCGCACAACTGCGACGAGCCCTGCAGTGGCGCGCATGTCACTACCACACACGTGACCTTCCTTACGTGCCACTCAGTCTCTCAGGTGCGTGTGGCGTCTGGCATGAGTGCACGCAGGCAGAGCCTCACATAGCTGGACGCACTCCGTAAAAGTTCAATCCCTTCCATTTGGCAAATCGATTCTCAATGCGCCTTGGCTCTTCGCAGTCCGGTTATACAGGCATATGTATGGAGCCGAAAGATGATGGATTGTGAGCTACATAAAGCATCGATTCAAGACGAGCCGCTTCGTCAGTGGGTGCGTAGGTACTCAAACGGCGCGCTGGTGCGATCGCATAAAAAAGATTGGATTTTCGATCTTGGCACCAGGCAGCATGCTCAGCAGAGATCGGCACTTCCGCTCGTCCCAACAGACCCAAGGAATTAAAAATAAATGGGTTGGCTCACTCGACCCGCCTGTATGTACTGTCCTCTTGGGGTCGTCGAATTGCCTCATCTGAATCCCAAAAGACAGGTGTCTCCATATGATTTGCAGTTCGTTGGCTCGTCCAACGATGGCACACTGTGCGCCGTGAGTGTGAAGGGGTGAGTCAAATGAAGTCCAGCTGAGATGATTGGGATGTACGAGCGAGCGCATGTGCGAGAGAATTGTTGTTCTTGGTGAGAGGGGTGTGTGTGTGACATTGGTGTGTGTTTCCGCCAGGACTGAAGTTGTGCGGTATACCGTGTGCGCAGTGTGCAGATGTGAGGGTGGTGGGCCATCGCGCCGGCATCGGAGGATTGTATCTGCATGTGTGGATGGCTGGTGCTCCCTTCCCTCCACAGCCCCTTCTGATGTTCAACAGGTCCATCCTTGCAATCGTCCAGATTCATGCTGCACAACTGCTAGCCTGAGTCTTGTGTGCTGGAACACATACACACAGGGTGACCAGCGACCATCATCAACGCGGTGAGGCCCAGAGAAGGAAGGTGTGGAGTGCCGAGAGGAAAGGCGGAGGTGACCCCTCGGCAGCCTCTGTTCTCGTTCGTTTCAATTCCTTCCCGCTCACCCGCTCCGATTTTGCACAACACATTCGATATAGTACTAGCTTGCAAGAACAGCCATAGCCCGCCGAGGCTCGGGAGAGCCAGGTAGGACACGCAAACTTGCCGCCTATTTCTTTGCGGGCAGGAGTGGACTCGATCTCCGATCGCACCTACTCTGGGAAGGGTTGCACACGACAGCCCCCCTCTCCATCACGACTGCAACTCCTGCGGTTAGCGCTGTTGCTCGGTCCATCGCTCTAACATGAGCGCACTCAACGGAACTACAACTGCAGCTGCGACAGCAGCAGCAGCAGCAAAGAAGAACAAAAAGAAGAAGGTAAAAGCCAAGAGCTCGACTGGGCACGACAGCGCTGCAGTTTCTTCTCCGGTCGATCAGGACATTGTCAACAGCCGTGGCCTCTCAGCTATTGCTTCTCCTGCTACTGGAGAGCACCAAATTTCCTCCCTTCCAGGTGGCGACCAACTGCAAAACGTGAGTGGTATTTGGACCTTCGGCTGACTCGTGCGCATTTTGGGGGGAAGAAGGAAGGCTCGATTCCAAGGACCTCAGCCACCGGACTTGATCGCCCACATCCTGCGTCCTCAATTGAAAGCTGGTAGCTCACGCTTTTCAACATCTCTTTCCTGTTGCCTTTTCCAATTATGCTCTTTGAATTCGCAACCATGTTTGGCATCCACTCTCGACAGCTGCCGCTTGGGATGGGTGTCGGCACACTGACCATGCCAAACGGCACACAAGCGCCGGCAACCTTCAACTTTTCTGCCTCTTCGATTGAGCGCATCCAGAACGCTGCACACGCTGTGCAACAGACACAAGCCGATCTGCTGCAGACCGCTTCCGACCTGTACCGGCGCATCGAGAAAGATCCAGCGAGCATCCCGGACGATGACGACTACTGGATGAGTCTTCCGCCGCACCTGCGGACCTTCATCCGCAACGCACTGCCGCTTGGTCAATTCCAGCCGATTGCTGCCAACGCCGCTGGCGGTGCAGCTAAGAGCGCGGACAGCAGTGGTGCAGCTGCGGCCCCGACGGATGCGCAAAGACAAGCTTCGACGCAAGCTATGATCGCTGTCGCCCAGCAGCTCGCACAGGCTGCTCATGCGAGCCAACGGCACCTGCAGCAACAGTTCCCCAACGCTGCCGCAGCGGCCGCTGCGCTTGCCAGCGCAGCTACGAATGCCGGGTTGACAACCTCTAATGGTTCTGCAGCAGCGAACGGAGGACAACAGCAGCAGCCGTACCCACCACTGCCGTTCGATCCGAGCATCTTTGCCGACCTTGCCATGCACCCGGACCAAATGAGGCTGCCGCTTCAGCCGCATCTAGGCGCGTCTGTCAATGGCGTCTTGCCGCGGAACGAGGACGATCTCGATGACGAAGAGGACTACGACGATGAAGGTCATTACGACGATGACTACTACAGCGACGAGGAAGACGTAGACGACGAGGACTTTCTCCCCGCGCCTGCTGAGCGCGATGCTCGGCCTCCTACTGGCGGCCAGCAGCAGGTAAGAGAAGGGCAAGATGCTGGCAACGCCCTGCCTTCTGCTGAAGGTGGAACAACCACATCAAGCAAGAACAAAAAGAAAAAAAAGAAGAAGAAGTCCGGTGGCGGTGGGGGAGGAGGGCATCCCGAGGATGGCCTTTCGCCGCCCGCGCTACCTGCAGAGCCCCTCGCTCCTGCACGAACGCGGCCTACCAATCCGCGACAAAGCCAGGTTCAGCAGTCTGCCCTTCGTCCGCTGCCAGCCTCTGCGCCACAGACACAGGCAGTAGTGCCTCCGCCGCCATCGTCGCGAGCGGCAGGCAAGCAGCCCATGTCGTTTAGCAACAGTGCGCCACCTGTAAATGTGAATGGCAAGCAGCCGGCGAACAATACTGCGGCAAAAACGAGCAGCGCCAGCTCCAACGCAGCCGGCAAGCGGCCGGCTGCTGCGAATAACGCGGCTGCGGCTCCACCCAAGGGCAGCAATGCTGCACCAGGCGGAGGCGCTGGGGTCGGTCATCAGCGTGACTCAACCAGCACCTCTGGTGGGGGTACTGGTGGCAGCGGCGGCGGTGGCCTCCCTCGCTCATCGACCGGCGCTGTGGGGAACAATCGGCTGTGGTCTACGAGTAGTGCAGAAGAACGCGAGAAGATTAAAGACTTCTGGCTCGGTCTCAAGGAAAGGGATCGGCGCGACTTGGTCAAGCTTGAGAAGGATGCGGTGCTCAAGAAGATCAAAGAGCAGCAAAAGCATCTGTGCACCTGTGGTGTATGCGGGCGCAAGCGGTCGTCCATTGAGGAAGAGCTCGAAGTGCTCTACGCCTCGTATTATGACGAGCTGGAGCAGTATGCTGGCCTGCAGCAGCGCTACGTCAAGAGTGGCGGAAAGGTAGAGCCTCCGCCTGGCCCTGGCCCATTCCCGGGTAGCATAGCGCTCGACAGCAATGGCGCCGTCGTCGGTGGCGATCCGTTGCATCCGCCCTCGGCGAGAACAGCAGCCGCAGTAGCAGGGAACAAGAAGCCGCAAGCGACTGCCACTGCGGCCGCTGCGGTCGGTAAGAACACGCGGGCCAACGCTGTGCCGTCTACCTCCCCGCACTCGGCTGTGTCGACAGGCGTACCGCCGTACAAAAAGCCAGGTGCAAACGATGCTCTCTCGCAGACTCCCATCGATGACGACGTGTACGATGATGACGATCTGGACGACGAAGAGTACGACGATGAGGATTACGATGACGAGGATGAGGATGATGTCGTCGACGAAGAGGACGACCTTGACGAGGATGAAGATGACCTCGACGATGAAGAGGATGATCTCGACGAGGACGGTCACCACCACCATCATCACCATCACCATCATCACCACGGACCGGGTCACCATCACCATGGTCACAAAGCCGGGACCGACGGCAAGGCAAGCGTTAACTCCGGCGCTGGCGGTGGGAATGGCGCGACGGGCAACGCGCCAGCTCCACCTGCGCCTACCACAGGCAAGAAAGGCGCAGCCGGCGCCAAAGCTGGCATGGCAGGAGGCAACAACCAAAGCAATCAGGGCAATGAGTTCTTTGGTCCTGGCTCCACTGTCACAGTCAAAGGTGCGTTTCCTTTTCCCCTGCCACGCCTTCCCCAATCCCCCTATACCTCCTCCACTCTGCCTCCGCTTCCGCAATCCGTCTACTTGTGCGTGTGCTTTGCTAAAGCATGACTAACATGATTCTCGGTCGTTCCCTCTCCCTCTTTGCCTTGTCGTTCCCTCGTTGGCGATATGTGTGATGCTGCCTTCGCTATGCTCACACATGATCCCCCGCTCGCTGTTCTCTTCCACATCCGTTCGGCTCGCCATCCCTTTTGCACGGCACCTCTTTTGCTCGGACCGGTTCCTACCTAGGAGGTATCCTCACCGTCGCCGATGACTTGCTCAAGAATGACGGGCAAAAGTTCCTTGAGATGATGGAGCAGCTGGCCAACAGGCGCATGCAGCGCGAGGCTGAGATCTCCGCTGAACTTCGCGATCGGGACGACGACTATGACGATGATCTCGATGGAGACGAGGATTATGATGATGAGGACGAAGACGACCTCGATGAAGAGGAAGAAGAGGATGTGAGCGCATCCACGATGCTGGACAGACCTGGAAGTGGGAAATTTTGCTGACTGAACTTTTGACCGAATTCGCCTGTAGGAGCTCATTACTGAGGAGCAGCGCATGGAGGAAGGTCGAAGGATGTTCCAGATCTTTGCAGCCCGCATGTTCGAACAGCGTGTCCTGCAAGCATACAGGGAGAGGGTCGCGCAGGACCGCCAGCTTGAGCTGCTCCGCGAGCTTGAAGAGGAGGAGAACAAAGAGAAGGACAAAGAGGCCAAGAGAGCTAAGGAGAATCAACGCAAGAAGGACAAGAAGAAGTGAGTTATCCTTGTACGGGATTTTTTTCTTGGAGAGCACGGCTGATTCAAGCCTTTTCAATCTTCCGCAGGCAACAGAAAGAGCAGAAGGAGGCAGAGAGGCTCAAGAAGGAGCAGGAGAAGGCTGCTGAAGAGGCCGCCGCCAGAGCCAAAGCAGAAAAACACCGGCAGGAGCATCTCAAGCAGCAGGAAGAACTCAGAGCCAAGCGTGAGGCTGAGCGACGTGCGAAGGAAGAAGAGAAGGTGCGAAAGGAGGAAGAAAAGCGCAAGCGTCTGGAAGAAGAGCGAGCCAAGGAAGCCGAACGCGAGCGCAAGAAGAGGGAAAGGGAGGAAAAGGCTAAGCAGGAGCGTGACGCAAAGGAAGTCAAGGAGCGCGAGCGTAAAGCGAAAGAAGAGGAGGCCAAGCGTGCCAAGGAACAGAAAGAGCGCGAAGAGCGCGAACGCAAAGCCAAAGAAGTTGAGGAAGCGCGCAAGGCATCTGCCGCTTCTGAACAGGCTCGGAAGGACAAGGAGGCGCGCGCAGCTGCCGAAAAACAGCGGCAAGCGCCCCCTCACCCTTCACCGGTCGCAGGCAGTCGTCGTGCGGCTCCCATCGGCGCTCCTCAGCCTGTCGTTCCTGGCACGGCAAGGCCTCGTAATGCCAGTGTTCTGGGCGCTCCCATAGGGCCCGCTGGAGCTCGCTCGGGTCAACCTCAACAAATTGTAGCATCTGCGACAGTCCCCGCGGGCCCGCCACGCGGTCCATCTGGTCGACATGTTGGTCCCCCGGGAGCTTCAAGCTTACCTCCACCTCCTCAAGGCCTCCCTGCTCGCCCGGCGACATCCGTTGTCAATGCGCTTGGGCCAAGTCCACAGGTTAGCATGCCACAAAGCTCGAACGCTGGTCTACCCCGGCCGCCTTCGATCTCGCCTGCCCAAGTCTTGCGCAGCCCTGTGCCCGGAGCCGCTTATGCAGTCTCGTCTCCGGGTCAAGCCAAGGCACCAGGAGGTTCGCTTGGAAGCACATCACCTGTCGCTGCACCCAGCTCAGCGATGCCCATTCCCCAAGCTCCGGGCGGTATGCCACCGCACCATACATTCCCGGGACCAGGCGCGCCAGGCTCTTATGACAATGTGCGCTCCCCAACGCTGGCCGATGCCTTCCCCCCTGGCGTTGTCCCCCCTGGACTATCTCAGCCCGGCATGGACTTCCCCGGAGCACCCGGCATGCTCTCTGGCTCCGTTGCATCTGCTGGCATGCAGGCGCCCCCGTCGCCTGCAGCGATGCACATGAGTGGTATCAATGGCCTTGGCAACCACGCTCATGACCTTTCGGGAGATGACCACGGCTTCCGAGGGCCTCCTTCGGCCTCAGGCTCAGGTAGCCTTGGTGGCCGCGCCATTCAGCGCCCGGCACCTATCCCAATTGGACCCATCGGTAGGCCTCGCCCTGCTGACGAGCAGGCCCCAGATGAGGGTCGCGCATCCGTTAGCCCAAAGCTGCCCGAAGGTATTCTGGGTAGCGCTGCGCTCGGTGGAGACGACGACATCATCGAGCCCCAGCCAAGGCGTACCAGCAACACTGCGCCCTTCAATGCTGGAGGCTCATCGGCAACGTCGTCGTTCTTCGGGGGTGGATTCGGAGGACCTTCTCCTTGGTCTCCTTTCACAGCTGCCCCATGCGCTCCTGGCGGCAGCAGTGTGCTTGGCGGCTTGGGTGGCACTCCCATAGGGGGAGCACCTACGCAGCGCTCATCTGCAGCCGATCCCTGGGCCCCAATCCCTGTCCAGAACAGCTGGGACCGAGCTCGTTTTGCTTTTGAACAGCCGCCACCTGCAAATGGCCCAACAGGCTCATCTGCTCTCTCGCCCGGCCTTCCGGCCTCCCTTGGACTGCCACACAGTCCCTTCGGAGCACCGAACGCCTTCAGCTCTGCTGGCTTGAACGCTGCTGTTCTCTCTGACCTCAACAAAGACAATAATGGACGCGGGCTCTGAATCATGCCATCACGCCCTGCCACTTGACCGTTCTTGCCGTTCTGCTGTCGCTTTAGTCAATCGTGCTTTTGATTCTCAACTGGGTTGCCCACCGGCTGTTGCATCTTACAGCACCTCTGTATGTGCCCCGCTTTTGCAATGCCATACTCTTTGTTTCTGAATCGTGCGAAGTTGACATTTGGACAACTACACTTGAGGGTAAGCTGTGAAACAACTAGTATCGCTCAACACGACCACCCCAGCGATCGCCGCCGGATCCACCACGTGATGGAGAGCGTTCTCTATTGCGATCAGAGCCGCCGCCACGGCCGTATTCGGGTGATCCCGATCTTCCGTCCCTGCCATCTCCGCCTTGCGCACTCCAAGCGCCATCGGCACTTTGCCCACCACTACCACCTTGTTGGCCGTAGGCTGCCCATGCGCCGCCAGCACCCATTCCGGCACCGCCAGCGCCATACATGGATCCCATGGCGGACATCATTTGCTGCCATGCCATTTGCGGATTCCACTTGTTCGTGCCCCAGCCCATGGTCTGGTACATCCTCGCCATCGCTTGAGGATCGAAAGCAGGCGCGCCGCCCGCGCCTGCGCCACCTGCAGCGGTACCGCTCATACCGCCCATGCCCATCATCATGGGGTTCATCACGCCCATCATCATCGGATTCATGCTGCCCATGCCTGCTGCCCCTCCAGATGTGTCGCTGCTGCCCCATGCGCTAGCGCTGCCGCCGGTCGAGCCTGACCAGCTGGGGGTGGGATAGTTGCCATAGCCGCCACGCGCCCCGCTGCGACCGCCCACCGCGCCGCCTGGCTGTCTTTCGTTGGGGTCGTTCTTGCTGGTGGCGCGCTTTACTTCGATCTAAGATATCAGAAAATCTATTATTAGCATCGTGGTTCGGGAAGAGCATAGTCCCTTATCAGTCGCGCACCTGTGAGCCCTCATACACAAGCGGTGAATTGCGAATGCAGTGGTCGACGGAGGTGTCGTCTTCAAACGTGACGAATCCAAAGCCTCTTGGACGGCCAGTGTCCTTGTCCATCATTACCGTCGAGTTGAGCACAGTGCCAAACTTTGAGAAGAATTGCCGAAAGGACTCTTGCGTTGCTGTCTGAGGCACGCCGCCAACGAAACACTTCTGCGTCTTTGCTTGATCTGGGCGCGGGATGGCACGCTTTGGATCGATCTACGGGGTGTTTCACGAATCACACATGTTTGAGGATGTCAAGGCCGATCAAAATTCCAGCAAAACTCACAATCTTGCCGTCCAAGAAGTGCTCGCGAACCATGACAGTGTTGACTGCCTTGGGGTCTTCAAAGGTGAGGAAAGCAAAACCTCGTGACTTGCCAGATGTTGGGTCGCGCATGATGGTGCAAGCTGCGACCTTTCCGAATTGGGAAAAGTACTTCTTGAGACCCTCTGCAGACACAGAACAAGGTCATGCGAAGCAACATGGGTGCGACGAGCTCGGAAAACGTCAGGATACTTGCATTACGAGCCGCCGACGCTCAAGTAGGCTGCTCAACGTACCATCGGTGGTGTCCCAGTTTAGGCCTCCCACGAACATTTTCCTGCGATAATAGACCCGATCAATTTGTGCCAGAGTAGAGAGGCAGCATGGATTGCGCGTCAGTTATCTGTATGTATCATAGAATCATGGAAAGGGTGTAGTGATGAAATGGAGAATATGGCTGCATGCTGTGGTGATGTGACTGTCTGATGTTCTGGAAAGACTGCGGACTTTCTTGGCTACGTCGCTATATCGTCTAGCGATTCTTTGTCTACCGAATGCTACTGAAGGAGGTGGCTATGTCGAAATATGGTTGTGGGCCATGAAGGATAGCTGTCTGATGGGGGTGATACATGAAGAAGAGTTCTGTCCTCCCGACGCAGAGCCAAAGTCGGAGTCTTTTGTGCAAGCATCAACACCTCCAGGAACACCTATAGCGTACCCGGCATGACTGGAAATCCTTGCACAACGCGACTGGCTATGCTCGGCGTATGCACTTGCCGAAGGGCCAGATACAGCGAAGAATGAGAGGACTATGACTTACCCATCTTCTCTTGAATCACTTGGTCGCGCCGAGCCGTTTCCACCTGCGCCGTATCCAGAGCCTTGTGCACCAGAACCGGTGCCTTCACTGCTTGATCCTGCACCGCTTGCAGAGATATGTGCTGGAGGGCCCGCACTAGTGCGCGATTCGCCTTGGCCACTGTACTGCCCATGCGAATGGGCCTCTTGCTTGGCCGCCGGCTTGCTGTCTGCCGGAGCAGCCGGAATGAATGAGCTGGAAGAGCTGGCAGCGGGAGGGATGAACGAAGTCGACGGGGTAGCCGATGCAACCTTTGATGATGGAGCGGGCTCTTCCTTGGGTGCGGATGCCTGGGGTGTTAACTTGGAAGTGTCGGTAGCGCCAGCGTCGCCACCATCTCCGTAAAGGTCGCCGTACAAGTCGTCGTCCTGATTGTACATAGCGCCACACTTTTTCTTTTAGATTCAAGCCTGAGGGCTATGATGCTTCTGGGGGGCGAATAGGGTGCTCAGAAGCTTCAAGCGGAGAATGGTCCGGATAGGTGATGGTTGAGGAAAGAGAGACGAGAACGCGATGAAGTCTGCTGTGCTTGTCACTCACGCGTGTGCTTGCTGCCTTTCGCGGAATCAACGCACTATGGAAGCGCGCTCTCCCCACAACTTGGTCAGAGCTCAGCTCCTTCTCCCCCCTTGCCAACAGGGCAGCTAACTTCGTCACCGTTAAGACGACCTCGTCCCCAAAGCAAATGGCAGCTTCACTGGCGCACGGGTCGTTAATCACAGGGAGTGCACAACGATCAGCAGACTGTGCTACCTATCCTGCCCGAAGCGAAGCACGGAAGCCGGCTGCATCGATCGTCCGTGTCGCTGCAGTCGGGATCCTTATCCCTGCAGGACAGGCAAGTACAATTGGAGGAAGTCCACCTTCGCGTGAGCACTTGGCCACGCCGCTCAGTATGGACAAGGGAATGTCTCGGTAACGAGGGCATAGTCAATAAGCAACGACAGCGAACCGCTGAACTCGGCCAAGGCGTGTGCTGCTGCACGCGGAAGTTTCTGTAGCTTTGGCAGCCATGACGACACGAAGCGCTAGGAGTACCAGAAGCTCCACAGACGTGCTCACTGACGGAGACGTCTATGCGGTAAGTGCTGGACTGAGGCTGTCCAGTCGTTTTAGCGCACGAATTTGATCAAGCCATTGTCGTTCTCGACAGTTTCTTCTGCAAACGGCTCTCTTACAACATATCGCAAAGCCCCGCCCTCCAGAGTCAAACCAAGTTCGAGCAGACAGTCATGCATCGAGCACTTCGACGGCTACAGCTGGCTCGACAGTCATTTCCGCGCTACCGAGCAAAAGCGTCACTGGTTCCTCTTCGGCAACAAGCTCGACCAGCAGCAGGGAGTGGGGCTTCGGGGCAATAGCTGAAATGTTGGTCGGCTCTTCAAAGGAGGTGCGTTTTCCGGAGAAACTCATCAAGCGCTTGAACGAACGGCTGGAAAAGATTGCGATGGGAAAGGATCCTGTCTATCGAGACCAAAGCCTCCGCTCGACCATCGGTATATTTTACGGACAGTACCAGGGGGCTTCTTTTCAGAAACAAATGAGGGACAATCGCAAGGTGGAAGACCTGGTTCTCCACTTTGCCACTGCAGCTCAGGCGTCTTTGCGCAAACGAGCGACCGGAGATGAGTGGAAGGAAGAGCTGGAAGTGCAGGTCGGCCAGTTTGTCAAAATTATCAGGGAGGCGCTCAAGACGGTCCACGGCGTGCCGAGAGAGCTGACAGAGCGGCTTGAAGCGTACTCTGCAAAGCTCACCCCCAAGCCCATTTCGCTCACGTCTATCAACAATGGTCTGACCCCAACGCCTGTCCCCATGCGAAGCTCGAGCACCCTGCAAACACCGACAGGATCATCCATCGGGCCCAGCAGCGCAAGCACCTCAGAACAAGGGCGTCGGGATAGTGCAGCGAGCACACTGTCCATGGATCCAATAGCCGACTCCGCGCTCATCCAGGCTGTTGGGCGGTTATTCCACGTGCAAGCGTCCCAGCTGCGCTTGGATGTGCAGAGTTTGCGCAAGACATGCACCGACAAGGCGGCGGTCGCTGATCTCAAACGATGTACAGCCAACATCAACCTAGGCGGAGCCTGGCCGGGGTGGCGCGAGGACTTTCGTTCTGAAGAGGCGTGGCAGGGATGGAAATCACAAGAGCTCTCCACACTTTCGCAGATGATCATGCGACTGTGTCAGAATAACCCTGAGCTTCTCAAGACCACCACATCTTCGGGTGCTGGCAGTGTACCAGACGGGAACAGTGGGACAGGGTCTGTGCGACGCGTTTCCGCGACTGGTCTTTCAAATGGCGCTGATGCAGGAAGCGTAGGCCGAGCCTCGCCTGTCATTTCGTATGGAACTGCGGAAGACGCGCTGAGCGCCGATGGCGAAGAGGGTTTCACATACATACCACCGGATCCAAGACGCGTATACCAGCGCGCTCTCGAGCTCTGCCTCGATTTTGACCTCGAGGAGATCCGGAATCAGGAAGACGCGGAGGAAGTGTCGCTCAGCATTCTCTCGCCTGGGCACGTAGATCTGCTGAAGGAGTGCGCATATTGGTGGAGAATCTCCACGTCCTTCAGAGCGCTGGCCAACCTTGACTACATTCGCATAAAGTTCCAGGGAGGGGAGGCTCCATTAGACTGCGTCTCGGTCGCGCTGGCTTCGGTGGACAAGGCGTTGCAAGAAGCACCAATGGACAATTGGATGGTTGCAGACGTGAGTGCCACTTGAACCTTTACGATGCTGTCCTTCACTACTGACACAATGTCCTGAATGCTACATGGTAACAACAGCGGCAGCTTCTTGTGAGAACTTATACACAAGTCTTTGACGGCGTAATGCAGGGCTTGTGCGAAGCATTCCAAGACGTACGAACAGCGGATCCGGAAGAAGTGGCGAGCTTCGCTTCGATCGTGCAAGAGGTACATCGCACCGGGTTTGTGCGGATTGAAAAATCCTTCGAGAGGGAGACTGTCGATCTTGAGGAGCACATAGAAGACATGAAGGACAGCATTCGTATCCATGCCATCCACGAGTACACCGCCAAGACGACTGACCTCTTTTCGCAGATCTTGGCGAACGAGGTCGTGCCCCTGGTGCAGCTTGTAGATTGGCTCGAAAAGGCCGCGAAGCATCTCGATCGTGCATACCCGTGTCCGCTTCTGAAGTGAGTGCTTGTGTTGTGTTGTCAAAAGTGTTTCCATGTGAGACGGCTGACGGAATGTGTTAATGTCCAGCTCCATCGATCCAGTCTCGCTTGTTCTGGAAAAGCAAGTGCCATTGTTTTTTGACGACCTCGATTCCATGAAACGGCAGATCCTGGAGCATGCACTGCGGGAGCATGATGCCCTTGCTTTCGATGACATCTTCATGCTCTACCACCGCACTATGACACTTTGGCGAATGTTCAAGGCGTTCTGCCCGCATGTTGAACCATCCTTCGATGTCGCCAACTGGTTCGAGCCGCATGTGCAACACTGGCTGATGACGACGAACAAGAAAACGTCAGAATGGGTCCACACAGCTGTCCGCTCCGATCGCTTCCTGCCAATCGACAGCGCAGAGGCCTATCATAGCTCATCGATCGATGATCTTTTCGGCGCGCTGCAACAGCCACTCGAATTCATCCACTCGCTCAAGTGGCCCAATCCTCTCAAACAGGCGCAGTTCCTCACTTCCCTCTCCAGGACTTTTAGCCATGCCATCGAGCAGTACTGCAACTCTGTCGAGGAGCTCTTCATGGAGGAAATGTTTCCGCGAAGCGCCGAGGGCCAAGATGCGCAGCAGAAGCAGTCTGCGTGGATGGTCAAAGCCAAGCAGACGTTGCAAGGGGAGAAGAAGGTCGAGCCATTTCACTTCCAGCCCGAGGTGAGCTTACAAATTGTTGCCTTCGCCGCGCCGAAAGCTAAAGTCTGATGCCATTCTTGAATCTTTTCATGTAGTCCTGTGTCAAGCTCAACAACATAGAAGCGGCGCGCATTTTGCTAGACAAGCTCTACGAGCGCGTCGATGCCGACAAACATGCTCGGATCATCGAACAACATGCATCCGATCCGGAAGTCCAAAAAGCCGTATTGCATCAGAGGCGGCGCTACATCTTCACTGTGAAGATCGTGCTTGGCGAAGGCTTGCAGCCAATCAACACAAGTGGATCCAGCCGAATAGACTCCTTTGTCACTCTCAGCGATGAGCGTGGGAATCGTATCGCCAAAACTCGCACCATTTACGAGACCCCTGATCCGAGATGGGACGAGGTTTTTGACATTCCTGTCGAGCAATCCATGTGGCTGGCAGCTACCGTTTGGGACCGCAAGCTCGTGGGCGACCACGCACTGTGTGGCCGAGCGTATCTGCGACTGGATCCGCGCTATTTCGGCGATTTGCACTCACACGAGCTTTGGCTTGACCTAGATACCCAGGGCAAGCTGTTACTTCGAGTCAGTATGGAGGGCGAGCGGGACGACATTCTTTTCCACTTCGGCCGGGCATTCAGGTCTTTGAAACGTGCAGAGGGCGATATGGTCCGCATCATTGTCGACAAAGTGAGTGGTGCCACGTCACAGGATAGACCCAGTTCCACTAACATTCACGTTGCAAACAGATGTCAATCTTCATCCGGCATTGCCTATCCCGACAAATACTGCGCAGTCTTGTCAAAACAAGCGGAATCAATTTGGACAAGGCGCTCGTGAACATGAAAGCACTTTACGCGACTGCGCTCGCCAGCACCCACGCCAGTGCATCTGTGATTCCTCCGGTTGAATCTGAAGCCACTCGTAATCGAAGTAAGGCACAGCAGTTGACGGATACCGAGATTGAAGCGGCAATCACGCCATTGTTAGACTACTTTGATGAATGTTTGGGCACACTTAAAAGCAGTCTCAGCGAGAAGCAAGCGCTGGTGGTGCTTACCAAGGTGTGGAAGGAGGTGCTCAACATCATCGAAGGCATCCTCTTGCCGCCGCTCTCCGACGCTCCGACGGACATGCAGCAGTTGTCTGAAAAGGAAGTTGACATTGTCTTCAAGTGGCTCTCGTTTTTGCGCAAGTCCGTGCACAGCCTTGGGATCCCAGCCCGAATGAAACGTTGCTGATGTGTACCTCGCTTCTCACTGCAGTTATTTCAATGCTTACGACGAGGAGACCGGCACGGCAGGCGGGGTTCCTCTGGAAACTCTACAGAACAGCAAGTACAGGGAGATTCTACAGTACCTGTTATGGCACGACTCCTCCACAGATGCTTTGATGGAAGAATGCGCCCGTTCGATGCAACAGTCCTTGCGCAAGCAAGCCGGTGGACAACTCGCTAAAAGCAAGTCTGTGTATAATCAGCGTAGCCTCGGGACTATCAAGCAGAGGAAACAGGACAAGAAAAAAGAAGAGGAAGCCCCCAACAATGAGATCCTTGTCATGAAGCTGTTGCGGTGAGTAGCCGCAAAGCCACGCATGTGTAGCGACATGATCAACGCAGTGCTGACCTTCCTGGCCTCATTCGTCATGTCCAGAATGAGACCCGGTACTCAAGAATTTTTGGCTTCGCAACTGCGGCTGAAGGCGCAGCTATCTGCTTTAACCGGCGTCCAAAGTCACAAGGACCTTCGTCGAGAATCCGACCAACCCAGGTCACGCGGCGCGGGCAACGGTCCCCACTCTCCGGTGCCACCTCCCAAGTGAAAGGCTCACTGCTTGTAGTATGCGGATAGCGCTCTCCATTGATACCCGGGCATCGCGTGCCAAGCTTCTCGCTTGGTCGCTGCACATTTGTATTCATTTCGAAGGATATTAGACCTGCGCGTGTGGCAGGAGTCTCCCCGGATGGATGAGCAAGTCAGGATCCTCTGCCAGATGCCATGTTGCAGCGTTCAAATGACGCCCGTCAGCTGTGTAAAGGTAAAGAAGCTCCGAGCCGATAGCTACGGAGATTACGGTGCAAATTTCGACTCGATCGACTGCAGGCACGAGAAGTTGTCGCAGCGTCGCCTACCGAATGGGAGATTTACTGTCAGCTACGTGGCCAGCTGCGCACAAAAATATGGGAATGCACGTACCAGTGACAAGCCAGGTCGGAGCAATATCAAGCTCAAAAGGGTGTGAAGCGTTTCTTTCCACCGGTCTTGAGAAAGAGCCTGGTCAAGATCCGTCCAGCGGTTTGGGACGATGTGAGAGTCTCCTTTGAAGTCCCTCACAGTCCATGCGTCCAAGTAGTCATATAAGACGAGACGATGTCGATCATACCCAGTCCAGAATGCGAATGGTCGGCAGTTGGCGTCGAACGCTCCGATGATCGAAGCGGTGTCGCCCTTCGAGATCAAAAAGGACGTGTGAAGAAATGCGCAGGAGAGCAAAGTCTTTGTTACACTCACCTCCAGATTTGCACCCACTATCCCTTTTGCACCCGCCTTGAGGAGTTGATCGTGCACCTCTTGCACTTTAGATTGGAAGGGCAGGAGGTGGGCAGGCAAAAGGCGTGGATCCGCCTTTTGCAATGTGTGTACTGTATTCGGGGCAGGAATTGCATCCGGCGGAAAATCCACCATGGCCGAAGGAGAGCCGACAACGTGCACAGGAACCTCGACGTCTTCGTCGTCTGCGAAAAAGCATGTTAATTGTTAGAATGTCAAGGGCCGAGGGTGAGGCTGTGACTTACCCAGCAGCTTTGCATTGAATGCACCATTTGCTAGGTCCGCAGAGCCGGCCCGCTCGACAGTAAAATCAAGCTGGAGGAGCCGAAGTCAGCATAGTTTAGCACTGCCACATTACAAAATGCTTAGGCTCACCGATCCAGCGGCGAAACGCGACACCAGTGCAGTCGCGCTTCCATCTGCCAAGTCGAGAGGCACCTTGGATAGAGGAGGCAACCCACTAAGGAATTCGTGTGCAGCTCGCCATTGGTCGAGGGAGAACGGATTCCGAAAATCAGACAGCCTGGAACCACCAAAATGGGTTATAGCTCAGCCTTAGTGTCGTACGCTGTCGAATACGGCACTCACTCTCGCGAAGTGCGTAAGCTTTGATCTGCCATTGATACCGTTGCAGTGCATTCCGCTATATTCTCCATTCGCAGAAACGCAGACTGATGCAGCGCTTGAATAGCATCATTTACTGCTGTTGTCCCGAATTGCCTCCCAACGGCCTCGAGGCCTTTCGCGCGGTCCGAATCCGAAATAAAGACCATCTTTCCCATGCAAGAAGTAAACGACAATCAGTCATGTGCCAATGCAGTTGGCGAGCGTAGCCCTCACCTTGACCGCCGCCCGAGGAAGCAACGCCCCAATTTCGGGTGACATCGCGGTAGTTATATCCTTCGTGAAGGGTAGCAACAGAGGATCGGTTTCCCGCGTGTCCTGAGTTGCTTTGGTGTCCAATGCAAAGAAATTCTCCAGTAGACCTTGCCTGCGTTCGTTGGCATTTGGCAGCCACTGGGTTGAAAGGTCGATAGTGTCCAATGGAAGGTCATCGATATCTTCACCTTCTGCAACGCTTAGTCTTTGCAAAGGAGGTTGGGTCGTTGGTCAGCTTTGTTGCATTTCTGGTAAGCCGTCGCACTCACACTGCGTCCTTGTCAACATTTTTCCGCAAGAACAGCACGTGTGCTCTAAGATCGAAGTTGACCACATCACGAGGGTCATCGTCCGGAAGGGCTGGCGTTCCAGCATGTTTCTTCCAGACACGCATCCACTCCGCTTGCAACGCAGCGAGATACTCAACCTCGCCCACATGTACCTCTTGAAGGTGTTCAAGACGCCTCTTGCATTCCATCGATGGATTTCGGAAGTGAGAAAAGACTTGCGCGATCGCACTCCAATTGACTCTGCGATGGCCGCGGGCCACGTGCCGTGCGCGTAAAATCGCGGCACAGTCCCGCAGGACCTCGTCGATTTGAGGCGTCCATTGGAAATCACCTGGGGCAGCGGTGCGGCATGCTCGCTTTGCGGGGCCTTGAGCATTTCAGCCATTGAGGAAACGATCAGATTCAATAGGATCCATGGCCATCACCCAGATAACTGGCTCACCATCAAGAGGGCCTTTGGTCCTCGGGGTTTTCGAAGCGAGTTTGCCTTTGCGGCGGTGTACACTGTCCGCAGCTTTTCTGACACTCGTTTTGATCATGATTCGCATGTCTCCGATGGTCACATCAAGAGCACCTGCGATCCACTTTGCTCTGTGGGCGCTCAAGTGCTTCTCCAAGAAATCTCGCTCTTCGCGAGCAGCTGGGAATTGATCTAGCGCTTCCTCCAAGCGGTTGTTGAACCACTCGCGGCGTTGCCTCTTGACTGTGGAGGCCTTTAAACCAATTCTTGCGCGAACAATCTTGCGGTCCTCTGCTGCCAGATCTTGAAAGACGTTTCTCGTCCGTTGAGTAAAGTTTGGCTCCTTGATCCTCTTTTCGAAGAATTGTTTGAGGGCCCATGTTGGAGCTCCTAGTGCATCTGCGAGCTCCTGCAACTCGTTGCCGCGTTCCCAGAACTTGTCATCTGCAATGATCATGTACTTTTCAATCATGTTGATGTTTGCGCTGTTGAGCAAGAATCCTTGTCGCCATGTGAGAGATGAGGTGCAACACCGCGGGAAGAACTGGAATGCCGCCGTATCTTTTCGCGGGACGACAGCGACAGGCGTAGTGTTTGCGAAAGGGTTTCGCGCTCTGTTTTCAAAATCTTGCCAGTGCCTGTCCAGATCGCCTGCCTGGGCGATGCTCGTGACCCCGACTTGAGAGGGCAAGGGGTCGTTATCGGGTTTGTTTCTCCAATTGAAAACTGGAATGTCGTGCGTTGCGAGTTTCCAATACCGGGAGAAGCATTTCGTGTCTGCTTCCGCCGCATTACTTGCTTCATCAGTGGGGATCGCTAGGCCGAGAGACCACAGCACCCTCATCAGCGAGACAAGTTGTAAGCGCAGAAGCCTTGGCTTCCACACCAAGGCCTTGATGTCATCGGGCAGCTGATTGATCTTTACCTTGCGATGCTTCTCATCCTCAACGTGATGCTTGACGGCAATCGGATCAGCAATTTCCTGGGTGGATACCACTTTGAAAAGCTGACCAAGGGGCATGGTCTGCCATATGGTCTCCACATCAACGATCTTCTCGCCAACCAAAGCGTAGAGGTATTTGTGCCAAAAGCGACAGCGAGCAAGCTTGCCTGGAATTAAACCGCATGAGCCCGACAGGTCGACTTGGCCGTTCAGCATCCTCTTCGTGTACTTTGCGAGCAAAGTCTGTGCAGAATCAGTCGTTGTCGTCGAGGTCGCATCATCCACATCGGTGGACAGCTCATCTTGATTCTTCAACTGGTCGCGTTTACGCTGGACCACGATGTCACCCAAATCCGGCACCTCATAGCGTTGCGTCGGCTGCGAATTTGTGGTCCCACGTAGCAGAAATTCGTCTCGCTGCTGATCCGTGATCATATCTGGGATCCACACGACTGTCCAGAAACGATTGAGAGAGAATGTGCTCCTTGCCCAGAAAGTCTTAGTGATTTTGATACGGCCTTCTGCTTCCAGGCGCTGGAGGCATCGGGTACGCGTTTTGGAATCGACGACGGACAAGCCTGCTGCGCTTGGGTCGTTGTCTTTCTGAGCAACAGCTGCAAAGGCCGCAGGAAGCGCGGAGGAGTCCATTATGCCGCCATTTTCGCGCACTGCGGCGAGGACGAGCTCGGCACGCTTCTTTGCACTAGCATTCGTGCCCTCTTGCAGCGCTCGCCCTTGCGCATGTTCTTTTGGCTTCTTGGCTTTTCTGACAGAGTGTTGGCTTTCGACGGCGGGCGAGGCAGGGACCGAGCTGCTATCCTGGTCCTGGTTCTCGCCTTGGTCTGGCCGAAGCGCTGCCAGCGTCTCATTGCCCTCTGCCAGAGACGCAGCATGCGATTCGCTACCTGATGGCATAGGCTACAGACATGCCAAAGAAAGATTGTGTGTGAGCTGGTGGATGAGCAACACATTGCAGGGGAAAAACGTACTGATGCAAAAGCTGATGTTGGCGCTGGCGCAGGAGCGGATGGTGGTGGTGACGGTGGTGGCAGCGGCGGTGGTACGGCCGCGCATAGCATTTGGGCCACAGAAACTTCATTGACTTCCTCTAGCGCAGCGTGCGCTGGTTCTTGCGCAGGAGCAGGCGAACTCGTCGACGTGGCTACCCTAGTAGAGCACGTAGCTTTCCCAGGCATACCCGTCAGTGCTGCTGTTGGCGTGCTCGCGACACCTTCAGTCTGCGCGGCACTCGTGGCAGACGGCTCCGTGGCAACCGCAGCCAGCTCTGACGCACTCGCTTTGACCGCGTCCTTCCGCGGGCGCCCGCGTTTCTTCTTCGGAGGCGACGGTAGCGGAAGCGGCACAGTCGGCTCTGCTGAGCTTTCTTGCTTGTCGTCCTGGACCTGAGCGCGGGAGCGCTTGACAGGGTTATACTTGCGCTTCTTCTGAGATGTGTCCTTCGGCATCTCAGCCCCCTCAGGCGCGGCCTTGTCGGATTCCTCTCCCAGCGGCAGCGTTTGCGCCTGATTCGCGCCCGAGGCACCCGCCTGCTGCCCCGATGCCTCCAGCTTGGGCGGGTGCTTCCTCGGGCGGCCGCGTTTCCGTGGCTGGCCATTCTCATCAAGCTTCAGCACCTTTCGCTTCTGGGCCTTTCTGCCGGGCGTGTCTTCCATTGAGCAATGAGCCAAGCGTGCGTCCTGCAGGACCGTGTCCACCTCTCGCCCCGTCACGGGCGCCTGCTTGCGTACTTCGCCGGCGACTTCAAGCGCTGCGTGGCGCGTAGACAGCAGGTGCTGCTGTGCGCGCACAACCGTGTCATTCATGCTGGCGAGCGTGGCGAACGTGTCCACCGTCTGCCGGGCGGTGTAGTGGAAATTGATGTTCATCTTGCCGACCTGACGCGTGACAAAATAGAGCCCGTTGGCTGCGGCCAAACCTACCTCGCTGGTGTTGTTGGCGCCGCCACCGCCGCCGTTGTCGTCGTCATCGTGGGACCGGTCGCCAATGGTCAAGGCGCTCTCGCACATGGTGCGCAAGAGGTCGCCCAGCGAGCGCTCAGACAACCTTGTCTGCGCGAAGCCGAGCATCTCGGCGATGGAGCGCGTACTGATGCCCTGCGCGCCGGACTGGTCGGCGAGGTCGAGGATGTGGCGCTCGAGCGTCACCTCGGCGACGAGGCTGAATGCGCGCGCCGCGGCGAACGCCGCTGCGCAGTGGCGAGCGCGCTCCTCGACGCCGCCGCGGCTGCCGGCTCGGCGCAAGAGCGCACGTTCGAGCTCGCCAATGTGCGCCAGGCCACGCAGGGTGATCTGCAGGCACGACGTCCCCTGCGCAATAATGGGTTGCACGATGCCCTGCTGCTCGAGCCGCGTGGCGGTGCGGTGGAAATGGCTGTTCGTCGGGCGGTCGAGGCGGCGCCAGCCGAGGCGCATGAGGATGCTGCGGCGCTCAATGCGCGAGCCTGCATTCTGCGCGGCCCGTAGCAGCTTCAGCAGGCGCAGCACGATCACTTGCGGGTACGTTGTCATGATGCGGTAGCGGTCGGTGTCAGAAAGGCTGTCGTATGCGTGAAACGTGTCCGGCCTCGCTTGCTGCGGCCCGTCGGCGCTGGCGCCGACGCAGTCATCGGAAGCGTCGATACTGCTAATGGGCTCGCCGATCCATGCCTTAATCTGCTCGAGCTCCTCTTCGGAGCGTCCCTTTGCAGCCTCAGACTCCTCGGCATCCTCGGCCACTGCTTGCGGCTCCTTGAGGTCGTCCTGCAGCTGCTGGCCCGCCACATCGGCGGCAGCAGCATCGCCGGCTGCGCCTCCATGCGCCTGCGCACCAGATGTGTCTGCACCAGCCACTGGGGAGGCGCGCTGGCCTTCTGCGGTAAGCTCGACAAGGTTATTGCCGATGATCGTGCGCACGCTCCCGGGCGGCGTGGCATCTGCAAAGCGACGGTGCACAACCATCGGGACGGCGGAGATGAGCTTGCGTGCGTGTGTCTTGACGATGAGGCCCTCCTGTATGAGCACCTTGCACTGGGCAAACGTCTTTTTGGGGTCGAAGCGCATCGCCTGCGTCAGCTCGGTCAAGAGCACGCCGGTGCGCCCGGCGCGCGCGACGCGCTGCAGGACGCAGTAGTTATCGTGCGTGAGCGAGGCGCGCTGCATCGAACTGGACAGGCGATCGAGCGTCATGTACGACCAGATGCGCACCGGTGTCAGCGTGAAGCGCAGCGCTTGCGCGCCAAAGACTTGCTGCAGCTCCTTGATGCTTAGATGCGTCGCTGCTGCACCTTGCTCCACCGCGACCGAGTCAAGGAACAGGGGGTCGGTCAGCTTCAGGCGCTTGTTGGGGCCTCTTGCTGCCGTGATCTTCACCTTGGGCACTGTTGCCGTGCTTGTGCCGGCTTCTTGTGCCTGGTTGACGGCGGGGCCTGAATCCACAGCCGTGGCTGTGGAGGCGGCGGCGGCGCCAGTAGCCTGACTTGCACCTGGGCCTTGCAGCAACTGTTTCCCCTGAGCAGTCCATTCCGGCCCAGGCATGTACGGCACATGCATTCCCACGCGTACATCCGGGTCTTCGCGCAGGAGTGTCCAGACAAAGTTGATGTAATCGTCGTCGACGAGCTGCGCGATGAAGCGCCGCGTGTGGTACGTCTCGATAAACGACTTGAGCTGCTGGAAGGAGAGGCCTAGCGGAGTGAAATGCACGGTGCATCGAGAGGGGGGAGATTTGGCCGAGGAGCGAGCATGTGCGAGAGGGCTTGTCAGCTTGTTTGCTGCGCGCCACCTGACGCATCCTTGCACGACGCGGCGACGCACCTGGCTGTCCTGCAAAGCCAATCTCGCGAATGCATAACTCGACCAATTCGGCGAGCATGGTGGTGTTTCACTTGGATGTTCCAATCCGCGCTATAAGAGTGCTTGGCTGCGCTTGGTCTCTCGCTGCAGTATGGATGCTTGATCTTTTCTGCTGGTAGTAATGAGGTGCATGCGGTCACCGCCCATTCGTGGTGACGGGGGGCGAGGAGCAATGGGCGAGTTTCGCTGCGACCATGTCGGCTCACTTTCACAGCATAGTGCGCACTCAATGCGCCGTACGTCCGTGATTTTATGCAGTGGCGGGCTACACATCCATTTCAGTTTGCCTCCATCGCGCGCCGTGAAGCTCATCGTCATCCCAACTCCAAAGATCCGAGACCAACCTCGTCGTCGTTCACACGGCCGGTGATCCAAAATACATATGTTTCCTTGTTGCGACCCGAGTTTCGCATAGGTCACGTGCAGAGCAAGCATTTGCTTATGTAATGCATGACCTTTCTTTTACTTCTTTTATTTCTTTCCTTTCAAAGGGTTTGCTCATCTTATGCTACCTGCGTCTACTGCAAGGGGGAGGAGGGAGGCCTCTCTCTACATTGATGCGCATACGCGGGTCACGGACCTCTCCACTCATCTTTTTGCAGGCTACATACATGCATATATATACATATATATGCTATTAGGCAGCTGCTCGCGCGACAAGGAAGGCTCCTTGCCGTCTGCAAGGTACAGGCCGTGAATCTCCCAATTGCCAGACAGCAGCATTTGCCTTCGTTTTGGGACCGACGGACGACACACTCACAGCCAGCTTGCCTGCGTGCACTCGGTCCGACTGCTCAGAAAGAAGCTGGTCATCCTTTCTTCCTACCGTCGATCATCGTTTCTTTTCTTTGGTAGACATTGCGCCGTCGGGTCGCCCTGTGCATGAGTAGAGAGCAACGGGTTGCCTCATCACACGAGTGCCATCTATTGTATGCATATGTATGCGTGTGTGTGCGGTGTGCGATCGTTCCTCATTCCCCGTCGTTTCTTGTCTCTTTTGGTTGGTGGCAAGCCGGTTGATTCATTGATTAGACGCCCGCTGCACAGTGCAATGACATGGAGTTGAACGTAACGATGCGGGCGGTCGTGACGACCGGACCTCCCGCTGCATTGGTGAAATGACAAGTGCTTTCATGGTGAACCGACATATAAAGCAATCCCGAATGGCGCCTCGTCACCTGCCCATCATCCACTCTCCTCCCATCGCTGTATGTAGTTATCTGTGGTCCAGCACCCTACAGACGGTGACCTTTCGTAACGCCTAGCTACACCAAGGCGCCAAGTCAAAATCCGTCGACCCCCACGAAAAGACGTAGGACGCACAGCTCTGCGAAAATATGCGCATGGTCGAGGCAGTCCCATCATCAGTAGCATCTGCACCACCACCAAAAATGCCAAGCTTGCTAAAGGAAATTGAAGACCATGACAAGAAGCGCGGCAACCTGCGTTATTCATTCCTCTTCCGCCGCTCCAAGCGCCAGTCCGTCAGCTCTCCCGCCCTCACCGCTGCAGCAGCGACGGTGGCGGCAACTGCTTTGATCCCGGCCAGCGATGATACTGCCCCATCGTCCGACGAAGCAGCAGCAGCCGCATCTAGCCGACCGGAAGCACACGCGCTGGACCAGCTCGCCACATCTGCTTCCAGCCGCATGCCCGCGCAATCTGGGCAACAAAGGCACAAGAAGAACAAGAAGAGCCTGTCCGCTGCACTCGAGAAGCTGTACCTCGCGTCTTTTGCCGCCCCTGCTGCCAGTACTGGGGCCCACGCGCGGGGCGCCGAGGTACAGGGCGACGAAGACCACGCCGCGGCGGCGCCATCTGCTGCGCCTCCACCTGCCCACGCTCCCGCTCACGCTGACTCCCGTCGCGTCCTCCAACACAATCAAGACCCGATGCAGCCGCCGCCGCAGCATGGTGCGCTCCCTTCTTTCGACGCTTGTGTCCCCTTTGCATCCGCGACTGGCCAAGCATCGGCAGCGCGCAGTGACGGCGTCCTCACACCCGAGGCTTTCGCTCCGTCCGCGCCGAACGGCGACGCAGGGAGCAGCGGCTGCGACGGAGCGCCGTATGCTGCGCGCCAGACACGGTGGCGTATGCAGCGACGCTCCAGCCTGAGCGACCTGCCTGAGCTGCTCAGTGCTGCACCCGGAGCGGCCCCCGCGCGACCCAAGACTTCACACCGCTCCAAGCCTGCCTCTCCTGTCGCCATCGGCGCGCACGACGGCACCGGAAAAGGTATCGGCAGCACAAGTAGCGCATCGCCGCGCGCCACGGCACCCGCACATGCCCCTGCTTTCCACATGCCCTTCCAGAAAGGCCTCCAGCCGCGTGTCTGCGGCTCGCGGCTGCTCCGCGCGTCTTGCGATAGCGGCAATGCCAGCCCAAGGGAGAGCGCAGACAAACAGCATGCGTCGTCACCGTCAATGCCACTGGAGTCGCTGCCTTCAGTCAGCAAGAATCATGCCCTGGCTAGCGCTGCGACGCTCGCATTGGCAGTTCCTCTCGCAGCTGCGTCCTCGACGTCCCTCCGCTCGCTCTCCGAGCAATGGGAGTTGCGCCAACGACAACGACAACAGCAAGAGCAGCAACAGCGACGAGAACGGGGGCGGCAAGATGGTGCATCGCTTTTCCACCATGCCGATGGCGCCAGCTCGCGCTATTGTTCCGTCGACGCCAACGCAGATACATGTACGGCGCAGTCCGGTGCCTCGACGCCAGGGACGAGAATGCGATCGTCGTCACTTGATTCCCTCGTCGTCATCTGCAGCGACAGCAGTGACAGCATTGAATTCGTCGACGATGCCGACGGTGAAGGCGGAGAGGCATACACCAATGCAGACGCAGGCGCCGCAGCTTTGTGCGGCCAATCGCCGTTTTCTTCCTGCAGCCCTAGCAGCAAGTGCGTGAGTATTACCGCCGCTGCTGCTGTGGCTGCCATTAGCCCCAAGGACTCTGCCGCCATAGCGCGCTCACCAGCGGCGCTGGTGGGACAGGCGCACGATGCGGCGGAGAAGCGCGGCGCGCGGCGGCGGACTGCATGCTCGCACGCGCATCGCTGTGCCTCCTCTTCTTCGTCATCATCAATGTCTTCCTTGGCCCGCATCGCGCGCTCACGGCAGCCGCACTCGTTATCGGCCAGGAGCAGCTCTGAATCCATGTCGTCCTTCTCGACCGTCCTGACGAGCGTCAGCTACACCAGCCGCAACGGCAACAGCAGCCGCAGTAGCAGCGACAGCGGCAGTGTCGCTGCCGCGCGTTTGGCGCGCAAGTCGGCGCCGCCGGGGGAGTCGACGAATGTTGCTGCTGCTGCCGGCACTGCTTTTTCTTTTGCACCTGCAGCTGCGCCAACACGCACACCGCCATCGCCCGCGCTCTCTGTGCACCCGTTCCAGACGCCAACGTTCGGCACGATCTGCAGTGACAGAGGCGCCGGCGCGGACGGTGTGCACGCTCGCTACTACGGGAACGCCTACGGAGAGGAGGACACGGCTCTAGGGGACGGCGGGTGCGCGGAAGCGGACGCGTACGGCGAGGAGATGGAGACGATGCAGCGCGACTGGAGTCGGCCCGCGCATGTTGATTCGCCTCTGCTTGTGTAAGGCGCTCTGGCGCGGCCGGCGGCGGCGCATCATCATGAACAAGGTGCGCCGGCCTAACCCACCAATGTGGGAGGATTTGGGTGGTGCGGAATTGTATTGTGACCCCATCGGATCGCGCGCCGTTCTTGTTAGCCTTTTCGCGAGCTGCTTTTCTCAGCATGGCACAGGCGCGAAGAAATAGTGTGCAGGATAAGCATAGAAGTACATACAGAAGACGTAGCGGGGCAGACGGTACATGCAAGGGTGCGCGCGCCGGTCTTCCGTCCGCCCGTCCATCTTGGAAGCGACGGATCAAAGTGGGCCGACCTGGGTGCATGTATGCCGTGCGTAATAGCGGGCAGAAGGCGCGTGTGCGCACATCGCTGCCCTCATAGTTCGCGGAAGACCCGCTGCTTGAGCACCTCGCGCTCTGATCGTTGCGTCTTTTAGCAGAAGAATACTTTAGCCCTCGGTATTTCAAGGCAGTTGGCGAGCGAGGCACGGGGCTCACCTGCCAGTACAGGCTCTTTGGCGGGATGACCTTTTCGAAGCGCAGATTTGGCGGTACCGCCACCCCTGCTTGTGCTGTAACTGGTGCCGTAACTGGTATCGTTGCGGGTGCTGCTGGTGCCGGTGATGTGGCGCTGGTGCTGGCAAGCGTTTCGACCGGCGATACGCGGCGGCGTATTTGCTCTGCGGGCGATGCTGGGCGGGGGGACTGGGGTAGGCGCAGGGAGGCCGATACCGACGCCGATGAGGACGGGACCTTGAATGGGGTGACGCGAAGGAGTGCTGGCTGCGTTGGGCGCATGGTTGGGCAATTCGCTAGGTGGTGTGCGTACGCTTCGCTTGGTCTGGCGTGACTCGTTCGGGCTGCTGTGTTCTGCGTGGCGGTGCTCTTCTCTTCGCTGCTGGTCTGGGCTACGGTGGAGGGGAGCTGCTGCTGGAGAATGAGGATATGTACTGAATCAGCGAAGAAAGTATGTATGTTGTGAGCGAAGAGAAGATAACTTGTGGGGCCAGATGGCGAAATTAGGGTTGCCATCTGCCCTTGCCGCCCTGGAATGCGTCGGATCGAATTTGAGTGGAGTCATATTGTAAAACTGGACTAGGCTGAATGGTGCGACTGGCCTGTAAACCCGTCTGTGCTGTCGTATATATATTTTCGTGACCTTACGGATCGAGTATAGGATCTACGCAGTATATAGGAGAGTGAAGCTGGATGCGTCCGCTCGTCTTGTATATCGCATGGATATGAGATAGAGAGCAGCAGAAGCATTTTGATTCTATAAAAACCCCCCAAACCTGTGCCATCCTCACAGGCACACTCGCACCCGCTGCCATTCCATCGCCTTGTACACACACATACATGTATACTCACACTCACGTACCGTGAGCAAGCCAAGTCACCGTGGCCCAGTCTGTATTCTGGAAACGGTCCCTCCCCCGCACTCGTCCCGTCCCAGCACGCCTTTGAGTAAAGGGAATAAATAACTAGATACGAAAATAAAAATAAATAAAATAAATAAAGTAAACGTAAAAATCAAAATCGGATGCCAGCTGGGCGTCGACTCGACAATCGAGCATGGAGCATGTCAAGGAAAGAGCATGGAGGATGGATTACAGCGCATGTGGAACATAGAATATAGAGCATAGAACAGCGCTGCCGCTCTCTAGCGTGCAGAACAACAAACCGCCTGCAGAGCAGCTCATCCATTACAGAAAGTGTGTATCCAAGCATCGGATACAGAGAGAAAGCAAAAAGAGTGGTGTCGTGCACCTGGCCGGATCGGGGAGGAGCAGTAGGGGCATTAGCACCAAGATCAGCAGCAGCAGAGCGCCACCAGGTGAGTGCAAAGTCGGCACAGGTACATTTACCAGCTGCTTAGACGGAGGAAGATGGGGTTTGAAGAACCATGAAAGGGCTTTTCGCTTGGAAGGAAAGCTTGTTCACGCAACCAAGGAGATCAGTGCTGCTGGCGCCGCTTTTCGCCAGTTGCATCCTCAGCGTGCAACAGGCTTGCATGCGTCAGTTGCACGTTCCATCGCTGATACCAAGGCATTCCTTCCCTCCCCTCCGCGGCCCTCTCTCCTTTCCAGGCAACCAACCAGGAACGGCGTGGGAGGCGAGCAAGCTGACAACAGGGCCATGCAAGATCGTACACAGAATACAATCGGACCAAGCAAGCGATAGCATTCACCTTTCATCGTCTTCTTCCTTCCTCTGCAGCAGAGCGTGCAGGTGCGGGGTTGCGTCAGCGCGCGTGCATGCATACACGGCCCAGAGGAGCATCACTGAGCAGAGACAAGCGAAAGAAAGGAAAGGAAAGAAAGGGGAACGGAAAGGAACGGAGGTCAAGCGTCCGGGTTGTCGCATGACGAGGAAAGCCAGTGAACATGGCGCCCTCCTCGTCCCTCCTGGGCAAGCTGCGTGGCGCCAGCAGCAAGCAGCCGCGCACCGATCCACGTGACCCCTACGGCTACACCAACGGCTTGGGCTATGGCGGCTTCAACTCGCCCTCCGCCTCCTCCTCCGGCGGCTCCCCCATGTGGAGCAGCTCCAACGGGAGCGGCAGCTGCGAGACATACAGCCCGCGCCTCGGCGGCGGCAGTGGCGGCGGCGATGCGTATCCATATACATTATCCGGCGCGCTTGACAGCCCTGTTCTCGGCCGCCTCGATGCCGGCTCCTCTGGCGTGGAGACATGGGCCCTCGCGCCCCCTGGCAGCGCACACTACATCGCCGGGTCCAGCACCAGCGCACCCGGCGGACTCAATCTCAGTGCGTCGACGTCGTGTGCATCGCCTGGCGCATCCGCCGCGCCGTTCCGGGCGAGCGCAAGCTCCAGCCCCGTCTACTCGGGCAAGAGCGGCTCCGCGTCCGGCGCGAAGGCGAGCCCACTGCTTTCGCCGGATGCCCATCTTGACTATGCGTCGTCGGCCGCGGTCGCAACCAGCCGGCCTGGGCTAGTCAGCACCAAGTCGTTCGACTCGGCTGCCAGCGGGGCGGAGCGCGCCACTGCTACCGCCTCCGGCGCGCAGACTATCTACGCCAACGGTGACGGCTACTATGACTCCGCGTCCGCGCCCAGCACCGCGACAAGCGTCGCGACAAGCCACTCCAAGTCGTCTACCTCTACCGTGAACCACTACCCGCCGTCGGCGGGCTTTAACACGTACGACCCATGGTCCGGCGCCATGTCCCCGCGCACGCCGCGC